TCGCCTGGTTCTCCAAGAGGACTCAGGACCTCGCCTGGCCACAACCTGCTCATTCAATTTCAATTTCTTCATTTGTTCATTGTCTACCAGCTCAAAACTTTAATACTTACCTCATTTCCCTTAACCAGGACCGCCTTTTCCTGTTTATAGGATTAGGATTTGCACCTGGTAGGGAATCTTGAATTTATCTTCCTTCATGCTGGTAATTGTGTTATATATATGCAGCAGCCAAGACAGCCCTAAATGCAATTTGTTTGTTTGATTTTGTTCTATGTTTTGTCTAGTTAAGTATGTGTTTGCTATGCTATGTAAATTATATTATGTGTAGAACAGTTTTGTAATGTAAATACTTAGTGATTTATTTTATAATACATCTGTCAATCTTAAAAATCCGTGTTTTTGATATTGTTTATAAATGATGAGTTAATTATACACTTACACGCCCACTCCTAGGCTAAGACCTTCACCAAGACTGAGCTGTATCACCAGTGAGGAAGCTAATTATACACTTACACGCCCACTCCTAGGCTAAGACCATCACTAAGACTGAGCTGTATCACCAGTGATGACTGAGCTGTATCACCAGTGATGAGTTAATTATACACTTACACTCCCACTCCTAGGCTAAGACCATCACCAAGACTGCTGTATCACCAGTGATGAGCTAATTATACACTTACACACCCACTCCTAGGCTAAGACTTCACCAAGACTGCTTTATCACCAGTGATGAGCTAATTATACACTTACACCCACTACTAGGCTAAGACCTTCACCAAGACTGAGCTGTATCACCAGTGATGAGCTAATTATACACTTACACCCACTCATAGGCTAAGACCTTCACCAAGACTGAGCTGTATCACCAGTGATGAGTTAATTAAATACTTACACACCCACTCCTAGGCTAAAACCTTCACCAAGACTGAGCTGTATCACCAGTGATGAGTTATTTATACACCTACATGCCCACTCCTAGGCTAAGACCATCACCAAGATTGAGCTGTATTACCAGTGAGGGAGCTAATCATACACTTACACACCCACTCCTAGGCTAAGACCATCACCAAGATTGAGCTGTATCACCAGTGATGAGCTTATTATACACTTACACGCCCACTCCTAGGCTAAGACCATCACAAAGATTGAGCTGTATTACCAGTGAGGGACCTAATCATACTCTTACACACCCACTCCTGGGCTAAGACCTTCACCAAGACTGAGCTGTATCTTACACGCCCACTCCTAGGCTAAGACCATCACCAAGATTGAGCTGTATCCCCAATTAGGGAGCTAATAATACACTTACACACCCACTCCTAGGCTAAGACCATCACCAAGACTGCTGTATCGCCAGTGATGAGCTAATTATACACTTACACCCACTCCTAGGCTAAGACCTTAACCAAGACTGAGCTGTATCACCAGTGAGGGAGCTAATTATACACTTACACACCCACTCCTAGGCTAAGACCTTAACCAAGACTGAGCTGTATCACCAGTGAGGGAGCTAATTATACACTTACACACCCACTCCTAGGCTAAGACCTTCACCAAGACTGAGCTGTATCACCAGTGATGAGTGAATTATACGCTTACACACCCACTCCTAGGCTAAGACCTTCACCAAGACTGAGCTGTATCACCAGTGATGAGTTAATTATACACTGACACGCCCACTCCTAGGCTAAGACCTTCACCAGCACTGAGCTGTATCACCAGTGATGAGCTTATTATAAACTTACACGCCCACTCCTAGGCTGAGACCTGCACAGAGACTGAGCTGTATCACCAGTGAGGGAGCTAATTATACACTTACACGCCCACTCCTAGGCTAAAACCTTCACCAAGACTGAGCTGTATCACCAGAGATGAGTTAATTATACACTGACACGCCCACTCCTAGGCTAAGACCATCACCAAGACTGCAGTATCACCAGTGATGAGTTAATTATACAGTTAAACGCCCACTCCTAGGCTAAGACCTTCACAAAGACTGCTGTATCAACAGTGATGAGCTAATTATACACTTACACGCCCACTCCTAGGCTAAGACCTTCACCAAGACTGAGCTGTATTACCAGTGATGAGCTTATTATACACTTACACGCCCACTCCTAGGCTAAGACCTGCACTTAGACTGAGCTGTATCACCAGTGAGGGAGCTAATTATACACTTACACGCCCACTCCTAGGCTAAGACCTTCACCAAGACTGAGCTTAATTCTTCGTAAGGCTCTCTTCTTGTGGTCTTTAGTTCTCACTCTACAAAAGGATTAATAATAATTTTAAGGAAATTTTCAAACTGTTTTTATTTGAATATATAAGTATATGTTTTATTTCTTATAAAATCCAAAATGTCTTGCCATATGAAAATTTCAACCATTATTGGTCTTCTTAGAATTCTCAAGACTGAAGAGTTAAGTGAAACCAGTCAGAAATGACCAAATTTATCTCAAGTTGCAATGAATATTGATAAAATTATTTGGATGGTATTTCATAGGATTCAAATTTTATAAAAGTGTAATCTAAATTACATATACATATTTTTGATATTTAGTAGATGAGAATAGTTGTTATTTTCTATCGAAAATAGAAAATTAGGGGCCTGGAACTATGAGAAAAGCCTCATTATTGAAGACTTTTGTGTATCATTTTAAATCACCTGTTGAGAAGTTCATCCATACGCTCTGCTGGATCAGGAAGGTCGGTCAATTCATCATCAGATGTGAACAACAAATCCTACAAGACAAAGCATCATTTCAACAACCACAAGAAAAAACGAACCAAGTATTAAGCTCAACAGCTTCCAAGCTTTGATTAACAAACTAGGCAATATAAAAACAAAGTGAAGAAAGGCTCACAAACATTTACACCCACCCCCATTCCCACTAAAGCGTTTTACTTCAAAAGTGGTCAAGCGTGAGTTTTGCCCCTGATCTTCAACTCTTTAGCCTTCTTTGATGACCACCAAAACCTAACAAGGTATAAAACTTGATATAACCATACCAAACTATAAATTGTGTTCAGGTGTTTATGAGATATCTTGTACACCAGACGGATGTACTTGCTATGTGATTACTATACACCCTCCCTCCTCACTAGGTGGGAGGTATAAAAGTGAACACAAGGTGAATACAAACCTTATAAAACTTAGAAACATCAAAACTCTCTCCCGCTTTCTGTAAGTGCATCAATTCCAAGTCAATGCCAGTCTCCGACAAGTCACTTGCTTTTGTCCTTGCTTGTCTCTGGAAAAAAAATATTACAGATACATGTTTGATCAGTTATCCATATCTTATTTGCACATGTATATAACAAAATATAAGCTGGCTGTGTAAGAATTTTCAATTTGACCAATCAATCTTTGGCAAAAAGCTGAATGCTGGTTTGAGTGGATAAGTTTTTACATTTTTAAAAGCAATGTTTACAAAGTATAAATATATTTTCCAAAAAACAAAATAAATATCAAATATTTTCCTAATTTGTTTCAGGGACATAGGTCATAATACTATGCATAGTTACTTTATATAAGTAGGATGTTGCAGTGGTTTCAAGCGTGAAATGGCAATGAATGCGTTGCTATATGAAGCCCAATGTGCGAACTGTTATGTGAAGCCCCCTGTGTGAATAGTTGTCAGAATAACACTCCCCCTCCCCCCTCCCCCCATGTACATTGTTATGTGAAGCTCCTTGCATGAACTGTTATATTAAGCCTCCACTACGGATTGTTATCTGAACCCCCTGTGTGAATTATGTGAAGCCCACAATGAGGATTGTTATGTGAAGCGCTGTGGATTGTTATGTGAAGCCCCCTGTGTTGACTATTATTTGAAGCCCCTTGTCTTAACGAGTTATCATACCTGTAGCTGTTGTGAGCTAACGTGTGGATTGTCGTTGTTGGTAAATAACATCACCCTCTTTGAGCTCACTTTTTGAGAACTGTAAATACAATAATTCATTTAAAACAAACTACTACAAATCAAAACTATCTACCAGAAGACAGAAATCCCATAAGAAGGATTAGATTTTCAAATTCCTAACATATTCACACATAAATGAAACCCATTATACTGCAAACATTTGTCTCAATTTTGGCCTTATATGGTGGATTTCACATTATATTGGGGATTTCACATTATATGGTGGATTTCACATTAGATGGGGGATTTCACATTATGTGGGGGATTTCACATTATATGGTGGATTTCACATTATATGGGGGATTTCACATTATATGGTGGATTTCACATTATATGGGGGATTGGGGGATTTTGCATTATATGGGGGATTTCACATTATATAGGGGATTTCACATTATATGGGGGATTTCACATTATATGGGGGATTGGGGGATTTCGCATTATATGGGGGATTTCACATTATATGGGGGATTTCACATTCTATTGATGAAGTTGACAAAAGGAATTATAACAGAAAAAAAGGAAATGGGACATACGTTGACAGTATGTGTGGTGAGTAATAAAACTATAACAGTATGGACTATTGTTGAGGTAAACACATTGTTTTATGAACCCTTAGGAGTGATATTATCAGAAAACAAATTTTGTGACTGATGTCCTTGTTTCAGCATATATATTCATTAAAATGGAAAATAGCTATTGAAGTTTTACCTCAGATAATTCAACATATAAATTGAAGTTAAATAACATATTAGAAGGAACTGAAGTCAGAGTAATAAAAAACTGTAGTTATTGAAACAACCAATAACTAATCTCTGGCCACACAGAAAATACAAATACCCAACATCATGATGATGTTGACTTGTGAACTAAAAACACGTAATGGCAGTACCTGTTTGAGAACATATTCTGACATGTCCACAAAGCTTCATGCAAAGCAAACCCAGTGTTATGTCCATATTCCTTGGAGAAAGTTTTTGCATCTTCTGAAATTTTAAAGTCATGGATTAGTATATATAATTGGATGGGTTTTGCTTGATCAGGGTTTCGCATCTTCTTCATAGCTGAGGTCATATTCTTTTAAAAATAAGGCAAAGTCTTTTGAGCAATCTATTGACAAACATTGGTATCAAAAATGAACAAAGAGACTTCACTTTGTATGTATTGAGGCCTGATACATGATTTAAATATAAGACTTTGCCATTCCAAGAGATACTCACATACAAAGATTGGCAACTGTAGGTGACAATGTGTGTGAAATATGCCTTGAACAAAGTGATGTACAGTGAACCAAACTGTGTACATATAGGTGCACAGTAGGCAACATTGCTACATCTTGAGGGGTACTCTTATAGAAAATCTGGCAATTATAGGTGACAGTGTATAAAAAGATATGTGATAATATCCCGGACAAAGAGATGCACAGACTGACTGGCAGACTCCAGTGTAAAAATAAAGTCCCCTCTGTTAGCACAGGTGGGGGATAAATAAAACAGTGTGTTCTAGTATATGGAACCAAGAAGTTGAGAACTATTTCTGGAATGTGATGAATGGAGAAAACATACTGTACTTAACCAACTTCAGCTAAAGGAATATATATATTTCATACTTTACAAAATTGGTTTTCAAAGGATTTGTCTCCCTTTGTGTATATTTCAAACCATGCAGATAGAAAACTGAATTTGACCCTTTTTGCCAATAATAGATATATCTTACACAGACTCTGTTCATTAATTACTTGCAGATTTCACTTTTAGTCAAAGAGTAAATATTTACCAAGTTTCATCTGAATCCTGTCATATTTGACCAAGATATTGTGCGGGAACTGTGACCGTAAACCTATCGGATAGCAGTATGGAAGTCAATTTTGTGCAGGTTTCGCTCACCTTTAAGCTTAGCCTTTGTCATAGTATAATATAAATATTGACCAGGCTTCATCAGAATCAGAGCACAGTATGCTAATTAGGGAACTTTGATAAACTTCAAACTTATCCTCAGCCTTTGTATAATATACATGGCAAGTTTCATCAAAATCGAACGATATTTAAGCAAGCTACCTTGCAGGAACCAAACTTTGGAAATTAACCAATCAAAGCAAAGTACACAAATAATTATGTGCAGATTTTGCTCAACTTCCAACTTTGCCTCAGTCTTCATATATAGTGCATTCACACTAAGTTTCATGAAAATTAAATGATATTGAAGCAAATCATCCTCCGGAAACCAAAGTATGGCCGGCCGAACACTCCCCATACTATATTGTCTCCTCAAAAGTTTTGACAGGCCTAAAAAAATGCTGTTGATATCATTAATGAATCTTTTTACCTCTAAAATTCATACTTTTCTTAACACCTTTTGATGACCTAAGAACAAGTCCCTGGGGGTAGGTAATAACCCTATCTGTTGATGATGTTATGACCTAAGAACGAGTCCCTTGGGGTAGGGAATAACCCTATCTGTTGATGATGTTATGACCTAAGAACCAGTCCCTGGGGGTAGGGAATAACCCTATCTGTCAAGTCCTTGGGGGTAGGGAATAACCCTATCTGTTGATGATGTTATGACCTAAGAACGAGTCGCTAGGGGTAGGGAATAACCCTATCTGTTTCCATGTTATGACCTCAGAACAAGTCCCTGGGGGTAGGGTATAACCCTATCTGTTGATGATGTTATAACCTAAAAACCAGTCCATGGGGGTAGGGAATAACCCCATCTGTCAAGTCCTTGGGGGCAGGGAATAACCCTATCTGTTGATGATGTAATGACCTAAGAACAAGTCCCAGGGGGTAGGGAATAACCCTATCTGTTTCCATGTTATGACCTAAGAACAAGTCCCTGGGGGTAGGGAATTACCCTATCTGTTGATGATGTTATGACCTAAGAACAAGTCCCTAGGGGTAGGGAATAACCCTATCTGTTGATGATGTTATGACCTAAGAACAAGTCCCTGGGGGTAGGGACTAACCCTATCTGTCAAGTCCCTGGGGTAGGTAATAACCCTGTCTGTCAAGTCCCTGGGGGTAGGAAATAACCCAATCTTACAAGTCCCTGGGGGTAAGGAATAACCATCTCTGTCAAGTTCCTGGGATAGTGAATATCCCTATCTGTCAAGTCCCTGGGGGTAGGGAATAACCCTATCTGTCAGGTCCCTGGCGGTAGGGAATAATCCTATCTGTCAAGTCCCTGGGAGTAGGGAATAACCCTATCTGTCAAGTCCCTGGGGGTAGGGAATAACCCTATCTGTCAAGTCCCTGGGGGTAGGGAATAACCCTATCTGTCAAGTCCCTGGAGGTAGGGAATAACCCGATCTGTTGATGAGAAACATAACAAAGAAACATAAAATCTGTCCTTGTTTGTTTGTGACTAGAAAGTAAACATGTTGTGATGACAATACTACCTTCGGTCATGTCTTCTAAGCTCAAAATCCTGGGAGCTCCTGGCTGGTCCAATTCCTGTTAAAACCAAATCAGCTGTAAGTTCATGACATACATTTAATACTATATCTAGGGCACCACAAACAAACTTCAAAGATAAACATTGCATTGTTTCTTTTAAAATCAAAAATCACTTATGTTTCATTCCTGAGTGATGTACACAGAAAAAAATCCACCCATATGTTTAGGTTGTTTTGTCTGAAATAAGGCTTTTCTGAGTTCAGGGCAATGAAATTCTTATTTTGAGGTTTGTTTAATTTTTTCTGTGCATTGATATATCTGACTGATCATTTCAAATTAAGGCATTCAAATTGATTTTATATTCACCACTTCACCGAGCCACCAAAAAATGTTACAATAAATACCCAGGCTGCAAAGATTTTATGTAAAAAAGCGATAAATTTTGCTCTGTAACTACAACATACATGTATACACAATCTCTAACACAAGTTACGAACACCCTGGTTTGGTAACTGATAAATACGAACTAAATCACCCAATCAGCAAGTGTTTCATACATTTGTAGTTCCTATCTGAAATAAGTTCCGGCTAGTTACTGGGCCACTGAAGGAGTTAAATAAGGGACTGATGACAATTTTTTAGATAAATGAAATGTTCAGGTATTTAACTTTTGAAAAATGTATACTTTTGATATATTTCAATGTCTGTGTTCGGATTTGCACAGGGGCAAAATGTCTGGGGGCGTTTCTATTTTGGGTCATCGGTTTTGCTTGTAAACTTCCGGTTGTCAACTTCTTGGTGCTGTGACACTCCAATATGCCACTAAACCTACCAAAAAGTCATTTTGTAGCCTTTGCAAGGCATGTATTTATGAATCTAGACAGTTTCCACTGGTTTTGAACTTCAAATATTAAAGTTATTATATTTGGTAATAACATATAGTAAAAGATTTAGTTGTGCGAGTCCTGAAGGTTACAAGGGGTTTACAATAAATGAAATTTGTTTCTCCACACATTTTTGTGGCCCCCTGTTGTATTAAGTGTCTGTTAAAGTTTTTGGCTTTAATTTGATTATTTGGATACAATAGAAAAATAAATACATTATCCTGAAAATTTGTTTAAGTGAGTTACTTTTTCCGTTTGTGCCACTGTATCACATGACCCGTACTTTCGTTTTCGGGATACTTGTTATTATGGCCCGCATTATGCACATTGTATGAGTATGTGATTGTGTAACACCTGTGATGTCATGAGTTGTGTTCTTTTGTTGACCTGACTGACCACTTCGGACATGCATGCGCAATGCAACGCTTCTTTTTTCTCTCTCCTTCTTCACTTGGGCATTTTTACAAGAGGTGAGACCTTCATTTTATGCTGGTAGTGGAAAGCCTGAATTATTGGGTAGATTATTATTGAAGACTTGACGTAAATTCCTTCGTGAGTAAAAGTAAAAGTAAAATATAAATTACATTCTATACTGAGTGAGAATGTTCTATAATTTTGTGTGTGTGTAATGATACTTAATTCGATTTTTTTTGTTAAACTGGTTATGTTGTCTTTTTATCTAAGAGTCATAGAATTGTGTTTTCATCCTTTTAAATATTATATTGTTCGTGTTATGTATTGTAAAAGTTACTGTGCGGTGTGTTCGATTATAGCAATATGTCTAATATATGTCTGTATTGTACAAATTCAATTAGTGTTTTTATATCATTTAAGGGATTTAGAGAGATACTGTTATAAACCAAAACAAACATTAACTTGATTGTCGAGTGATTTGTGCAAAGAACCCTGATTTCACATTTTAGTTAAGATAAAAAAAAAAATCCCGGAGAAAAGGAAAAGATAGTTGTCTCCCTTAGTAGGGAAAGTAACTTGCATAATATACATATATATTCTAGGGCTGTGATAATATATTGGAAAACTTGTATATCTCAAATGTACTGAAATTTTGTGTTGCATTGTAATAGAAAAATAAAATATAATTGTATTATAATATTTTTCAAAAGCTTAGTTTGCTTATGTATATGTACATGTCTTACCTTCGCATATTGCGAGACAAGCTAGCATATAAACATTATGCTGATAATAATTCAAATATGTCATTTCTAGTTGTAGGAATCAGTTAAAATGTCAAAAGTGATGGTCCAATCAATGAACAACTTGCATTTGCATGATTCACATCATCTATAATTCAGTTTCACAGCATTTTGTCGAAATGTTCTACTGCAGAAATTACACGTTTTTCCAAACACAAAACCACCTTTCTTTCATTTATATTGCAATATATATTGGATACAAATCAGGCGTACTGTTACCTCCCTACTGTATGTTGACTGTTGATGATATCATCTGCTCTACCGAGATTTCTACTGATCTAGGTGGGGACCTTACCTCCCCACTGTAGGTTGACTGTTGATGATATCATCTGCTCTACAGAGATTTGTACTGATCTAGGTGGGGACCTTACCTCCCCACTGTAGGTTGACTGTTGATGATATTATCTGTTCTACAGAGATTTGTACTTATCTAGTTGGGGACCTTACCTCCCTGCTGTATGTTGACTGTTGAGGATATCATCTGCTCTACAGAGATTTGTACTGATCTAGGTGGGGACCTTACCTCCCCACTGTATGTTGACTGTTGAGGATATCATCTGCTCTACCGAGATTTCTACTGATCTAGGTGGGGACCTTACCTCCCCACTGTATGTTGACTTTTGAGGATATCATCTGCTCTACAGAGATTTGTACTGACGTAGTTGGGGACCTTACCTCCCTTACTGTTTGTTGACTGTTGATGATATCATCTTCTCTATAGAGATTTGTACTGATCTAGGTTGGGACCTTACCTCCCCACTGTATGTTGACTGTTGATGATATCACCTGCTCTACAGAGATTTGTACTGATCTAGTTGGCGACCTTCCCTCCCTACTGTATGTTGACTGTTGAGTATATCATCTGCTCTACAGAGATTTGTACTGACGTAGTTGGGGACCTTACCTCCCTTACTGTTTGTTGACTGTTGATGATATCATCTTCTCTATAGAGATTTGTACTGATCTAGGTTGGGACCTTACCTCCCCACTGTATGTTGACTTTTGAGGATATCATCTGCTCTACAGAGTTTTGTACTGATCTAGTTGGGGACCTTACCTCCCTTACTGTATGTTGACTGTTGATGATATCATCTTCTCTATAGAGATTTGTACTGATCTAGGTGGGGACCTTACCTCCCTACTGTATGTTGACTGTTGAGGATATCATCTGCTCTAGAGATTTCCACTGATCTAGTTGGGGACCTTACCTCCCTTACTGTATGTTGACTGTTGATGATATCATCTGCTCTACAGAGATATGTACTGATCTAGTTGGGGACCTTACCTCCCTACTGTATATTGACTGTTGATGATATCATCTGCTCTACAGAGATTTGTACTGATCTAGTTGGGGACCTTAACTCCCTACTGTATGTTGATTGTTGATGATATCACCTGCTCTACAGAGATTTGTACTGATCTAGGTGGGGACCCTTACTACATTTAGCACTACAAATTTTGCAATGTATATATTCAGTACAATCAGCGCTGAAGAAAAATAATTCTATTGTGCTGCAACGAGAAATAATGGTTGCCTAACCTTACAAATCATCAAGCTTACCTGATAGATGAAGATATGTTTGAAGTCACTGGGGTTGGATGACTTCTCCTGAAATAAAAATCATACAACAATAAAAACATACATGATTAGAAAGATATAAAGGCATCAAAATTCATGGCAATGCAGTTTTACTGAGATTATTTGCATCAGTAACAGTTTTCCATATTTCCAATGTCACAGTTCCACCATCAGTGTTCAATTTCTGCCTAAGCATCAGTGCAACACTTATTTTGATTGGCCAATCGCAGGACTTACACAAAATCAGGGATAAGAATACATTTATGGCATATGTTCTATTGCAATAATCTGGCAAAGTTAAAACTGAAAGTGTGAACACGTTTTTGATTCCATGTATCAATGGAAAAAGAAATAAACAAAGTAAGAAGTTATAACAATAGTAACAGGACATCTTAAACAGAAGGTCATAGATGTACATTGATAAACAAACTATCAAAACAGTCTTATCACTTATAGTATATCAATCACTCTTGTTGGCCTGGATGGGAGTGCACAGTGAATCTTATATTAATGTGGAAGGAAACTAGAGTATCCTGAGAAAACCCAGGTGGTCAGACAGGTGATCCAATACCTTTTAAAGTCTGATAGGGGAATTGAACCCTGTCAAACTTTATGAAAGGTAGGTGTTCAATCCACTACACCAATTGACAACAACTTCAATGATTTGGATTGTTTTAAAATAATTATTCCATCAATGCATTAATTGTTATCTAGGCATCACTGTTGCTATAAAACAATAATTTGATTAATTGGTACATAGTTTAATATCTCTTTGTACCGGTTGCAACTATCACCAATGTTACAAAAAGTCCTTGTGAACATGAAGCAGGTCAACGTCCGAAATAAAATCTCAAAATCTCCACAAAAGTTGCTTACTGTTCCAAAGAAGACAATGCCCATCAGGTCCTTATCACTGCTGATGATCTTGTTTTGTAAGGTGGTCTTAGCACACTGTAATACAAATAATGACAGAAGGTTACAAAGAGACTCAAGTTATGATTGGTTGTCAGGTGAACCAGCTAGCTGGCGGTTGGTCCAGTGGTTAACACTCCTGCCTTCCACACAGGTGGCCGGGGTTTGATCCCCAAAGTCGTTATACGCATGGATATTCAGAGAAAGTGTTTTTCTCCTGCCCACACAACAAAAACAACCCAGGTGGAGTATAAATTGGTCTGGGGCGGATGTTGCGGTATCTGTGCTGTAGCATTCAACTGAGGTGGCACTATAAATGATGCCGTTGGAAGCACAGTCCCACTACAAACAGAACACATTACATTTCCAGCACACACACAGGCATACACACATAGGGAGATATTAGCCAGGTGGCATAGGACTAGTAGTTAGAGCCTGATAAGGCAGCTCCTGCGAATTCCTCAAAATTGTATTGATTAGTGTATATGCTAATTGTATTGAATGTATATCAATGTGCTGTAAAGTGCTTTAGAGAAGCTAATGTTAGCTAGGTAGGGCGCTATATCAAATGCTGTATAAATCATAGAAATCATAATCAATTTTCAGAAACATACCACCAGATGTCGACTAAATCTATAAATCGGAACACTATACAGTACTGTATAAAGTTTCAATGACAATGGGATAGTAATAGTAATAATGACCTTGTTTTTTGGTGTTTTTTTTCCATCTCAGAAGGTTGAAATCAACTCTAAAAGGGGTGATGTTTGGGAACATATAAATGAAGTTAATGACAATCCAAAAAGAAAACTCAATCTGAAAGGACTCGCACAACTAAATCAGCCAATCAGCAAGTGTTTTATACGTTTGTAGTTCCTATCTGAAATAAGTTCCGGCTAATTATATACTTTTGATATATTTCCATGCCTGTGTACGCATTTACACAAGGGGCAAAATGTCTGGGGGCGTTTCTGATTTGGGTCACCGGTTTTGCTTGTAAACTTCCGGTTGTCAACTTATTGGCGCTGTGACACTCCAATATGCCACTAAACCTACCAAAAAAGTAATTTTGTAGCCTTTGCAAGGTATGTATTTATGAATTTAGACAGTTGTCACTAGTTTTGAACTTCAAATATTAAAGTTATTAGCCAAAATGTTTGGTAAATAATAACCAATTTAAACTGATCATCAATTACTCCGATAAATAATATGATACTGAAACCCACTGCCATCATTAATAGAATAGGAACTATAGAGATAGTCTTTCTACCTTTAAACACAATTGGAAATGGCTGTCTTCGTCATCGTCTCCCTCATCAAACATGGACTTAGAACAGTCGATCAGGAATATCAAGCCATCTCTCCCCGCACGATTCTGTCAGCAGAACAATTTCACCAGTGATTAATTTAACTACAACAGTTCTACAACTAAAATGACAAGTTTATTACAAGTTTTTTGAATTTTTCAAAAGAACAATTGTTTGTCCTTACCCTGTCAAGTCAAATTTTTTGTTTAGATTGTTATATATGAAAGGTGATTTATACCTGTGGATCAGATTCATCTTCCTCATTCTCTTCATCTTCTCCATAGCGAGCAAATCCGAAATCTGCCATTGCAACTTAAGTCTGTCCTACTGTTTAAAGAAATAATAGGTCATATTCTGAATGTAGTAATATAATTTATCAATATACATTTGCTCTAAATTGCCATTTTATAAACCTATCATAGAAAGTAAGTTGAAAGATATAACATGTTACTCTGGTGTGATGATAGTGATGTTGTAATCATGACAGGAGAAAACTGGCTTTTGTTGTAAATCTATCTCATATAGGAAAAACAAATAAAACAAACTTTAAATATATGGAGAAGCCAATGATGATAAGATTGTTTTAAAAATGTTTTTCTATACATTTTTTTATTTTCATGGTACTTCCTAGGCCTCAATTGTGCAAATCTTTTTTTGTTTACATTTGTCACAGACCGAGGATCTCGCGATCAATGAGAAGTGAGCACAGAAGTCATTTGGAAAATATTTTGTTTAGTTTACATGTACTTTTATTAATGGAGAAATATATAAGGTAAAAGTATATAGTTTATCGTGCAATGCTTTCAGGGGTTTTCATTCAAATAATTTTCTCATCGCTCTCGAGTGGATGAATCTTGTGTTCACCTGTGGTGGCCTTTCGATTTTATCTATGTGCTCGTGATGAGAAAATTGTTCTGAAGACAAACCCTGAAAACATTGTGTGATAATCTATAAATTATAATAATTATGTACACCATATATGCATATCATTTATATAATTTGACTCGAGTGGCCATAAAGGCCTATGATTAAACCTCTTGTTCAACATATGTTAAGACATTCAGAGTAACAGAAAACCTGCTGAATAGACAGAATATGTGAACTTGTTTCTATTATGAATATAGTGTTTCAGCAACATTTATATACAAGACTTGTTCAGGTCCAGTACACTCTGCCGATTTAGCAATATAGCTGTACAGGCATATAATAGCTCTGTTGACCTGCCTGAAATAGACATTAAATATAAGTATTCTTTTTAAAAAATAATGATGTAAAAAAATCGGAAATTTTACATTTATGAAAAATGAAAATAAACATCTAAATGTATGCTCTTTGTAGTCAACATTACCTTATGATAAACCTTATTGTTTTATGCGACTTTGCTTTAATTTAATGCAAATTAAAATCTGAGAAAATAAAGCTAAATAGCTATAATCACAGACTGACATACAGATAGGTCTTTATAGCTATTATAACTAAATCGGCAGTGTACTATCTATCTATATGTTATACGCCACAGCGACCAAAATGGCTTTAATGCGGAGTACTGGACCTGTTGTTTACATTACTTGTACTGCCATACATTTTTTACGAATTTCAATTATTTGTGAATTGCTCTATCTAATTTAGTATCATGTAGTTATCGTCGTGGTTTAATACAAAAATATCACACTTGATACCAGTAACATTTGATCACAATTAATAACGTATCAAGACAACATTTGCTTACAAAAAAACAAAAAACATGTTCAGATCGAATTGGGTAGATTTAAGCTATTTTCAATAGTTGACAAATGTTCTAAACAGTCCAAACATCCTTAAAACGCACCTACAAGAAACTTGCTGTGCCAGCTTCAGTATACCGGAAGTAACATCACAAACAAATATTTTGGCGCCAGGCATGCGCATGATCGTTCGAGAAAGAATTTCCGGCGAAAAGGACGGAGGGAATAACGGAAGAAAACCATTCTTATTTATATTTTTCTGTTATTGTCATCCGGCAGAATGGCATATAACTATGTTGTTACGGCTCATAAGCCGACAGCAGTAAATGCTTGTGTTACAGGTGATTTAAATTTTCAATATCAATGGGTGTCATTGTGAGCTTCGGCTCATGCTTGTTTTTCCTCAATGTTGTTGCATAAACATTTCAGAATGACCATTTTAGTGCAACACTGTTGCATTGTCTTTAGTTAACAAGTGGTTAAACTTTAGTATATCCTCCAAAAGTCGTATCTGTACATAAGCTACTGTTTTAAACAGTAGATTAAACCTTATTTACACCTGGTTTATAGTCGAAAGCAAAGAATATATTATATATATTGTACAGATTATAATTAATAAAAAACACTGAATCAGGCAAGTTTTACCGATAAACAGTAAGAACTACATATTTCTGCGACACGATGGCTACAGTCGGGTAACCCGGTTTAAACGGTTCAGGTGGCTAGAAATTTAAATAGTCCACGATAAATGAACGCACTAAATGGACCGAGCTTAAGCAGAGCGAAAAAATGCACAGTTTCCGAGGATAAATAACAGCAACGTCACTGTACCCAAATCGGGACACTTTTTAGATAAATATCAATGTTCTTTATACCATATTTTCAGTTCGAAAAATGTTTGTTCATTTTTCATAAATAGATACTATTTCATATCTTGATAAGTTTCGGGTGCGTGGTTCTATAAATAAAACGCAAATTGCCATCAGGATTATGTAGGCCCTTGAACCGGCGTAACGGGTCTCGGCGTAACTGGACCCTGAAAAGGACACTTCAGTATTTTGGCTAATATTTGCTAATGTTTATTTGGTGATAAACGATCAATATCGGCAGAAAAGAAGACATATTTTAGAGTCAAACAGGGTTTAATGGTTAAATTTCTAATCCAAACTAACATTAGTTTTGATAAAATATACTTTTGAAAATTATATCCAGATAAAAAGTGTGCACAGTCGTAAATCGGGAAAGTTATATTTTGGTAATTATTCTTAATTACCTTTAAATTGTCCATGTAATGATAATCAGCAGCCAATAAAGCTTACATTAAATGTCGTAAAAGTATTATGAAATGAAAACTGTATACATAAAAATACTTCTTTGCTTTAAATGACAAAAAAATCATCTTGGTTTGTTTTTCCATAAGTGTCCCGTTTTGGGTACAGTGACGGTATATAAAGAATATTATGTCATTCTTTCATGCGTCCACTAAATTAAATAAAATAGTGTATTTTAAAATCTGGTTTGAAATTGTTTTACAAAGAAATAACGCAAACTAGCAAAAGTCAGCATTTTAGTTTCTGTCAGAGGCACCTCTCAATTTACACATGCAGAATATTCCTGAGGTAAGCCTCCGTTCAGATCTGCACCTGTTGTTTTCTTTACTGTTTCAAAACTCTTCCTGAAAATAAACCGCCATTGGTAATCTTTGTCCAGAATCAAGAGACATTTAATTCAGATACAAGTTCAGATATGAATTTTTAAGTATCGCTGGAAAAACTCAAAATTGTACCAATTGTGGTAGTGTGAGGTAATGTTCCATATTTCTACCTAGAAATAAACAAATATTTTATCATCACTGACTAGAAGGCGATTGAATCATATCATGAAATGCTTGCTCTGATCATTGTACAAAATGTACTAGTAAGCCCCGCTGACTGCATGGTTGCCAACTGATGCATGTACGTGTATGACCCAAGCATACAAAAAGATAGAAAATAATAATGTACATATAAAGCCCTTTGGTCTGTGTGGAGTATAACATATAGATATATAGGTTGGGAGACAATCTCCAAAAACCTAGACGGATCACTTTCTACACCGACAGTAAAATTTTCTGCTTAAAATCTACCTATTTATGTGTTCATTTAAAATTTGATTTTGATTGACCTGCCTGTCCACATGTCTAGTAAGTAAACTTTATTTCTAAAATTTCTTTACTTCAGGAAATTTCACATCTTCTGATGATCTGAATTTGATTATCGCTCGCAACACTCGACTTGAAATATATGTGGTTACTCCAGAAGGTCTCCGTCCTATCAAAGAAGTTGGCATCAATGGAAGGATAGCTGTCATGGAGCTGTTCCGGCCTCCAGTAGGTTCACTAAAGCAGTCTTCATATTTTGAATTTACACACCATAGACAATAAGTCTACAGAATATAGATTTCTTTTAGACCTAATGAAATTTTTCATAGACCAGACCTTTACCAAGAAAATTACTCGCATCTATATGTTTAACATTAAATTAAGAAATATGTTAAAACAATAAAGGAATAGATATTATTTTAGGATAGATAAATTGGTCTATGAATTAAGGAATTTCCACAAAACATAAGTGTATTTCATGGTGATTGTTTATGGGTCTACCATTAGTTCCAACGCTAACACTTCTGACTTATAAATGCCGAAGTCATTACGGTGACATAAAAACACAAACAAACATTCCCACACACCCCATACTTAAACTTAACAATTCAAGGTTGTGCTGAATATGATACACTGACACAGACTCCGATAGTTTAGTTCTGGACTGATACACTTACACAGACTCCGATAGTTTAGTCCTGGACTGATACACTTACACAGACTCCGATAGTTTAGTTCTGGACTGATACACTGACACAGACTTGGATAGTTTAGTCCTGGACTTATACACTTACACAGACTCAGATAGTTTAGTTCTGGACTGATACACTGACACAGACTCCGATAGTTAAGTCCTGGACTTATACACTTACACAGACTTGGATAGTTTAGTCCTGGACTGATACACTGACACAGACTCAGATATTTTTGTCCTGGACTGATACACTGACACAGACTTGGATAGTTTAGTCCTGGATTGATACACTGACACAGACTCCAATAGTTTAGTCCTGGACTGATATACTGACACAGACTCCGATAGTTTAGTCCTGGACTGATACACTGACTCAGACTCTGATATATTAGTCCTGGACGGATACACTCCGATAGTTTAGTCCTGAATTGACACACTGACACAGATTCCGATAGTTTAGTCATGGATTGATACACTGACGCAGACTCCAATAGTTTAGTGCTGGACTGATACACTCCGATAGTTTAGTCCTGAATTGACACACTGACACAGATTCCAATAGTTTAGTCGTGGACTGATATACTGACACAGACTCCGATAGATTAGTCCTGGACTGATTCACTGACACAGACTCCGGTAGTTTAGTCCTGGATTTATACACTGACACAGAGTTGGATAGTTTAGTCCTGGACTGATACACTGACACAGACTCCGATATATTAGTCCTGAACTGATACACTGACGCAGACTCCGATATTTAATCCTGGACTGATACACTGACACAGACTCCGATATATTAGTCCTGGACTGATACACTGACACAGACTCTGATAGTTTAGTCCTGGACTGATACACTGACACAGACACCAATAGTTTGGTCCTGGACTGATACACTTACACAGACTCCGATATGTTAGTCCTGGACTGATACACTGACACAGACTCCGATAGTTTAGTTCTGGACTGATACACTGACACAGACTCTGATAGTTTAGTCCTGGACTGATAAACTGACAGAGATTTTTTTGTCCTGGACTGATACACTGACACGGACTCCGATAGTTTAGTCCTGGAGTGATACACTGACAGAGATTTTTTTGTCCTGGACTGATACACTGACACGGACTCCGATAGTTTAGTCCTGGACTGATACACTGACACAGACACCGATAGTTTAGTCCTGGACTGATACACTTACACAGACTCTGATATTTTAGTCCTGGACTGATACACTTACACAGACTCCGATAGTTTAGTCCTGGACTGATACACTGACAGAGATTTTTTTGTCCTGGACTGATACACTGACGCAGACTCCGATATTTTAGTTCTGGACTTATACACTTACACAGACTCCGATAGTTTAGTTCTGGGCTGATACACTGACAGAGATTTTTTTGTCCTGGACTGATACACTGACGCAGACTCCGATATTTTAGTTCTGGACTTATACACTTACACAGACTCCGATAGTTTAGTCCTGGACTGATACACTGACAGAGATTTTTTTGTCCTGGACTGATACACAGATTCAGATAGTTTAGTCCTGATCTTGTGCTGTTCCTGTAGGACTTACGAAGATTTTAAGAAATCGCTTTTCCTCTTGACAGTTTTAAATGACTTACTAAAAGTTTTGAAAAGATATTCAGGACTCATCTGAATTTTTTTACAAAAATCTCTTATTTTCATAGTAAAAATGCATATATATCCAGAAAATTTAACATGTTTTAAAAATGTCTTCCAGGGTGAGAGCAAGGACCTCATGTTTCTTTTGACATCAAGATACAATGCAATGATTCTGGAGTGTAACCAGAATGGAGACAACATTGATATTATCACCAGAGCCCACGGCAATGTGCAGGTAACATGTATTTGAAGATAATAGTTAAATGATGAGTTTTGTCTAATTAAAATTTATGATGGTTCCCAAAAATAGCCGCTAAATTGCATGTTAGTGTTACTGTCACACATATAAAGCCAAATAAAAAAGAAAATCTTGTGTTTCCGCTAACCCTACCTACCCTAGATTTGTGTGCTTATCCTAAAGTTTGTATTGGCATTTAGTGATATGCACTGTTAAAGTCAGAACTCCTGCTCTAAGCATAGTAAAATCATTTTCCAAAATAAAATAAAATTGCCTACCTACTTTACCCTATTGTTCTGAGAATGTTAGCAGAAACACCAGTAAGTTTGTTTTTGGCCTAACTTTTGAATTTCATCCTTTATGAGCATAAGTGTTAATTGTTAATCATGATATCCTGGGTTTTTTTACATATTTGCCTCATTTGTTATTAATAGGATCGGATCGGGAGACCGTCAGAAACTGGCATAATCGGCATCATTGATCCACTGTGCCGTGTAATAGGCCTTCGACTGTATGATGGCCTATTCAAAGTTATCCCCCTTGATCGGGATAATAAGGAGTTGAAAGCATTCAACATAAGGTAAGCTGTCAGATATAAATAGATAATGTACATACTCATAGAAAATCTGCACAACAGCTTTCATTATTCAATGTGTATGATATTTTGAATTTCTTTACTGTGATAAGGGCTGATGTGTATTAGGCTTGTCTTATGGGACAGCTTTTTGGCGATCACATGATGAAAATCCAACAGTATTTTATAAGTCATATCTCGTATTACTCAACTTGTAATGTTGATAGTATCTTACAGTTTCTACAACAATGTTGTAAGTGCTGAATTATTTTGTACTGACAGACTGGAGGAGCAGATTGTGGTTGACATGCAGTTCCTACATGGCTGTACCACTCCCACACTCATCCTCATCCATCAGGTGAGTCCAAGCTTAATGTCATGTAATCAGATTCATTCCCAATGATATAATGGTGAGTTTTATAGGCAACCCCATCCACAACACACACACACTTCCAAAGTTAGAGCTAGGTGTCAAAGTTCAAATTATTGCATCGGTTGTCTAGCTAGATCATATCAACTTCATTACTTAACAACAGATTTTTGTTACAACAGTGTTTTTCTGTACTAATTTCTGATTTATTTCTCATTTACTCATGAAAGCTCACATAAATGTGCATCAATAGAGGAACACATATGTTATCTCTGGTGTGGATGAAATTTATGGATTACCAGAATCTTTGCACATTTATTGATGTCACAGATACATCCTCAAATTAATTGGTTGTCATTTTCCTGACAATACAGTATAAAATTTTGCACCAAATCTAGTGTATACCTATATACAGCCAGACTACATACCATGACATGAGCCTCAGATGTTGCTTTCACTTCACTTGCTCAATTTTTGAGATGTTTTCTTGACATGGATGTTACTATTTTAAAGAGCACATACCATGCTGTCTGTTAATTCCACTATTTGCTTGTTAACATTTTCATTTATAAATCTGAATTTTGAATTTTGTACTTAGTGTTTCATTGCGTTTTGCATTGGTATGTTTCCAAATTAAGCCAGGATGTAGCACCCTGTCACTCTGTGTTAGCTAAAACACTCTTGTGTCAACAGATCATGGTTAGAAAAAGTTGTTTTTGCGATGATCCAGAATACAGTATCAGTACTAAATCTACATACGAGTCCCTACTCCTATACTCTTAGAATGTCGATGGGACTCCTAGAATTTCTGGATGTACTTGAATTTAACATTGTTTTTAGCAATACAGTTAAAAAGGACACATACAAATAACTTGTAGATTGATCACTGCAGACTTGTATCTTATTTGAGGCTTTAATACATTGCAGGATCAACATGGAAGACATGTTAAGACCTATGAAATCTCACTGAGAGACAAGGAGTTCCAGAAAGGTCCCTGGAAACAAGATAATGTGGAAACAGAAGCATGCATGGTCATTGCAGGTTTGTCCATCCGATAATGAATTTCATATATATAATCATGGTTGAGCATTAAAATAAAAGCATTTATTATACATATTTTTTGGGAAGTATAAAATGTAAATTTTATGTGGAAGGGAGTTACAATTTACTTGTGGAACAGCAAAACAATACTTGACCAGTTGAATTACTAAAGTAGTACTTTGCTTTATTATCCGGAAAATTCATGAAATTGTATTTCATACTTGGCCAAATGAGTTAGTAGCGCAAATAAAGGTGCCCTAGGGATTTTAAGAAATAAAAAAATTGCTTACTTTAGCATTCTAAAGTTTTCTTGTCGGAATTTTGTAATTTATGGAAGCTGTCTGGTTTATTTTGTGAGACAAATGCTGCCAATAAAATGGTGCTTTTATCTGTTCAGATAGCAAAAACACAGCTGCAGTGAAACATTAGCTGCTGGCATAGTGAACAATTCAGTCTTTCAGAATGAAAATACTGCTATATTGATTGGGAACCTAACTTGAGAGTGGGATAAAAAGTCTTTCTTGTCTCTGCTAAATTTTTTTTAATAAAGTATGTTGTTCTGAGAAAAGTTTTTAAAATAAGATACCTCACTCATCACTTAACCGTGCCTGAAGCTCTTAGGCCAAATAAAATTAATTCCTTGGTTCTCAGGCCAATTTTTTTCAAAATAGATGCGGCAGGGCGGTATTTTTCTTTTTCTTTTAACATGGCAAAAACGAGACGAGGGCGATTTGTTGTTGTTGTGTAGTTTGTAAAACGTTCATTGTGGACATTACCTTGTCTCTTTATAGTTGTGTAGAGACCCATCATAGAGCAAGCCTCCGAAAATCCCCCCACTATGTTCCAGACGAGAATCACGAACCCCCTATTCCTTATTTGTACCGAAATATAATAAGCGCCATTTGTACACAAGACTAATAAGTCATAATCATTTTAACGCTTGCCTGTATCTCAATCCTTACCTTTATTCAAGAGTTTTCGGGACTTTGGTGACTAACGAGTAAAAACGACATGTGGACCAATTCTCCGGATTTTTTTTAAGAGGGCGGCTGCCGCATTCACGTTTTTTTTTATATTACTTTCACGATAAAAGCGGCAATGCGCACGGTTCCATGAGATTGCGCTGGCCTGTGAACCAAGTAATCAATTTTTTTTGGCCTTATTAGGTCTAATACCTTATTACTATATTTCATCAGGCCAAACAATTGAACCATGTCTTATGTAATATTAGTTTTCCTGTTGACATATTCAGTAATAAACAGTTTAATTATGATGACTAATGAACTATATTTTTCAGTGCCGGAGCCCTTTGGCGGAGCTCTAATCATAGGCCAGGAAATCATTACATACCACAAGGGAGATAACTTCATACCTATAGCACCACCAGCTATCAAGGTAATTGTTTAATTTGAATGTATTATTATTGATTGATTGTCATTCAAAGTCATATAAAGAACAATTTATTGCAACCTTATTGATGGAATTAATATTTGAATGTTTAGCAAAGCACATTGACCTGTCACGGTAAAGTGGATGCCAACGGGTCGAGGTACCTGCTGGGAGACATGATGGGCAGACTGTTTATGTTATTGCTAGAGAAGGAAGAGAAGATGGATTCCAGCGTTGTTGTCAAAGACCTCAAAGTGGAACTGCTTGGAGAGGTAAAAAAAAAAAATCATCACATTTAGTATAACATATTACAAAATACTGTATAGTTGCTTATTTTTGTGGCTTAAAATTTTCATAAATTGCATTGATTTAAAGGGATTAAATTCACAGTATTGTGAAATTGTGGTTTTCCTAAAACAACAAACATTTTGTTTGAACATGAATTTGTGGATTACAAGTACCCACAAAGTGTGGATTACTAGTACCCACAAAGACAGGAGGTATACTACTCATGGACAATAACTTCATGTCAAACTTTACTGTGTAGAGTCCAAATAGAACATTTCTCAGGTGCAACATGCAACACAATCAGTTTGATACAGAACTGATGCACATATTTAAAAAACATTTAAATGGGGCATTAAAATTGTTTTATACAGACAGCATAAAAACAATTGATTTGTACTATACAATGAATAAGAAGTCCTAACATGTGCATCTGTCAATTAATTTTGTCTATTTCATAATCACACTTTCAGCATTGTTAATTTGATCACATTTTTTGTGTCGTTTTTTCTGTTCTCTGTACAGACCACGATAGCAGAGTGCATTACATACTTAGACAATGGTGTGGTGTATATTGGATCCAGACTCGGGGACTCACAGCTTATCAAGGTACGTTTTTAGATCATGCTGTGTAGGATTTCTCTTTACCATTCAATAATTGAAGTTGCCTGGTTGAAATGCCAATGTGACAGTTGCGCAATTGTTAGTAAGCATGAGAAAATATCAAATATCAAAGCAAAACAGTTTATGTCATTAAGAAGAAGAAAAGTATCCAAAACAGCTACATAATCAATTTTCAGTAATTCCAATGTCAGGAGATTATTCATGTTACAACTATCTGTTGCTTTATAAAATAAATAACTTAATTCTCAGACATAACATTGTTTTGTTATTTTGAATATAATGATGAATTGTGATGGGCACACTTTCTCTTTTACAGTTGGATGTTGAAGCAGATGACAGTGGGTCCTATGTGACCGAGATGGAGAGGTTTACAAACCTTGGTCCCATTCTTGATATGTGTGTGGTTGACCTGGAGCGACAGGGGCAGGGTCAGGTGAGAGTATAGCTTCACAAATACTGTAAACAACTTCATTTCCAAAAAGATATTTTCATATTTCAGCAACGTTTTGAGTATGGCATAAGAGTTTGCTTTTTGTTTTGGTTTGTTTGAAAGTAAAAATAAATTTTGACCTGAATTTCCTTACAGCTTGTTACCTGCTCTGGAGCTTACAAAGAGGGGTCCCTTCGAATCATTAGGAATGGCATAGGCATACATGAGCATGCCAGTATTGATCTGCCTGGAATTAAAGGTTTGTATAATATTGTATTTGTCGGAAAGGTAATACAAAGTTTATATATTTATGTATTACATGTCTAAATGAGGAATGGTCCACAGTTTGTCCATGTAATGTTTTAACATATCCAGAAATAATCCAGATGGTTCAAACACTGACAGGAAATAATGTTAACCATTTCTCAATCATGAGATTACTAAGGCCAAACAAATTTATTTGATTACTTGGTTCTCAGGCCCGCGTGCATTTCATGGCACTGTGCGCATTGCCGATTTTATCGTGAAAGTAATAATAAAAAAAATTGTGAATGCGCCAGTCGCCATCTTTAAAAAAAATCTGGAAAATTGGACCGCATGTCGTTTTTACTCGTTAGTCACCCAAGTCCCGAAAACGTTTTAATAATGGTAAGGATTGCGATACAGGCAAGCGTTAAAATGATTATGACTTATTAGTCTTGTGTTCAAATGGCACTTATATCTGTACAAATAAGGAATAGGGGGTTCGTGATTCTCGTCTGGAACATCTTGGGGGGGTATTTTCGGAGGCTTGCTCTATGACGGGTCTCTACAAAACTATAAAAACACCAGGTAATGTCCACAATGAATGTTTTAAAAACTACACACAAAAAGAATACCGCCCTGCCGCATCTATTTTGAAAAAAAAATGGCCTGGGAACCAAGTAATTAATTTTATTTGGGCTAACTTATAAAAAGACATGGTTTTGTAAAGACCATTGTTTTGTCTATCTGGCAGACAACTTCGTAAAACCTTTTACCCATTTTAAATATGAATTTTTAGAGTTGTTTTCACAACATATTCGTGAAGATTTGAATTTGCAAAAGGAACATGGAAAGATATACATTTCTTGTTTTATTGCATCTCAATATTAAGTAATAGTGATGACCAAATATGATTCTGTTCTCTGAAGTGATTATCATTGGTGTGTTACAGGTATCTGGTCATTACGGGTCAACTCTACAGACTACGACAACATGATAGTACTATCCTTTGTCGGTCAAACCAGGTAAGTTTGAAAATGACATGGAACCAACACTTGATGTAGACTAGGGCACCATAATACTGCTGTCCTTCATTGGTCAAACTTATATGTTCATAAATTCTTGCTATCATTTGATGTAGACAAGGACAACATGATATAACTGTCATATATTGGTAAAACAAAAGGAAATTCTGAAATAAACCATCAAAAGAGCAAATTTACTTTCCAACTATGGTTGGACTAAAAACCTGGGCGATTTTCAGTTTGGCATTATCAGTGAGTTTATATTCCTTAAAATAGTGCTTTTTGACAGATGGTGTCCAACTTCACTCCAAGAGCTAGGGAGTTTCCAAATAGCAACAAATCTAGGACTAAACCCCTATCTCATGTAGAAGTTCTTATCACAATTAATCTACAAATCCTTTGTCTCATGTAACAAGTAATCATTCAAGCAGTCCCACCGCTGCCACCAAATTATGTAACGAGAACCGATCGGGATTACTTGAAATAAGGCAAGAACTGTAAATACAAAATAAAATTATACAGTTTATTTATAATACATGATATTAAAGATATATATGTTGGCCATTACACACACAAACAAAATAGTTCTCTCTCTATCATCCCATTATGACCTATATGTACAAATGATGGAATTTAGCTTGATATACAATATCCTACAGTTCATGTAGCTTATGGGCACTTTTCTTCCAACCTCTTCCACTGGATCTTTAATGATACTGTTCATCCATAGCCACAGTCCACCTATCACCAAACATTCCCATTGAATCACACAGATAACATAGGGAGACACCATTATTTGGTCACACAGACCAACAAACAAATGAGCTATTATTGGTCACACAGACCAGCCGATCACAGGGTCTGCGTAAGTGGTCACACAGACCAGCCAATCTCAGGGTGTTACAGTTGGTCACACATACCAGCCAATCCTAGGTAAGTCACTCGGAACGTATCTGACTCTCGTAGTGAATAAAGTTAGTAACACAGACTCGCACTACGATGAATAGATATTGGGTGCAGGGCATGACCCTCTACCAGACCACACATGTACAGGTATGATGTTGGCAGACTGCTATATTTGGACCATCAGCATCAGGCCCTTCCTCTGGTACTAACGGTGGTAGTTTGGCATCATATCTTTACACAGGACCAGCAGTTTATGGCCCTTCATCAAGATGGAGTGTCGACAGCCTATGGATAAAAAGCTACAATATATGTACGACCTAATCAACTATCTATTATACACATTAAGATAATATAACACAATTAAATAAGAATATTAATGAAATCAATGTCCTATGTATGAACCAATGATATATATTATATCTGAATAGCAATATCTGTTAAATTAAAACCATAATCAAGCTGATCAAAACTAACCAGGTTGTTGTTTACACTCCATCTGACCTCATTCACACGTATGTTTGTGTACACAATGCGTGTTTGCACCCAGGAGGCATACATATTTATCAGGTCAAATACAACATTCTATCACACTTAAACGGCCAAGCAAACATATATGAACTAAAACATTTGTTATTTATGTAATGATATAACTTTTGTTCACTTTAACCTACAGCAATAAGCTGTTTGCGCTTTCACATAGAGGTCTTTTTTACCTGTAATATTCTAAGCTCACAAAGCTTACAACTCATCTGCGAATGCCCGACTTACCTGCATGAGTCTCTCTCAGTGGAAACAGCAGACTATTTAAACACTAAAACTTAGTGAATATGTACAATGGTCAAAACGGCATGTAACAGTAATGTCATCAGTTAAACATATCATTGACATTAACAATGTAAAATTGTGATAATGATGTCATCAGAGTATTTAATCAATTGCATTCATTGTATGAAGGGGGCCGTGGTGGCCAAGTGGTTAAGGTGTCTGACATTCTGCTACCACTAGCCCTCCACCTCTGGGTCGCGGGTTCCAGATCTACGTGGGGCAGTTGCCAGGTACTGGGCGTAGGTCGGTTGTTTTTCTCTGGGAAGTCCGGCTTTCCTCCACCACCAAAACCTGGCATGTCCTAATATGACCATAGCTGTTAATAGGAATACAAACAAACCAAATGTATTTTAGTCTGCTGTATTTGTTATTGAGATCCTGTAACGGTAAGACTAGTTGTGGGAGTATAACCAGGTCCTAGTATGTATGTCTTAGTTAGAACTGTACTTTGTGACACCAACTCGATGTTGTCTAATACTGTGTTTTCTGTCATGACAGGGTACTGATGTTAAATGGTGAGGAAGTTGAGGAGACGGAACTGGCAGGGTTTGAATCAGACCAACAGACATTTCTGTGTGCTAATGTCGTCCACAATCAACTGCTACAGGTAAAGGTTCAGGGATCAGGGAAAAAATTGTTTAATTTTTAAGTTCCTTCTGAAAATTTGATTTTACACAGGTGTACATGATCATTTTCTAAATATTGACTATCATGTCTATGATCACTCAACAATCAATCTCTTGGAGATTTGATTCTAACTCCCTTTTCTTGGACTATAAAACCCTGGTGGTTTTCAGTTTTGCATTATCAGTGAGTTAATAATATTCCTTAAAATAATGGTTTTTGACAGATTTTCTGCAAAAATATACAGAATGTTGTTTTGTTGTAAGTACAGCCATCTAGATATCTAGAAGTTTTGTTTATATGATTACATCATATTTCATAATAATTCGTTATAATATTCATCCTTATTTAATTCACGAATACATAAACTTCATAATCCTTTATTAAAAACCAATAGAGAATCACAGTAGAGTACATGGCACTATAGTATTTACTATTGTGCAATTCAGTGACATAATCATTTGCAAAATTTTAAGTTGGGTATTTTTTTTATTGCACCCATTTACTTAATTTGCTTGTGTTCAGAGACAAAAATTAACATAATTTTGTATAAGACCGACAAAGTTAGAGAGGGGCCTTAATTGCAGGTACCCACCCTGTTCCCAGGACATTTGAGGTCATATTCAATTCAATGTTTAAGCACCTGGTGCTCATTTGACAAATCTCAAAGGGGCCTTTTTTTTTGATATTTTGAACCAAAAAGATATGTAACTTGCGACATTTGCAGCATTTCCTCACTATTTAATTCTCAGTATGCTTGCTGCTTTGTTTTAGATCACTCCTGTATCTGTGCGACTTGTGAGCTGCGAGTCGCGTCGACTAGTTAGTGAGTGGAAACACTCTGGAGGAAAAAACATCAGTCTGGCTTCCTGTAACACTGCCCAGGCTGTGGTCGCTGTCGGCAGTGAACTGTACTACCTGGAGATAGGACAGGGAGAGGTCAAAGAAGTCAGGTATTCCATTAGATTGCATAGAGAATAGACAAGTGGTTTGATTATGAATCAAGGAAAAAAAATAGATTGACTGCAGCGTGGGACTTTTAAATCTGGTATTCGAACATATCAGATGAAATTTGCAGTAATTAATCATTAGATCAATGTAGAGAAGATACAAGATACAAGAATTTGTATTTAACCTCGCATATTTGAAACAATAAAATTATGTGTGATTCATAAGGATTTTTTTTTATATTAGGTCAAAAAAAAAAGATTACTTGGTTCTCAGGCCCGCGCGCATTGTTTTTAGGGCACCGCATTGCCGATTGTATCGTGAAAGTAATAAAAAAAAATTGTGAATGCTCCAGCCGCCGTCTTTAAAAAAATCTGGAAAATTGGTCCGCATGTCGTTTTTACTCGTTAGTCACCCAAGTCCCGAAAACGTTTGAATAAAGATCAGGGCTACATTCGCTTATCTGGTTGAAACGGTTGAACCTGTAAAGAAAACGACAGGTACAGATCTGGACCGAGGCTGACCTCAGGAAAATTTGGTACGTGTAGATTGAGGGGTGCAGACGTACCTGACCGAAAATAAAATGCTGACTATTGCCAATTTGCGTTATTTTTTTCTAAAACAATGTCAAGCCACATGTAATTTTTAAGATACGTTATGTAATTTAGTGGACGCGTGAGAGAAGGGCATAATATTCTTGATACATTGTTTTTTATTCTCCGAAACTGTGATTTTTAGCTCTGCTTATAGAACGGTCCAAGTGTGTTAGTTTATCGTGGAAAATTTCTGCGCCACACGTACCGTTTCAACCGGGATACGCAAATGTAGCCAACGATTGATATACAGGCAAGCGTTAAAATGATTATGGCTTATTAGTGTTGTGTACAAATGGCGGTCATTTCGGTACAAATAAGGAATGGGGGGTTTGTGATTCTCGTCTGGAACATCGTGGGGGGATTTTCGGAGGCTTGCTCTATGACGGGTCTCTACACAACTATAAAAAGACAAGGTAATGAACGTTTTACAAACTACACAATAAAAAAAAATCGCCCTCGTTTCGTTCTTGCCATATAAAATGGAGAGAGAAAAAATAGCGCCCTGCCGCATTTCTTTTGAAAAACATTGGCCTGAGAACCAAGTAATTAATTTTATTTGGCCTTAACAGAAATATTTAGTTTTTTTGACACAAATTATTCATAACAAGTAGCATGTACAAATAAGTGACTGATCCATCAGTTGTCAAAATTAAAATAATGATCATGTTCGATTTCGTTTTTGCTGCAGACTACACATTTCTGAAAAGCATATAGACAAATGAAAATGAAGAAAAAGAAAAGTAAATATTAGGATTCAACTGTTTTTCTTGTGGTTTAGTTGAAGAGAAACCTCCCAACAGATAGAGCATGGGGTATTAGCCATGAACAACTTTGTGGTTCATCATGAATAAATATGCTGTACTCTTTCGAAATTTACCCTTGGAGCAACCCACCAGCAAAACAGTATAACTTTAAATACTTGTATGTATTTTCTTTACATAAGTAAAAAAAGAATGAACATGAACAAATTGTACTGGACAAATTAGCTGAACTCTTACATACATTTTGCAGTAACACAATGATGGATCACGAAGTAGCTTGTGTAGACATCACACCGCTGAGAGAGGGCTCAGACCGAGCCGAGCTCTGTGCCGTCGGGCTGTGGACAGATATATCTGCTAGGGTGCTTAAGTTACCATCATTTGAGAGCTTGAATGTTGAAATGCTTGGTGGAGGTAAGAATCCTGTGTCCAGGCTTTCTGGTGTATTGTCAAAAATATTTACTACAAACCACAAATGACAGATAAGCTTTCAATAGGCATATTTTGTCATAGAATTAATTCATGTGAAGGTTTCTTGCAAGCACAATTATGATATTGTCTTAAAGAATTTGTAAGAACAGTTTTCCTAACCATGTTGTACTGTATTGCCAATGCGCGTAACAACCTTATCCAGTGGTAATTAAAAAAATAAACTGTACTTGGAAATTTATATTTGACATTTGTAATATATTGTCACACCTATAATTTAAAAATAGTCTTGTTAAGGTTTTAAGGTGTTAATATGAACTAATGAACGTATAATTGTTCATGGAGATCATCCCTAGGTTTTAAGGTGTTAACATGACCTAATGAGTGTATAATTGTTTACAGGGATCATCCCTAGGTTTTAAGGTATTAACATGAACTAATGAGTGGATAATTGTTTCCAGAAATCATCCCTAGGTTTTAGCATGAACTAATAAGTGTACAATTGTTCACAGAGATTATCCCTAGGTTTTAACAAGAACGAATGAGTGTATAATTGTTTACAGAAATCATCCCTAGGTTTTAGCATGAACTAATAAGTGTACAATTGTTCACAGAGATCGTCCCTAGGTCTTAACATGAACTAATGAGTGTATACTTGTTCAGAGAGATCATCCCTAGGTTTTAACATGAACTATTTAGTGTATAATTGTTCACAGAGATCATCCTAGGTTTTAAGGTGTTAACATGAACTAATGAGTGTATAATTGTTCACAGAGATCATCCCTAGGTTTTAACATGAACTAATGAGTGTATAATTGTTCACAGAGATCATCCCTAGGTTTTAACATGAACTAATGAGTGTATAATTGTTCACAGAGATCATCCCTAGGTTTTAACATGAACTAATGAGTGTATAATTGTTCACAGAGATCATCCCTAGGTTTTAACATGAACTAATGAGTGTATAATTGTTCACAGAGATCATCCCTAGGTTTTAACATGAACTAATGAGTGTATAATTGTTCACAGAGATCATCCCTAGGTTTTAAGGTGTTAACATGAACTAATGAGTGTATACTTGTTCACAGAGATCATCCCTAGGTTTTAAGGTGTTAACATGAACTAATGAGTGTATAATTGTTCACAGAGATCATCCCTAGGTTTTAAGGTGTTAACATGAACTAATGAGTGTATAATTGTTCATGGAGATCATCCCTAGGTTTTAAGGTGTTAACATGAACTAATGAATGTATAATTGTTTACAGGGATCATCCCTAGGTTTTAAGGTATTAACATGAACTAATGATTGTATAATTGTTCACAGAGATCATCCCTAGGTTTTAAGGTGTTAACATGAACTAATGAGCGTATACTTGTTCACAGAGATCATCCCTAGGTTTTAAGGTGTTAACATGAACTAGTGAGCGTATACTTGTTCACAGAGATCATCCCTAGGTTTTAAGGGGTTAACATGAACTAATGAGTGTATACTTGTTCAGAGAGATCATCACTAGGTTTTAAGGTGTTAACATGAACTAATGAGTGTATAATTGTTCACAGAGATCATCCCTAGGTCTATACTGATGACAACGTTTGAGGGCATTCACTACCTATTATGTGCTTTAGGAGACGGCTCACTGTTTTACTTTAATCTCAACATTGACACAGGTAAGAGGAAAAGATCAGTATTGGGTGAAAGTTACAAGGTAAATGCATCTATTGCATTTATCTTGTACTTCTTCAAGATTTGAAAAAAAAAGAGTTAAGTTTACCCATTTATCGTTCTATCCCTATATCACCTGGCAACACTTTTTTTTTTATCTAACATTGATTTTGATTTAGTATTAATTTAAATTTCCCCTTGATTTAATTTTGTGATTTTCCTCCTCTTAACCCTTAGGCTGCTACGCACAACAATAGTCGTTTTGAAAAGTTGGGCCGTCAGTGCTACGCACGACTATAGTCGTTTCTCGGTCTGTAGGCTTTGATCGGTAGCCAGGAGGTGTGAAGTCGTGTTGCTGCTATACCAAACCCGAACGCGTATAGTAGAAGGCTTCTGATTGGTTGTTTTGTCATTACTTTCGATATTCACGGCAGTGTACCCTAGTAATAACCAAAGGTGTGCAAGAGAATTTCAAATCGAAAAAAAATCATAAAAATGTCGGACGTGCGGATTGAAGCGATGAATATGATGGTGAACATTTATTCTCCCTCGTCACCTACGATGATAATAAAGGTTTTAAAGGGTTTTGCATGGTTGATGTGGAAATACTTCGGTGCTACATAATATGTAACTTTACAGTAAACGTCTTTGTGCTCTACGCAAACAGGAAAATATCGGCGGACCGAGGCGCACATGTCGTCTGCAGGTGAGGTCGAATTGAACATTGACATTGATACGTTTTGAGCCGATTTATTTCTTCAAACTTTTTATCGGTGATTTAATCATAAACTAGACCGTAGCTAAGATATATCTATATGCCGACTGTGACAGTAAATTTATTGAATGGCGACCTGAAACCTGTAGCAAATCACATGCAATTCTTGACGAAATACCTGACCTTTTTACCTGAGAATCTCCGTGTAAACATACAGCGTCTTATGTCAAAAATGAAGTTTATAATCTCTGTTATCATTTGCCAATCACATTTGCTGATACAAATAATTTTAAAATGATCTTCCTCTTGCTTAAATCCGATTAATTAAAAGTTTCACATTTTCTTACCTTTATTACCACCTGTACAGGTAAATACTGAAGCAACTTTAGAATTGAAAACGTTAATATAAACTAGAGACAACAACGAACAATTTTCATATAACTTTTTTTCACATATAACAAATATTTTCCAAGTTATGCACATTTGAAACATCAAGTAAATTAATTTAAATTTCAATAATTAATTCAGCAGTGGTGTCCGTTTACATAGAAATCAATATGGCAGCCTAAGGGTTAAATATGTGTCAGACAATATAATCCCAGTGTCTGTTCCCAGCTTATATAGTGATTACTGCTATAAATCTGCCAATGACCCTCCTAGTGTGTTGATACATGTTAACATGCAATGAAGCAGATCACCTTCATGTAGATGTTTTACAGTCATCTTTATTTTAAATTGCAAAATATCATTGATAAGGAAGTTCTATTGATGCAAATTAAAGATTTGTGATTGTATTTTTGACTGTCAGTCTGTATATGGTTGGCTTTTTTTGTGGAAGGGTATCTCTGAGAGGGCTGTTTCATAATTAACAGGGAGGGATAGGAGGCACTTTTCAGAGACCCCACCACCCATAAAATCTTAAGTGATTTGATATAATGAATGGTAGGCAGATCTGGTTTTAAACTCATCACCCATAATGAATCAATACCGGTGCCTCCCACTTCCCAGATACAATGAATTATGGAATGCCTATGTAGTAGTCCTAACATTATAGTCATTGTACATTTATATATATATTGCTTACATTGTTCTGTAAAGGGTATTTCTGTGAGAAGAGGAAAGTGACTTTGGGTACCCAGCCCACGGTGCTGAAGACATTCCGCTCACTGTCCACTACCAATGTGTTCGCATGCTCGGACCGTCCAACGGTCATCTACTCAAGTAACCACAAACTTGTCTTCTCCAATGTCAACCTTAAGGAAGTCAACCACATGTGTCCACTCAACTCCGAAGGCTATCCAGATAGGTACAGTTGTGTGTTTACTGTGGTTTAATGAAATGACTAGTTTGTCTCTTTGTAAATACAATATAGCATAGCAGACCTATAAAGGATATTGGAGACTTTGAAACACTTTGCCAAGGCTCTCCAGAAAGTAATATCTGATGTTTGTAATTTCATCTGTACTTTAGAAAGAGTAACTTTGGTCCAGGTTTTGAAACCATTCAGTATGGAAATATTTTGCCTAATCTGTTATTTGATTTTCATCTAGAAAATCCATGCTTGCCCAGTGTAAATTTTTCATCTCACATTGTTTTTGTTATGTATTCCATTCTGTGTACTAATATTGGTACACATGAAAAATACCAACTTGTTACATAGGGCAAACGTTACTCTGTGGCCGATGTTTCTTGGTATACAGTATTTGGGTGAGGTTTTAGGCAGCACTTCGGATGTTTGTACTTTTGCGTTGATTTGATCTTCATCATTTATAACTTGATGTTGACAGTTTAGCCCTGGCCAATGACAGCACTCTTACCATTGGAACGATCGACGAGATCCAGAAACTACACATCAGAACTATCCCTCTCATGGAATCACCCAGGTAAGCTAAGGCCAAGAAAATGACGACATGTATTTATTTCCTTTGTTTGATGTTATTTCTTTTAAAAACCTTTATCAACCATTTGTTGCCCCTAATTACTTTAATAATGATATAAAACCATCCTCGACCACCTTATCTCAGACTTTTTTCTGATCTGGTAGGAGGATAGCTTACCAGGAGGCATCACAATCATTTGGGGTTATCTCCACGAGGATGGATATCCAGGATAGCAACGGCATGTCCCCGTCACGGGCCAGCGCCAGTACGCATGCTGCTATGACAACAAGTAGTTCCAATGTCAAGATGGTCACCACGGGAACCAGTACTATGTTAGAACATACGTTTGGTGATGAAGTCGAAGTTCACTCCCTCCTTGTCATAGATCAACACACATTTGAAGGTAAAATCGTGTCTTTGGTGATAAACCCTTAATCATTGATTTATCAGAGATCCACCTGTAAATCATTTAACTTATATATCCTGCATAAAGCCCAAGGGGTGGACAAGTAATGTCTGACTCGGAGTAGGGGAATAAGCTTATAACAGGACATGAAATAACATTTGTTGGCATTTCAAATGAGCTGAATTAGATAAAGATGGGCTTATTTAATACCAGGCAGGGGCTAATCCTGAGATAAATTTTGTGAAGGAACTAGATTATGATATGCAGCTAATTTGTTTTGTCAAGTCTTCAGATTGATTGATGATTTTCTCTGAATTGAATTGTATGAATCAAAATTGAATCTGGTATTTGGATTTTCCCCACAGTGCTACATGCTCACCAGTTGTTACAGAATGAATTCGCCACTAGCCTAATATCAGCAAAGCTTGGTGATGACCCTAATGTATACTATATAGTGGGTACTGCCCTTGTACATCCAGAGGAGGCGGAGCCTAAACAAGGGAGGATAATAATATTTCATTACAATGAAGGTAAGTTTTTTAATGAATTCAGTTGTTTGCAAACACTAACAAATGTTCTTTGCCTCATGGCTGGCTTGGTCTGAAACTTTTGTTGAAAATCAAATGAGGATCCTCTTGATATTCCATACCTGCGAGTAAACTGCATCTTTTTATAGTTGCACAGGTATTATTTATCAAGGGAAAGACCACCATATTGTATATTGTTTTGTATTTTCTCTTAATAACAGCTATAGGTATTATCACTCCCAGCTCATGGTTTATTGAACATTTCTTATCAGATAAATACAGATGTTTATGATGGAAAGTTTGTTTTTGAACCTGCACCTAATTACGCTAAGCTACGCATGTTTCTGCTGAAAATATTCATGGAATCGTTTTTTCAGTCACCTTAGCAGTGATGTAAAGATGATATGATTTGTTTTGGCATTTATAATACTACAATAATAGGAGAAAAAGAAATTTACTTTCATTGAGGCAGTGTTTTAAGAAATATAAACACTGAGAAAAAGTTCTTCAGGTTAATCATGATGGCAATTTATTTTCATCCAGTATTTAAACACTAAATACCACACACAATTTGAAAGCTGTAAATTCATCACTACACAACTCAATGTTTTCCTCAGATAAACCCTGGACATTAACTTTCCAGTGTTATATGCAGACAGTTATTTTCTGTGATCTGTGATATCCTGACACCTGATATTGCCCTGAAGTCTCTATATGGTATTATTTAAGTACAGGGGATATTTGGTCCATAATCTGCACATTTGAATTTCTGCTGAATCCTAACGGCTCTATCCAGCCTTGAGGCCTAGTGACAACCCTAGTCCGCTGTTAGAGCTAAATGAATCCCTTCCTTAAAGCATTTGGAGTTTGGTATGCTGGTAGGCATGCATAAGTTTAAATCCTATTGGGGGCATCTTGTGTCACACCTTTCGGTAGTCATAAGAAAATTATACAAACATGTTTATTGCCAAATTTTAAGGCAGCTGTTGTGAAAATTATTATTTGGCATCAATTTATTTTTTGAATTTATATTACTGCTGTTTAACATATATATTTTAACAAACTGTTGACATATGTCAGAATTTATTTATTTGCATAATTTATGTACTTTATTACAAAGGTGTCATTGTCATTACAGGAAAATTAAACCAAGTGGCAGAAAAAGAAATCCGAGGTGCTGCATATACACTATTGGAGTTTAATGGCAAATTGTTAGCCAGCATTAATAGTACAGTAAGTAGCTTAGTTTTAGAAAGAACCATCATCAGAAAAAAAATACCTGATGTCATTTGATTAAGGCAAGGCCGTCATTGCTTGAAATATTTCATAAGCAAATAATTTGAAAATTTCAGTAAATCTTCTGGAGATGCAAAATAAATTTATTTGACAAAAATTCAGTTAATGAAATATTGAGTTAATAAATGGTCCTTTTTTCCATTGTATTGTTTTAATGGTTTTAATCTTTTGGTTTTTGCAGGTTAGATTATTTGAATGGACGACAGAGAAGGAGTTACGGCTAGAATGCAGTTACTTCAACAACATAGTGGCTCTCTACCTAAAAACAAAGGGTGATTTCATCCAAGTTGGAGATCTGATGAAGTCCATTACTCTTCTCTTGTATAAACCAATGGAAGGAACATTTGAAGAGGTGAAATAATCATATCTACTGTATAGCAAATAATTTTCAGGATTTGTGATTGTGTAAGCAATGTTCATGCTGTGAAATTGGCAGACTTCCAATAGTGCTAGATGTCTAAATGAGATACATTCAGATATTAAAGAGCTGTCCCAGTAAAAGAATCTATCTGACACCAGGTATCCAACATGACCAGTTGTACAAATGGTTATGTGTTGCAAGGAAAATACAATAAGGATTATATACATCAGGATCAGTTAGGAAGTCTCTGTACAAAACTCGGCATTAAAGTTTTCTATCTTTTGTTCAGTCGTGAACCCCTGACATCAGAATCAGATTGACTTCATTCGCGAATGAAGTCAGAGACTTCCTAATTGATCCTGATGTATATAATCCTTATTGTATTTTCCTTGCAACATAACCATTTGTACAACTGGTCATTTTGGATACCTGGTGTCAGATAGATTCTAGCACCAAAATCATTATTTTAGAGTTAATTTTGTCAATTCCATATGTTATAAGAGATACAAGAAAAAGAGGGATCATAAACCTGTTGATAATTGCTAAAGATTGCTAAAGATTGATCTTTGGGATATATTCTAGAACATCAAAATCTCAGCTTCTAGATTGATTGGGCTTGGGTTTGTTTTGTTTGTGCTTTACGTCCTTTTAACAGCTGTGGTCATTTAAGGACGTGTCGGGTGGTGGTGCTGGTGCTGGTGCTGGTGCTGGTGGTGGTGCTGGTGGTGATGGTGGTGGTGATGGTGGTGGTGGTGGTGATGGTGGTGGTGGTGGTGGTGATGATGGTGGTGGTGGTGGTGGTGGTGGTGGTGGGGGAAAATGGGATTACCCAGAGAAAAACCACCTACCTGCGGGTGGTACCTGGAAACTCCTCCACATAGGCCTCAGCGACCCAGTGGCAGAGGGCTTGTGCTCATAAATGGTCGTTCTACTTAACAACTCGGTCACTGCGACCTCTGCTGATTAACAGCTATTCACCCCTTAATTGAGATCAGTCAGTATTCATCATCACCGGTTAATAGATCAGTAGGATCTTTACTCACTTTTGGGGCAAGATAGTAAAATTCTGACTCTAGGGGTAAGCTTCTTAAATATCAAACCTGAGGATGTTCCAAAACTTACTCTGTTGGGCAGATTGCCAGAGACTGTAACCCTAACTGGATGACAGCTGTGGAGATACTGGACGATGACAACTTCCTTGGTGCAGAGAACTCATTTAACCTGTTTACATGTCAGAAAGACAGGTGAGTGCTGGAGTAAAGATGGTCTAGGTTACATTCGCGTATCCCGGTTGAAAAGGTTCAAGTGGCGCAGAAATATTCCACGATAAATGAATGCACTTGTACCGAACTATAGGCAGAGAAGAAAAAAATGCACAGTTTCGGAGAATAAATAACAATGTATCAAGAGTATTATGCCCTTCTTTCAACGACCACTAAATTGTATAACTTATCTTAAAATCTACAGGTGGCTTGACCTAATTTTACAAAGAAATAACGCAAACTAGCAATAGTCAGCATTTTAATTTTGGTCAGGCATATCTAGTCCCCTCAATCTACACGTGCCGAATATTCCTGAGGTCAGCCTCTGTTCAGATCGTAACATTGCAATAATATTGACTGCCCAAGCTTTTTCTTAAGAGACCTGTCTAAATTAACTTTTCTTTCAGAGCAGATTGGTTTGGAGATAGCTCAAATATTACCAAAATCCTTTATAATACAAAATTTGGCCTGAGAAATGGTGGCTGTATACCAAGGATTTAATTCTTCAGAAAAATATAATGATTAACATGATGCAATACACAAACTGTCTTGCTGTAAGCTGTATGCAAGTCCTGAGTTCTGTACATTCTTATTGCCATTCTGTTTTATTGAATGCTTAAAATTTCATGAAGTTATGTGATTTGTACGTTAACAGTGCTGCAACCACAGAGGAAGATCGACAGAACCTACAGGAGGTTGGGATGTTTCATTTAGGAGAATTTGTAAATGTTTTCCGACATGGTGAGTGTAATATTTGTTGACAGACTGTGACAGACTAGCAATTAATGTAGAAATGTTGTGGAAAAGTCTTTAGTAATTTTGTGCAAATGATGCAAGTTTGAACATATTGATTCACTTTGGCAACAGCATTTTCAACGGGAAAATTTTCACACCTAATATTTTAATGAAAAAATGGCCTTTAATCAGATGATATATAATGCAGCTAAAACCATATTACAGGTATATCAGGGATTCTTGCATTGTATTAAAAATAAATATTAACAGTTTGATTGAATTTGAAGAGTAAAAACATGAAATTTTCTTCACACAACATTTTAAAGAAAATTTCCAGACTTTCTAATTTCTAGTCGTGTACATATTTTTGCACATGAAAACTTCCATAAAAATTATGCTTGAAAGTGAAACCATTTGAACTATATATTTTCATGTGAAAATATTCAGCATTTTACCAGTTCATATTAAATTTCAATTACAGTCAAACTGTATTATGGTGAACACTAGGTATCCTGAATCTCCCTTTTATCGATAGTCTAGTCTTTTCTCAGTAGTTTATTTATTGAAAATGCATGAAAAGATATTTGTAATACCTTGTGTTATCATGGTGCCTTTGATAACATGTCATGCTATCGTGCCCATGTTGTGGCGTTTAGTGAGTGGCCCCATCCGTTGTGTACATTCGCCATATGACTTTGGCTGTTGAAAAAGGGTAAAGCCCCATCAACTAACCAACAAACCTCGGCCCATGTTTTCTGTTTGCTTGCTACAGGCTCGCTGGTTATGCAGCATACAAGTGAAAATAGCATGCCTACCCAGGGCTCGGTACTGTTCGGGACAGTCAATGGTGCTGTAGGTATGTACAATAGTTTTCAGCATTTAATTCATAACAGCAAATTACTGTATTTTGTTGAATGATTGACCACACTGTTAGATAGAGAGAAAAAAGTAGCGGTCATTAAAAATGCATTCTTGTATTTATTTTCACATTTCTAACCGAAAGTGCTTTCTGGGAGTTTACCTTCTGATTTCTGGAAGTTTACCTTCCCAGGTAGAACAAATATAATATATGTAACTTTTGTCTTTCCATATGTATATATGAAATGAATTAAGTTTTGGGATTCTCTCCTGCAAAATATTAATTTTCAAATCAAGTAAGGGTTATTCAAGCAGTGTTAATTGGGTACATGGATGCACTTTTATGACTCGCGTAAGCCAATTAATTAAAACTTAACAAATGTTGACAACTACTTTAAATCCCATCACAAATATTTATAATCTGTTATCATTGTCAGTGACAAACAATGGTGTCCAAGCATCAAACTTTTTAATGGTGAACTCGTATCTGGCTGCCTCTTAGTTATGAACAGGTTTTACTATAACTATTTAGAAATAACATAAAAACAAACGGTAAGGTTTATATTTGATTCACTATCAATTATCTTATTTCAGGTCTTGTGACACAACTGACTCAAGATTTCTATAACTTCCTGTTAGAGGTCCAGGGCAGACTTGCCAAGGTCATCAAGAGTGTGGGCAAAATAGATCACTCTTTGTATCCTTTCTCATCAATCAATGAATTATTTCTGAAAATATTGATACTGATCCTGGAAACAGTACTTAAAGTTGAAGTTCTAGAATTTAGTGATAAAGAACAATGCATCTTGGATAGAGTTTGCTGCAGCTGCTCTTTATATTTCTATTTCACATATAACACTAAATTCTAACCCAATTTGATTGCAACAGGTCTTTTGATTTAATCAGATCATGTTGAATGTGACCAATCAATATTTTCAAAGAGGACTGCCCTGGGATAAACGATATCTATAGAATTTCAGAAGCTTTTTAGGTCACCTGAGCTTTAGCTCAAGTGACCTATTGCTATCCATCGTCGTCCGTTAACATTTTATATTTTCAACATAAGCTGAAATACTGTCAAAGGGATTTCATTGATACTTCATGGGAATTATACTGACAACTCCCTGACCAAGTGTTGTTATTTTTCGGGTCGATCAGAAATCCAATATGGCCGCCATGGCCGCCATTTTGAAAAACAATTTCATCTCCCAAGTCAAGTTTTAATGGGCACCGATTTAGCTGAAATTTGGTAGGAATGATTAACATATGTTCCTTACAAAATGTTGTTATTTTTTGGGTCAATCAGAAATCCAATATGGCCGCCATTTAAAAAAACTATTTCAAACTTAAAGTCAAGTTCTACCGACCGATTTAACTGAAACTTGGTAGAAATTATCAGCTCATAGTCCTGACAAAGTGCTGTTATTTTTCGAGTCGATCAGAAATCCAATATGTACGCCAGGGCCGGCCATTTTGAAAATTTATTTCAAACTTTAAGAGTCAAGTTCTGCTGGGACGATTTAACTGAAACTCAGTCTAGGAATGATCAACTCATTGTTCTGACAAACTTAAATTAATGTTATACATAACTATTTTTTACTCAAATTTTGGTAGGGATGATTGACATCATTATCTCCACTTCTTATTTCAACAACAAAAATTAATACTGTAGAACTCAGGTGACCGTTAAGGGCCATGGGTCTTTTGTTTAAGTTCCAGTTAAAGTAATCTCCAGTGTGTTATGTTATTACCTTCTGTTAAGAAATGCTGTAAATAATGGATAAGAAATGCTGTAAATAATGGATAAGAAATGCTGTAAATAATTGTTTAGGTTGCTGTTAATAATTGTAAAGAAATGCTGTAAATAATGTTAGTTCTGTTGTACACGTAGATAACACATATCTATAAATAGGAATAGATTCATTTTCAAATACGCACAGATAAATCTTTTGCATAGGTTGATTTAAACTTTGTTTGATACAAATTGTACAATATATGAAGTAGAAAAGGAAACACTAATGTAAATTTGTTACCTGCTTCATAATCAATTATTTCAACACTAGCTACGGAATGAAGTAATATGAACAACATTGGTTGAATATGGAATTAATATAATGTAACTATCCTTAACATAACAAAGTTGGCGATCCTTTCACACGGAACGGAAGACAGAACCTGCCGAAGGTTTCATCGATGGTGATCTCATTGAAAGCTTTCTGGATTTAAATCGAGACAAGATGCAGGAGACAGTACAAGGGTTACAGGTATATGTATGTACTGTATGTATATTTAGCATGCAGGAATATGTGTGTTACCACTATATGTATGTACAGTATACATCCTCTACCACACAGCTCGGGTTTACCAAATTTGAAAATCCCTCGGGTGGAATTTCCCTATCCTACACCCTTGGGCATGAAAGAGTCTTATAGTGTTACTTCTATATGTAAGTATATCAGACTTCCTTTAACTCAGAGCATGCAAAATTCCTTTGTAGGTCTGCTTTATTTATTAAGTATACCAAACTTCCTCTTCCACACAGTATGGCAGATTCCTTTGTGATACTGCTATACACACACATTCTATATTATCATCAAGCATGAAGGATTCCTGTGTGTTATTGCCATATTGATGTTCAACAGACATCCTTTTGTGTTACTGCTATATCTTGAGTACTTCCTTTATGACACAGCCTTCCACGCAGGCGGCTGGGCTCGATCCCCGAAGTCGTCGTACGCATGGATATTTAGAGAATGTTTTTCTCCTGCCCACACAACTCAAACAACCCGGTTGGAGTATAAATAGGTCTGGGTTGGATGTTGCGGTATCTGCTGTAGCATTCAAGTGAGGTGGCACTATAAATGATGCCGTTGGAAGCAAAGTCCAACTACAAACGCAGGCATACACACATAGGGAGATATTAGCCACGTGGCATAGGACTAGAAGTTAGCGCCTGATAATGCAGCTCCTGCAAATTCCTCAAAATTGTATTGATTAATGTATATGCTATTTGTTAGCATGGCATGGTGCGGCGTCCGTAGTCCGTCCGTCATCCGTCCGTCGTCAACATTTTACTTTAAACAACTTCTTCTCAGTAACCAAAAGGCCTAGGGTGATGATATTTGGCCAGAAGCATGCTGGGATGAGCCCATTCTAAGTTTGTTCTAATAAATGGCCTGACTTATGTTCAAAACCTTTCAACAACTTCTTCTGAAAAGCCGATAGGCCTAGGGTGATGATATTTGGCCAGAAGCATGCTGGGATGAAGGGTTACCAAGTTTGTTCAAATAAATGACCTTCACCATTTTCAAGGTCACAGGGGTCAAATATGTTAAATTCTTTCAACAATTTCTTCTGAATAACCAAGAGGCATAGGGTGATGATATTTGGCCAGTAACATGCTGGGATGAAGGGCTACCAAGTTTGTTCAAATAAATGACCTTGATTTATATTCAAGGTCACTGGGGTCAAACATGTTTAAAACCTTTAAACAACTTCTTCTGAATAACTGAAAGGCCTAGGGTGATGATATTTGGCCAGTAACATGCTGAAATAAAGGGCTACCAAGTTTGTTCAAATGAATGACCTTGATTTATATTCAAGGTCACTGGAATCAAATATGTTTAAAACCTTTAAACAACTTCTTCTGAATAACTAAGAGACCTAGGGTGATGATATTTAGCCAGTAACATGCTGGGATGAAGGGCTACCAATTTTGTTCAAATAAATGACCTTGATTTATATTCAAGGTCACAGGGGTCAAATATGTTCAAAACCTTTAAACAACTTCTTCTCAATAACCAAAAGGCCCAGGGTACTGATATTGGGCCTGCAGCATGCTAGGATGAAGGGCTGCCAAGTTCATCAAATGAATTACCTTGACCCACTTTCAACCTTATGTCATTGTTCGACATTCAAGGTCACATGCGTCATATGTTTTAATCTTTAAATAGGTTCTCATTAGTCAAACACTGATATTCTGCCTGTAGCTGTATTTTAGTCCAGTTTTAATATTACAAGTGTGAGATTAATACCAGGTGAGCGATGCAGGCCCATTGGGCCTCTTGTATTAATTGTATATCTATGTACTGTTAAGCGCTTTAGAGTGACTTATGTTAGCTAGATGGGTGCTATATCAAATGATATAATTCACAAATTTAAACAGGTCATTTATTCTTATAATAAGAGAAAAGAGGGGTATTAACGTTTGTGTGCACATATACTGCTATCTGTCTTTCTTGCGTTTTATTCCATTCAATACCAACCGTAAAAATTGGCAGATTTCAACCAAATTGGGTATGCACATACCCAATGGCAAGATTGTGGCAAACTTTGATTGTCAATGGGATATTTGCATATTTGTGCATGGTTAATGAGGCTACTTTATTGTGATTGATTCATTTTCTTGCATGTAATAACTGCTCTTAAAATTGTTAGATTTCAACTAAATTTAGTATGCTAGTATGCACAAGATATTGGCAAGTCCTACATATATTCATCAAACCTCAGCAACGGTCCACAGCTACAACATGTTCCTTAAAGTGGAAGATGTATGAATTCGCTTGTTATTACAAATAGTGCAGTTGTAATTTCTTTTTGTTATTAACTTGGATATCTTTAATAGGACCATGATTAAGTATGCATTGCTTTTCTTGGAGAAAAATAAAGTTTGTTGTGTTTCCTGTGTTTTTGTAGATGGACGATGGTAGTGGGATGAAGAGGGAGGCAACAGTAGACGACCTGGTGAAGATGATTGAAGAACTGACAAGAATTCACTGATAGTTGGTCACCAATTACACTGACCTTAAAGCCCCAAGACTGACACAAGAGTGCCCAACAAGGGACAAAACTCTGTAACAGCTACTGCTGAAGTACCTGTTGTGTCAACACAAAACACTAGGGCTACATTCGCGTATCCTGGTTGAAACGGTACGTGTGGCGCAGAAATATTCCACGATAAACGAACGCACTTGGACCTTTCTATAAGCAGAGCTAAAAATGCACCGTTTCGGAGAATCAGCATTTTAGTTTTGGTCATGTATGTCTGGACCCCTCAATCTACACGTGCCGAATTTTCCTGAGGTCAGCCTCGGTCCAGATCTGTACCTGTCGTTTTCTTTACAGATTCAACCGGTTCAATCGTTTCAACCGGATACACGAATGTACCCATGGTTGTTTTCTGTTACCATGGCAACAATTTTGGTGCATGCATAAAATCTCCACAAAAGGGACATCACTCCAGGAGACCCAGGATAAGCAAGTGTTGACCGACAGAAATGTGATGTTAATTGTGTCCTTTGTATTGCTGTTAAGCCTGTTATGTATGTAGTGTCAATACTTGGACAGCTATAGACTTGTGAAACAAGGTAGTTTTGAATGTCTCTGAGGATTGAACCTGCAACACTAACAGTGACTATCTGTTTGAGAATGATCCCCTTGGAGTAATACTTAAGTGGAATTATATTTGTAGTGCTATGTCCATTGGAGACAGATACTTTAATTGGGTGAATTTTGTAGTGCTATGTCAGATATTGAACAAACTTCATTTCTATGCTTCAGGAGTTGTAGATTTTCTGAAAACAGAAGTAGTATAATTTGAGTTTGTGACGGAAACACCTATACACCTATACAACACAATTTTCTATTCCTACGTTGACCACTGTCAATTGCTTGTTTTTCACATGACGAATCTATTATTCAGAATTCATTCCCAAGATAAATGTAATACTCAATCAAACGTAGGGTGTTACATTTGATTCATATCAAGAGCTCAGCTGTTGTGAGTACTTGATTTGGTTCAACAAGTAAATGCAAATATTTTGCCGAGCTTCTTCAATATGAAGGGAATTTGTTGATCATAAGTATCTGATGTAGAGACACCTAAATTTAAATAAAATAATTTGTGTTCATGGTCAAGTCCATGTCAGATCTGTAGTACTAGTATTAGCTTTGAAGAAAGGGCCCAGATCATGGAAAATGTCATAAGCATTTTATGTTTAATCACTTCAAAAATATTTTGGGAGATATGTTGGGTTGTAAATCAAAAAAGGGTTGATTGGGAACTCAAATTTCTCTCTTTCATTTTGTCACATTTAAACAGCACTTTCATATATTTATCTATATACACAATTGTACATATCAATTGTGGTTTCATATCCTCTCTGTGGTATTGATTGAAATATGTTGCCAGCTGTCATGGTCCTTATTAAATTAGGATCAGAAATGTTATTTGTTTCCATTTTACTGTCTCATTGAAAGTCATTTTTATTTGCACCAAAAAGCCAGTCAGATTTCTACAGAGATTAACTATGATATCAAGAAAATATATATCTGAAGAGATCAGATTTCATATTTTTTCCAATCTCTTTTAAGAGAATTAATTGATTCTACTAACATTAATGCAGTTTAAAAAGCATTTATTAAAAAATAAGAATTTAGTGCATTTTTAGTGGGACAAAGCCCTGTTGTCATTATTGACCTCAGATGTATGTTAGCGCAGAGTTGAAAAATATTTTGTGCATATATGTAAAATTGTTGGCGTATACATGTATTTACAGACATACCTTCATTGAAAGAATACATTTGAGAGAGAGAACCTTAAGAAGTCTATGAAGTGTATCGAGTATTCTACCACGTACACGATAAACGTACACGATAAACGACCATTTTCCATTGATTAATCAGTATGTACTATTGGACAATGAACCATTCACCACTTAAAAAAGCCTCATGCTTATAGCAAATGTAAAAGCATGTGTAACTTGGGACAAATTAGCTTTGTCATGTGATAGAACCTGCATGTGTGTATCAGATGTTTCCTATAAAATCCAAACCGGCAAACAGGATCATCAACTATAGCACCAAGAAACCAGCTGCTGGAAACGTCAGCTTTGCATGGCTTGTTTATATAATGAAACAAATTCAAAATAACAGCCTGATAATGGGATTATCTAGCTCCTGTATCATTGATATGGATACAGAGGCAGCTACTGTAGGCATACTTATTTCAGTGCATTCAAAATTTAGCAGAACGAAGGTGATTGGAATCATTAGCACACCCTTAACAGAACCGCAATACCTGAATTCATTAATTAGCACAATTGTTGTTATGTTAGATAGACTATAACATTTAGATACTGGATGTAAGTAGAGAGCATGGAAAAAGCCAATACATTTGGGAGCCAGGTAAATTGGGTGACTACTAGAACAAAGTTTTCTTTCATGAATGCATAAAAATGAGTTGTCGTTTACTGTCCTTTGTCATCTTGCATTGATTGAATGGGTAGCTTGTGCATTATTGTCTAAGCTTAGCAGTGGACACAAATTAGCAGACAAGATAAAGCATGAAAGCCACTAAAACAAGAATACCGCTAAAATAAGTACACTTACAGTTTCTGCTAGTGTTATAGACACTTAGGTATACACATAATTATGTTTTATTACATTTTTATGTGGTAGAATATATTTAATTAAAATAAGTTTGTATATTATGGTTGCATATATAACTTTGGATTTGAAAGTCACACTTAATAATTCTTTCATTTTCTTGCCTTTGTTATATATATTAAACATAATATACACACATAAGTTGATTATTTCTGGATTAAAAAAACCTATTGAAACTTACTGAAAGCTCTTTCAGCCCTTCAATTAACGCTGCAGAGTTATTTGGAGAGAAAATATAAATAAGTTGAGCAATTGTGTAAGGCGAGCTGTTCATATTGAAGTCTGCATTTATATTATAAGAGTGTTATACATTTGTTATAGTTTGGTATAGTTGTCAAATTGTGTCAAGTTAAATTTGTGTATTTTTCTTGATTAAAACTGCGATAATATAAGGAAGTATACATGACTTGTGTTTTGTTCCGTGTTTCTATATGCAAAATAAGTACACATATTTGTCTTTTCATATGTATTTCTATGTATTAAACTTAACAATTAAAATTGAAACTTTATAGCTCTTCATCAGAGCATGCTACTGGTCACATATTGTCATCTTTTTTATTCAGTAGAAGTTGTTTAAAAGGTGTTATAAGACAATTAACCCCCCTGACCTTTAATATGGGCAAAGTTCATTCATTTGAACCAACTTGGTAGCCCTTCATGCCTGCATGTTTCTGGCCAAATATCATCACCTTGGACCTTTTGGTTATTCAGAAGTTGTTAAAAGTTTGTTTTAAGACAATTGACCTGTGTGACCTTGAGTATGAGTGAAGGTCATTCATTTGAACAAACTTTATAGCCCTTCAACACAGCATGCTGACTTGGACCAACTTTAAAGAATACACTTTTCTATAACCAAAACACACATGGTGATAATATTGGCAAATAGCTTACAAATATGCTCTTAATAATTAACTTTTACTGCTTTCAAGGTCACAGAGGTCAAATGTTGAAAAAAAAATTACTTCAAGTTTCTACATGACCTTAACACATTCAAAGTCATGTGTCAAATATGTTAATATGTTTAAACTTCTTCTGAATAACCCATGTGGCCTTATGATTGGCCTGTAGTATGCTAGGATAGAGGTATAACAAATTTGTTAAAATAGATAAATATGATCCACTTTCAACATCATATTGGATCAACATCTTGCATTAAAAAGAAAAACAAACGAAGTTGCGACAATTTGAAATTGTAATTCATGAACGTACATATTTAAGTTTTCAATTTTATTATGATTATGAAAGGACATCAATATCCTTTTTATCACCAAAAATAAGATAAAGACAGTTACTTGGTTGTGCAATAATTACAGAAGTAAAATTATGTATCTTCATAACATAACACAATAACAGCGGTAAAATTATCTAACATGACATACCACAACATAAACGGTAGATTCAGTATAGAACATAAACATTCATACTCTTTCCATTTCTACTCCCATTTCATTGCATTTAATGCAATTTTGGTTTTAAAAATAATGAGACTCCGAGTCTTCCACAGATTTTATCCCAAGATAAACTTGCCTTATTAGACTTCTCCATTAAAGATATTATTCAGTAGTTTTTATTAGAAACAGGATTTCAACATTGTGTTGGGTAAAAGTAGGTTAGGGTATCTAGGGATCAGAGAAAATAAATTGAAAAAGTACTTCGGATTTAATTCAGTGGGTCCAATGGACCAGTGAGCTAATTAATTGAGCCATATGCTTCGACATGTGTCCCTCAGCTTTTTCCTTGAAAATGCTACTGGTCTTGAATGCCGCAGTGGATGTGACTAAATTTGGTCTTGAGCATACTGGTGGCAGAGGGTTGGGGCCCAATTGGCAATAAGGGATATATAGATACATCTTTAAAATTTATCTACTGTAAAAATGGAGAGATTTTAAACCAAATTTGGTCTAGATCAACAGAATGTTCCTAGTAAACATAAAATGTACCGGTAATAATGCCAGGGACCTACAGAAACCTTTAGAAAAAAATGACATCTTCAAATATCTACAGATGTATTTTGCATAACAAAACAGTGCAATTCAGGGAGGTAATAAAGGAGTACCCAATTATATGGCAAATTTCTGCCATTAGTTAAAGCGCATCATAGGTATGTGGAGAAAAATTCTCAGATTCATACAATTGCATGATGACTTGCATTACAAATGTAAATCTTTATCAATAAATACATTATGTATACATAAATTAATAGTGCCTTCACCACCAACAACAACAACAAACAAATAAACAAGGAAAAACGGAGTTCAATGCATCGTCCGAGTAAAGTTCTTCTCTGCAGTTTGTTACATTTTCAATCATTTTTTTCAATTATCATATACATGTACTGAGAAATTGTTTCCCTAGTTAAATGATTTGACAAAGAAAGAACTGTAATTTATTAAATACAGATATACCTTTTTCAGACGAAACAGTTATCAAATGAAAATTATTTCATACGATACATTATTTGTTGCATGGTATTGATATGAAAATAATAAAATAGAGAGAGAGAAAATTAAGCAATATAAAATGATTCATAAAACTGAAACAAGTTGATGCATGGTGATAATCTCCATCGAAAATAAAGGATATGGCAACTAAGGAATACAAACTCAACATAAAGATATCACATACATTTGGCAAGGTAGATTTATATCACATTTCACACGGGACACAGAAAGTTTTCTGTATGTACCTGGACATCACAGAAACTATAAACATATAATTTGGGACCTTGCTAATGTATTGTGAAGAATGTTTCAGACACATATGTTATGTCCCCTATTGCATATTGTGTGTGATTGAATTAATGGGTTGAATCATTAAATATTGCAGGTACTTACAAGTTTAAAAAAAGAAATCAAAATCAACCATTTGAACTATTTGGAGGACTTCAAGATCCCTGTCCCACTGCACTGTATACAGAGTAACCTCCCTTTGATTCCGTTTTGGATATAACTAACATAGATGGGCCAGAACTACCCTTTGACTAGGTGGATCAGTCAGTTAGAGAGATAGTATAACAATGTGAAAGTCCCGGGTTGGACTCCTGGTCTAGTCCCTTTGAAGTTTTACACTCAGAACACTGTTTTTGATAATGTTTTGTTAATTTCATCTGAATTATTTTTCAAACAAGTCCCGTAAGGTATGGGTTTTTTCCAGAAATAACTGATGAAAGCTATCGTCATGCTGGCAATAATAGTTTATGTAGTATGTAGTTACAGGTTTCGGCAACCTGGTCTCCTTACTGTTCCAATATGTTATCAAATTACTAGACGAACAAGGTAACCTATTTAGAGGTCTCAAATACCATGCCTAATAAGTTATTAATGTCATAAATTGCTATTGAAACAAGGAGGGGTGGGTAATGCCAGCAATATTCATACTGTTATATATATTGTGAATATTGCAAACATGTCAACGTGAGCGTCAGTCCAGCAAGCTTTAATCACGATAAAATGAAACTTTTTAAAAATAGATTTGGAAATTATCACACCACAAAAGTTTCATTTTGATAAGTTTTAATGTTATTTCTGTAAATGTGCTTGATCTCTCCAAAAATTTATTGCAGTACATTGCCATTTCATAATCATATTCCTATATATATTGGAATATATTGGTACTGCAATTTTATAGCCTGCACCCACTAAAAAGTTTGTCAGTCTAAATTCCTACCATGAACAAGTTTGTCACTTTCATCCAATATAGGGCATTGTTATTCCGTCTTTGCGTATTGCAGGGTTATCTCCTCTTGGGAGCAGGGATTGATTGTTACGTCCCTTGTTTGTGAGAGTAACGTCATCAATTTTTGAGAAAACGACGTAATTTTCTCACACAAACCAATGACGTAACAATCAATACCTGCTCCCAAGAGAGGATAACTCTGCAATATGCAAAGACGGAATATGTTAAATGTATTGTTTAAAGAAATAAGACATCATGTTGTATCTCATACATACAGAAGCAATAAATTAAAAATAATATATTATGATAAAACAAGCTATGCCTCAATTGTATCTTAATTCGATAATAAATAGATAAAAAGAAACAAGAATATTCGTTTTAAACTTCATGCTGTTGGGTTATACCATTAGTTTAGCAACATCTCTTGTCATTTGCACGAAAAAAATATCTAAGTTAATTAATAGCCTTAAAAGGCTTATGAACTTCACACATAAAACAGCACCGCATATGAAGTAAAGAACTGTGAACATCCACCATTCAGAGGGCAGTATTCTAATTAATTATGCATGGTACATTAAACTTAGCCTGATTCTTTGTAGGAAATAGAGGCTAGGCAAGTTTCGTCAAAAATCAAATGAAATTTAAGTAAGATAATTCATTGTGAGGAAAAAATATAATAATAATAAATAAAAGATATAATTATTATAATGAAAGTGGAAAAAAATAAAAATAAATGTTGAGAAGAAAAAAATACCTGGTAGTGGTTTTAATTTGTTGGTAATGATACACTGAAGTATGCCAACTTCAGCCAATTAGTGGGCAGTATTGTTGTGGACCTTAACATTGAGTTAACTTCAGCCAATTGGCGGGCACTATTGTTGTGTACCTTAATATTGAGTTAACTTCAGCCAATTAGTGGGCGGTATTGTTGTGTCCCTTAACATTGAGTTAACTTCAGCCAATTAGTGGTCAGTATTGTTGTGTACCTTAACATTGAGGTAACTTCAGCCAATTAGTGGGCAGTATTGTTGTGTACCTTAACATTGAGTTAACTTCAGCCAATTAGTGGGCAGTATTGCTGTGTACCTTAACATTGAGTTAACTTCAGCCAATTAGCGGGCACTATTGTTGTGTACCTTAATATTGAGTTAACTTCAGCCAATTAGTGGGCAGTATTGTTGTGTACCTTAACACTGAGTTCCGACTGGCATTTCTATACATGTAATATATAGCTCTCTGAACTTACCGCAAAATTGTATTTTACAAATGTTCACCATTATTGCAATTGTGTTTTTGATAAACCACTTAGAATATGTCATATTTTTCACTCTACTATTTCAACCAAAAATAGTAAGTGCTATACAGCAAAATATTTGTGACCCAAATTCAAGCAACAGATCCCATTGAAGAAGGATCCTATGTTCTACCGAGGAAATCAATGATATCAAGTCCTTTTTTCAAAGAGCTCATAATTGAAAGTGGTAGCAATAGCTTGCCTTAGCTACAAAAGACAATGTAAAGGAGACCATGCCCTATTTTCTGTCAGATATTTTGACAAGTACATAAAAAGTCCTCATATTTACGGTTCAATTGGGCAGGAAAATCAGTTAGAAGCTTAAGTCTTCATCAACGAATAATCCGATTTTATGTATTCTTGAAGTTAAGTTTTTGTCATGATTAAGGAAGACGAATTAATGTTATGCATAAATCTAATACCTGTATTATTAAACATAATAGTTTCTTTTCTGGAAGATCAGTATTTCATCAATCGTTATATATATGGCAGTGTTAAATTTAAGGCTTCAGATTAAGGAATCAACTGAACAGAATGGTTTAAACATTCTATACCAGGTAAATATATCACATACAAAACTAGACTTGGAAGCTAGAGAATGAATGACTTGACAAATATATTAGTTATACATACAACACACAATTACCAAGATTGGCCCGATAAGTCAACAGCTAGGTTTACTGTATTTGCTCTATAATTACAAAACAACAAGATAGCTAGGTGTACTGTGGAATTCCAAAAATTGTCGGATACCCTCAAATAGGTTTCAGATATAATTAAAGTACATGTTCAAGATAACTTTTCACATATTTATAAAAAACACAAAAACAAGTAGATTTCAATTTTGAAAAAAATCAATTTGTATTCAATATATTTCATATTTGTGTAAAAATACATATTTCTTTTACTCCATATTGTTTTACATGTAATTTTCCCACTTCGCCTTACATGATTATTTAATACTTTCTAATTTAAAGGCACACTTGCAGTTGGGTAGTATGTACTTTGCAGATTTCATTTAATATAATTTAGCTTGAGGTCACAATTGTATAAACGCAAGGCTTTCCTTACACCATTTTTCAATCCATATCCGTTTGTATGCTATGACCGAAAAGTGTATTTTGTAGAATTACTTTTGAAATAGAAATCTGACATTTTCAAAGGTAACATACCTACTGATATCCTACTTTTCTTTCTGCTAATGTCACATTTTGCTTTATATCAAATATTCCCTGTACAAGTTACACATGACATAGAAAATACAACAGTGTTCTCATTAAAAGCTGGTTGCTGCCAAAAGTTGCCTGCTATTCATCAACTTGGAACGGGCATTTTTTTTTTCGAATACATATCGGTCAACATTATATTTATAGCATGAGAACACTCAACCGGCTATTATTTCCAAGCCAACCATCTATTTCAAAACTCAGTGATACACTGAAATACGATGAACTTTTACTTTGATTTTGTAAATGTTATATGGCCACCACTTGTCTAAAAGATGAAAGTTTTGACATTGTTAAGCAGTTGGCAGTACTTTGAAGGATACATATAGAGAAATTACAAGTAAATCTGACAGGGAACTTTGAGATATGTTCAGGTTAAGTGACATAAATAATAATATCGAGGTTATACTGGATTAAATAGTATTACTTGATCCATTTTCTGAATAAAAACACTAACAAACAATAGTAAACTGGTTGAAATAGTTATAGTGTTTGAGTAAATATGTCAGTATTATTTAAACAGTCATCAACTGGTGAGTGATTTCTTACATGATAAGACTAGATCTTTACACTATTGAAATAATTTAATTCAATGCTGAGGAGTTTAAATGACTCAGGTTAACCCTTTCACCACTGTGGACATTAATGGACACACCTAGATCAATGCATGGCAGAGTTTAATAAAGTTACATAGGGGTGAAAGGGTTAACATAAGATATCACAGCCAGTCCATTCCTCTACGGGAACTCAGCCTTCTCCACTTGTATGTTTTTACTCGTTGTTTAAAAAATAATGAACTGTCATGAATATCTTAGGATGGAATGTATCAAAATTTTCAATAAATAAATGCTGATTGTTATAGTTGTTAAATCTCTAAAATAATGGAATATATTTTACATTCATAGTATTGACTGTCATAGTTATTAGCTATTAGAGTTAAGTTCTGAATTCTGACTTATAAAATACTTTGCTTTCTCCTTGTCAGAAAAACATCAACACCATTTTTACAGGAAATGATCTGAATAAACTCATAGTTTTAACTCATCACTTCCATTAGCAGTATTTTGGTCAACACAAGATTACAACCTGGACACGTTACTGAATTCTTCCACATGTAGCAGGTATTGAACAGTAAGTAACTAATATTTTGTTAACAAAACTTAAATTTTCAAAATAAATATGTAATAACATAAACAACAGTGTTTATAAATGCCCTCTGTTGAATGGTCACTACTTTCTTCCAGTTTTCTTTTTGGCGAGTGCTTTTCGCTTGAGTTCCTCTTCTTCCTTGCGTATGTCCTCTAAATCTTCTTGTAAACCAAGTCTGGCACTGTAAGATGTAGAAATGATACTTGAATAATCTTAACTTGTGTTATTTATTCTGTATTAAAATGAATGCATTTACTCAGTCTCCAATATCAGATAGGAAAATGAAGTATTGAAGGTTCTGTATATATATGTATCAGGCCAAACATTTTTTACGTATGTTTCAGGTAACATGACTGAAAAAATAGGGTAGATTGGTCGGGATATATATATAGATATGTCTTTTTTTGAGGGGTGGGGGCTAATTTAAGAAATTACAATTAAATAATAATATGGGATTAAAATTTGGTTTTAATACCTGCCTAAAAAGTACTGAGGGTATAATATTTGGTTAGGGTACCAGAAACATTTTCCTGCTGAACATTGCTAATGGTTATCCCACACTGAGGTTCAATGCGTTTGACCATGGCGATCCATAGCGCAATACATAATCCTGTATCATACGACCTTAAATTGCCTGCATCAATATATTATTGCTACAGTAATATTCACCAGGTGGAGTAAAATTTGTTTCACAACCCTAAATGTCTCAGGCTTTAGTTTGTCCTCATGTGGTGGTCATTTTACAAACTATTCAATATTCATTTAAATCTCTTATATTTTGTGAGTTTAACATTTTCGTGTTAATTGATGATGAAAGTCTATCATGAATTTGAATTCAAACCCAGTAAAGCAAGAAACATTATTATTATTGTTGTTCATCTTAAATATAATGTATAAATATACCTCTACAAAAAGAATTATGAATATAAGTACCTTGAGAATTTAGAGATTCATTATAAGGCCAGCTATCTATTACATGGACCTGTACAGTTACTTACCTTCTGGCTTCTTCCTTCATTTGTTCTCTGAAATTTGACTCCATGTTACTGATCTCATAGTCACTCTCATAGCGATATCTGTAACAGAAAACATATATACATGTTAAAAATGTGTACTGCGTTACGACGGTATATGCTCTGTGAAAATTTAATAATTCAGTTTCATCATTGCGAATATTAAGTAAAAATAGATATATGTGCACTCATAGTCGTTCTCATAGCAATATCTGTAACAGAAAACATATTTTAATTTTTACTATGGTACAAATTTATATGCTCTGTGAAAACACTAATTCATGATTTCGTCTCTTTGCAAATAAGGTGATAAATAGAAGTTTGTGTCAAAAAATAGTATCCCTTTTCCTTACTTGGACTTGTCATAGCCAAAGATCTCCTTGATGTGTTTCGAATAGTCCATGTCCATTTCATCATCAATGACGTCATCCTCATCATCTATGAATCCATCTAAATCCTCATCCAGATCGTCCGAGTCATCTTCTATTACTTGTTTCTTCTTCTTAACTGGAAAAAGTTTTTAAAAAAGAGGTAATTTTAGCATTTCTAGTTATTGATCGATTGTTCTGATCAATCTGATAAACGCTGTATACTCTGTACTTTTACAAACTTATTGCAAGATATTTTTGTGAAAGTTCTTTCTTGTTTTTTATTATTCTAATGATATTTAATTATTTCCCAGGGAAATTTATTTAGCGATCATTAAAACAGAATCATATTGAAATTCCTGAGTTTTGCATCTTCTAAATTTAGGGATTTTCACATTTCTGAGATGGACCTTGAAATTTTAGGCTTTTCAGGACTTAACTTAAACTCTATTATGTATTTTTAAAACACTCATGTTTAGAACCTGTTCAAATCTGACATATGAACATTTTTATTTGCTTCTCTTCTGCAGTTAGGATATAGATTAATGTTACACTTTCTTAAACAAAAGCCAATTATCTCAAAACTTCAGAATTAAAATTTGAATGTTTATGCACCAAAGATAAGATCTAAAGGAGACGCTGCTTAAATGTTTAGAAGCCTATGGTACCTACAGGATGGTGGTACTTCACTGCTTCTAATCAACACTTACAGACACAATAACACTTAAAACACACTTTTTCTTCAGCCTTATGTTTATGAAATATTATATATTAATTATATGTAAACATTACATACAAGGAATTACATTACCTACAAGGAACTGTGTACATCAGTTTAAGTCATGCTCAGCCATGTACTGACTTTAGAAGTATAACATTGTTTTATCTGATACCTGAGTATATATTCTGACATATTATCTAATCCAACATGATGATCTCCAGTTTCTGATGAAAACTACCAAATGAGACCTGTATACTAAAGGATAGCTTTTCTAATCTGTTGTAGGCAAGTGTCAGACAAGACAGGTTTCACTGTATTTCCTTAATTGATCAGGCAAATAAGAAATACTAACCTGGTTTTGGATTGTCTTTCTTCATTTGACCATAGATCCTATCCCAAGGGTTAGCAGATGACGACGATATTTCCTGTTTTACCTTAGGTTTACTATTTGATGGCCCACATATAAGCACATTCTCATTGGTAATGTCGTAGCGTTTGTCACTGGTTTTGGCTTTTTTATTTTCACTGTGTAAATTTCTCGCAGAGCTAGATGGCACTTCCAATTTTCTCTTTTTGGAGCCATCACCTGAATTGGAGTTCTGTTTGATGCTCCGGGAGTCACTTGTGTTGAGCTTATTAGATTTAGCACCAGATACCTGATTCGACTTTACCTGAGAAGATGATGATGATTTCAATGAATCCAAAGAATGTCGCTTTTTAGAAAAGTCCAGAGCATCCTTTTTTGTAAACATGTCAAATGATTGCCTCTTTTTGGAATTTTCCACAGAACCTTTCTTTTTTGTTAGAGTTGAACTATTGATTGATGTTGAAGCTTTTTGTAAATGACCATTTTGTTTGATTCTGTCATTAGTCAGGGTTTTATTTATTGTAAGTTTCCGCTCTGATGTCCCTGCCAGAGCGGGTTTCTTAAAGGATGGTTCATTTCTATCACTCTTAGAAGAATCACTACGCCTTTTCGAATCCATTTTCCTGTCCAGTCGATCACACTTTGAGGAAGTATTACCCTTTTGAGAGTCCACTTTTCTTTCAGTTTGCTCACTTTTAGAGGGATGGTACGAGTCAGTTCTCTTTTGTTCAGGAACACTTGCTGTCGTCTTGTTGTTCCCAAATTTATACCAGTCCTTGTATTCCTTGGTAGTTTTACGTTCCTTTCTCTCTTTTTCTTCCTGCGTCATAGGACGATTTTCTTTAACAGGTTCAGTTTTCTTTTGGACAGGGGCCACCACAGGATCTTGAGCTTTTTCTTGAGCAAGTTTGAGAATATCCTGGAAATTCATTTTTGGAGGTGGCTTATTTTTGTTGAGATTTATTGGTCGGTGTTTATGCTTTGCCAATTTTGTCCCATTAGATTTACCTCCTTTGTCTGTGGAATGTTTCAAAGTTTTGTGCTCAGATTTATTATCTTTATTTTCAGCTTGCATTATTCGTTCTATCTCTTGTTCATTCTTCAGTCTGCGTTCATCAATTTTCTTCTGTCGTTCGTCAATTTTTCTTTGTCTCCTTGCATCTTCAGATTCTTCCCTGTTTCGTTTCTTGGCCTCATTGGGAGGCTTTTTTGAAAACACCGACTGTTTTACTTCTGAAATGCATATTCTTTCATCTTTTGATTTATGCAATGACTCCTTCAACCGAGCTTTTTTACGTTCAAATTCAACTCTGATGCGAAGCTGTTCCTCAGACGTAAGTTTACTGGTCCATCGACTGGTCTCGTGTTCACGATTACTAAACATCATTACGTGTTCAGACCCGGCCACACTCTCTTCATTTCCTGGTGACTTCTCACTCACAGATTTTTCCTTAGAAGTTTTGTCTTTGGAGTTTGACTCCCTTTGAGTGTTATTTCTAGACTTGTCTTTTGAAGTAGACTTTTCACTGGAACTGTCTTTTGAACTAGATTTATCTCTAGAACTGTCTTTTGAACTAGATTTATCTCTAGAACTGTCTTTTGAACTAGATTTGTCTCTTGAACTTTCTTTTGAAGTTGATTTGTCTCTAGAACTGTCTTTTGAAGTAGATTTATCTCTAGAAATTTCTTTTGAAGTTGATTTATCTCTAGAACTTTCTTTTGAACTAGATTTATCTCTAGAACTGTCTTTTGAACTAGGCTTATCTCTAGAATTCTCCGTTGAACTGGATTTGTCCCTTGAACTGTCTTTTGAATTAGATTTGTCTCTTGAACTTTCTTTCAAACTAGACTTATCTTTAAAACTCTCTTTTGCACCAGTGTCTTTTTGTAGTTTATCTTTAGAAGTAGATGAACTGTTCTTTGAACTTGACTCTTTGTATGGATTGTCCTTATGACTAGATGTGTTGTTGGGCCTCTCTTTTGAACTTAACACTTTTATAGACTTGTCTGTAGAATTTGATTCTGTATGGTGTTTGTCTTTTGAACTTACCACCTTCTCAGCTGAATTGCTACTTTCAGCTTTATGGTGGCCTTTCCTGTCACTGTGCGACTTGTCCTTAGAAGCTCCTGAAGATGTTTTTTCGCTGGATTTACTGTCGGGTCTATTTTGTATTTCAGAACTGCCACTTGGGTCAAGTGTACTGGACTCTGATGGCCTAGGTTTCTTGGGTATCCTGAATCGTTTACTTTTTTCTTCTTCCTCTTGTTGTTTTCTTTCTGCTCTCTCTTTTTCTTCTCGCTTTTTCATTTCTGCTTCCTTACGTTTCCGTTTCTCCCTTTCTAAAAGATGAAGGATTCAATTTAATGAAATATACATACAACCATTATACATGAAATTATGCAAATGTCCCATTCATCATAATAGAGTACACGTCAATTAATAAATACACAAGGAAATAAATCAATTGTAAAAAAACACAGAAAAGGACTTTCAGTTGCCTTTGTATCAGCAACCTTATAATTACCGTCATACATGTGGACTTGGCTGGTTTTTGGAAAATGTTTATCGCCTTTGCAATCTGACTACCTTCAGTCTAAATGTGTTAAATTTTGTTACTGGGGCGAGTCAGGACGGAGCATGATGATCTTGTTAGGGCCCATTTACATTGTATAAAATTTCAATAAATATAAGGACGTGCCAGGTTTGGTGGTTGAGGCAAACCAGAGAACCCGGTGAAAAACCACCGACCTGCGGCCAGTACCTAGAGACCACCCCACCTAGGCCTCACACCCACGACCCAGTGGTGGAGGGCTAGTGATCCTAGACAGTCAGGCGCTCTAACCACTTGGCCACCATGGCTCAACCAATCAAATGACATCAATTATAAACATAATAAAATTCAACAACATGAAATGCTTTTAATGCATACAGTACATTGTATACACGTGACATTTGATTTCAGTGATAAATTCATGGGTTTTATCAAAATAATGGAATTAATAATCAATAATGGGAAAAGGTGAACTGATAATTTTTTGATAATAATTGTTCATTGATAGCCAATCACGTCTATAAATATGGTATTAATATTTTGTAATGTTGTGTAATTGAATGGCCAGATGTTCCAAATTAACAGAAATTCACAACCACAATACCCTAAAATACAAAATGTACCAGATTTTGGGTTCAGGCTTGTGAAAAATTAAGAGCTACACAAGCTTTGTGATAATAAACAGGGCCTGGGGGTGATTTTATAATTAGAGTTACAGTTAATACTGGTCAAAGGTTGGTAAATTGAATAACATGTTTACATCGCTGCATTAAACATGAAAAGATGTGACATGGTGTCTTTATTTTAGCTGGTTAATGCTCAAAAAAAAAAAACTGTTACATTTATTACCACAAATTAAAATCATTTGTACCTCTTCTTCTTTTCTCTGCTTCTTTTTCCTCCAACATTTTCTTTAAAACTTCAGATTTATCCTTCTCTTCCTTTTTCCTTTTCTGTGGTGCAGATAGCTCTGTAGTATACTTCTTTGAGACTGGAAGCTGAAATTGAGAAAAGAATTAAATAATGTACATGTAATGATATAGAACTATTTATAATTGGTTGTATCAAAATAAGCAAAAAACTACACAGAATCCTACTCTTTTTACAGACTTTTCAAATGTTTTTACACAATAACTTGGGACCCCACTTTGGAAATGGCTAGTGGAAGTTATGTTACTATTGCAAATAAGACTTTTTAAGGATCCCTGTCCCACTGCAGGCAAAACACCGGGAAACTCACTGGCAGTTTTTTTTTGTATACAGTAATCTTCCCTTTGTTTTGTATTATAACTGTATGATGATTGGGCTAGGATAGGTTTCTTAACCAAGTTACTTGGTTGGCAAGAGCAACAGTATAATGATTTGAGGTCCTAGCCTGGTACTGTTTTATGCTTATATAAATACACTCATAACACTGTTGTTGATCTTTTCTTGTAATTTCATCTAAAAAAAAAATCATAAAACTCCTGAAAGGTATGGTTTTTCTTAGAAATTGATTTATGAAAACAATAGCCATGCCAGAGAATAAAGTTTCCGATGAGAACAGTTACAGGTTTTGCTAGTGGTGTGAGGATCCTAAAATGACTAAGTTAATTATAATGAAAAAATACACTTTCTAAATTAGTCAAAAGATAATGTCAATACTGAACACATGGAAGTTACATACAAGTTCATAGTTATTATCACTCGGTATAACTTTGGGTGTTTTTGTTAAATTAGTCAAATCCAAATAATCGTTCAAATTTTCTATACATTTTAGTTTGAAAGGCAACAAGGGAAAAGACTCAAAGCACATAGATAAATAAGCTTTAGAAAACAAGATACATCACTTTATATGATTTATTCCATTACAAGATACAAGAAACCTGAGAAACATTAGCGCTGTAGCGCTATTTTTGCGACAAATATGATAAAAAACAGAAAACAACAAACAAGCTATACACTATCACAGAAAGCTAGCACATAACCAGCGAGTAAAACATACAATAACAAATTAACATAGCACAATAATATCTGAAGCTTGATTATTTTTTTCTTACATTGAAGACTGGTGGGATATGATTTATCAGAAGACTCACTTAACAGCCTTTGGGTCTGTGATATATTCACCTAGTCATATTTTTAACAAACATTCAAAAGGAAATTTTAAAAGTAGGAGTGGGTTTAACCCCAAACTGAGTATAAATCAATTCAAATTTGAATACAAAAAACATCTTTCTATTCTGAAGTCGATATGACTTCTCTCATTATACTATTTAGTTTTACCTTCTTATAAACAGATTGATGTAAATAGACTGACTATAAGTTATGGAGATGTAATTTGATATTGTTATGTGATATAAGATTAAGCTAACCTGCTTTACAATAAGGTATCTATTAAATGTATACACATATGAGTGATACTATTAGACATATGGGCACACTAAGGTATAAGTAAAGAAAACAGGTATGTCCAAAACCATTCAACATCAAAGTTAACAAATAGGAACGTTGTAAATTGATACAAAGATACAATATACGGCAGCTGACGTTGCAATATTGTACAGATGCATGTGGTTTGTCAGAGGGCGATGCGAGAGACTCATCTTTACCTGTTTTTCGGCATTTTGCTGTTTTTGGGCTGCTATGGACAATAATTTAGTAAAGTCCATATTATGAACAAATATGTGAAACAATCCTATATCGCCAAATGCCAAAAGGACACCACGAAGAATACTTTTATCTAGGTCCCTCGCTGTTCCTTCTCTCTTTCTGATTTCCTTCGATGACAACTTCCTGTTTGGCTACTTGCTCGCGTCTAACACTACACAGCCTACAATACACTTCCGCTTTTGTTGGTTGCCTTCTTCTGTCACTGAATCTGAACAATTTAGTTAGATACAACTATGATTAGTGACATGGGTCAGCAAGGTATTTTTATTTACAATTTTGTCTTAAGATCAAAAATATTTCCATGAGAAATACGTAGGATGTACAGTAATTACTGTTTTGCTGTTCTGCTGGCAATGTTTAGTCCGTCACTCGTCAGTGATTTACATTTACGGCGATACTGCAAAGGGCCGTCGAACAGCATCAACTTGCAGGTAGACTTGTGTGGCGTGACTTCCACATAAGTTCGTTAAAAACAGGTTAACAAGTTCAAACTATTTACAGGATCCACATTCACTCTGCAAGATGACTGTGGAGCGAGGTGATTGTGTAATAAATTCTGAAGATAGCACTCAGGGAGGGGGTATGCTGCACTAGTCAGGGTTTTGTAGTCTGTTTTTGAGAAAAAAAATCAAATCATTCGCCAAAACACAATATTCGTCTAGTCCTTAATTGTTCTTGGAAAAAAGTTATTTGTTTTGTTCTAGAATAGAGTTGTTATCTCTAATGTAAAAAGCATTTATTCAGAAGTATTATAAACAGTAATAAAAAGCTACTTTAAAAGTACACAAAATAGTAAACTATACAGTATGTTGATTTATTGTTATAATGTCAATCTGTATACAATACTTATGGCAGCTTGAGTCAACAATATATCCAATCAGCCCCTGTAGATAAGAGATTATGAGGATATAGCACAAGTTTCCTCTGGCCCTGACATCAGACTTGACATTTTGACAGATAGATGTCTGTTTTCCTCTGACACTGACTCCAGATTTAGACATTTTGACAGATATAGATGTCTGGTGATGTCTGGTACACCCCAGACATCTCTGTCAAAATGTCCAAGTCTTGTAAACTAACAGAGATTCAGGGGTTAGCAGGTATGTGTTAGGGACAGAGAAAACTTGACAGTCTAAATGGGATAGTCATCCTTAAAAGATCATTTGAGTTATTTATAGACTTTCAGTGCCAACTTTGAACTTACTGGTTCACTATATAAATGAAGAAAACCCCAGCCTAATAAACACATCTTAGTTTTCACATTTACAACTAATTTAAGCTCCTTTGAGATTATGTTGCCACAGTAATAATTGTAATTCAACATCAAATGCCCTAAATGACTTAAAATATTGATTGGCCATAAACAATAAAAGTCAAAAACAAAAATACTGTTTCTAACACAAACTATTTTCTTGTTCGTTCATATGATATAATTATATAGTCATTAATGATATTTCAGAAGTGATTTTTTTTCTGATCCCAAAACATAAAATGAAGTTGTTTAATTAAAGGTACTCACATTATACCATACACCACTGATGTATACATATGATTGTATATTCAGTAAGATGGAAAATAATTTATACAACTGTCCTATATGTTTTGTATTATATTATCTGTAATCCTACAGAGTAGTTCATAAGATTATTGACATATTAATACCTTCACTATTTGAATGTAAAATTACACTTTAAATGGAATTCCTTTACAAGCAAAAATGTTCAACAGGGAACCTATTTACATCTTGAGTAAATAATATATTGTTTTAAAAATGTTGATTAAAATTATGGTGGTGATAAAAATCTCGTGATCAAGTTTGCTTTAACCTATATGTTTACTTTTTTCTCCAGCACTATAAATATTCAGTTTGGTCCCAGTCATCTCACCCAAACATGACTGATGGGGATGATGACCTTGACCTTTTGGAAGAACGCACTGAGGCATTATGGGATGCCAAAATTGTTGCCATGATATCCCAATCTGAATCATCACAGAAAAATGTTGAATTAGATGAGGGTGGACCATCTTCATATGATGAGGACGACAGACATTCTATAACAAGTCTAGATATTGATAGAACTACATCTGAGAGTGGAGAACATGAAATTATAGAATCAGAAATCTTGATTCCACCAAACCCGAATCAGGGAGAGACAAAAACTACCTCAGATAATGTGCATGCCATCACAGAGAAACAGGCAAAGTGGAGCTTCGATGATTTGTATAGCATTGGGATAGGATCAAAACCTGATGTCGTGACCACAACTGATTGTGGAAAGGTCTTTCCAACCCAAAGTGGACACAGACCTCAGGACTACGTTTTACAATCTGAACCAGGTACTGTTCTGTTACCTGATGTTGTTAACAGCAGACAAAATCCAGCTGTTGGCCAAGTAAACCAACAGCAGTCCCCTGATGTGCCTAAAGTGATTGTCTTCACTGAAGATGATGAACAACTTGATGATTATGTCGACAGTGATTCATCTCTTGCAGAAGAAATTACAAGTTCACCTGAAAAGACATTTGTTTCTGATTCAAGACTGAAGAGAACGTATGGTTATGATAAAAGTTCATCTTCACAGAGTCGGGATAGTGATGATGATTTGATCAGTAGCAGTCCTTTTGAATGTAGTTCTTCTAGTTCTGATCGACCCAAGATCACTGCAAGGAGAAGATTCAGCTCTAAGAGATCATTTCACACAAAAGTGATCAACATCAGTGATGACAGTTCTTCTCCGCAGAAGATGTTTTGTAAAAACCCAGATACTAAAAAGACCAAAAAGCCATCAGTTTTGGAAGAGGAACCTCCCTTGAAAGTTACAAAAAGTCAAAATGAATGTGCTCGGGGAGATTTAGGTTTGTGTGCAGAGAGGAATCTTCATACTGAGAGGATTCCAAATCACAGAAGTGAAGAAATCCTGAAAGCAATTGGAACAAAGTGCACTGTATCACGGTTAAGAAAAGATTCTAAATCAACGATAAAACTGACAAAGAGTGGAACAGAAAAAACCGTCTCAATAACCAGTCAGGAGAGTCAACCCAGAGGAATCATTATTTCTAGGCCAGAAAAGGACCAATCAGCTTTGACTGCTGATCAGAGTATTGCCAAAAAGAAGGACATTGACAAAGTGGTAGGTTATGTATTAAAGGTTGATAAAACAATTATATTTACATGATAAATATTTATATTACCTGAAATTTAAGTGACTTACTTAAGGAACAAATGTATTTTAGAGGACCTTTGGGGGGGGGGGGGGATTTTGCAGATTTCTTCATGATAATCTTGATGAAATTCAAAGTTTTTAATACAAGTTCATTAGATATATATGGAATCATTCTTCCCTTTCTATTTAGTATACCGCATTTCAACTTATTTAATTACTTGACCTGAAAATTTCATATATAAGAGGCAAACATTTTGTTTTAAAGCAAACAAAGTTATTCAAAAGAAAATATGTCTGTTTCAGTGTGAGTGGTTTCCAGACGCCTGTAGGAAGTGGATAAAACTAAAGATTGAAGTGACTTTACAGCAAGGAAATGAGCAGTTTCTCGATCACATAGTTGATGGTATGGTTGATGGGAACTACCCAAAATCAACACCTCAAAATGATCCAGATTTTCGTCAAGACGAAGAACCAGATATCGTAGCCGCCCTTGGCAGTAACAAAATCAACACACCTGTTCAATCAACTGGGAGACAGAATGTGACAGACTCCAAACCTGCTGTACGGCTGTATGGTAAGAAAGCCAACTACATGGGCGGAGCAAAAGGAAAGGGAAAATCTGTCGTTCCAAGGAAGGTATGTCAACATATATACAAACAAGTAACAGATCTGCTTCCTACCTGTCACTGTCTGTTATACTGATTTAAAAAAAAAGTTGTTTGGACACATAGCATCTGTCTAAATACTCCTGTAACATAAAATGCTGCTGGTTGGCTTTTTTTTAGCCCCCCACCTGTTTCCGGGGGGACTATAGGTTTGCACTCCGACCGTCATTCCGTCCAAGAAGTTTGTCCTGGACATATCTTGTAGATGCTATTACACCTGGAGTAACCAGATTTGGTGTACAAGGACAATTTTGGATGTCGGAGTGAAGAGTACAAGAAGAAAGTCACTATGACCTCGCAGTGACCTATGCTTTGACCTTTGACTTTAACTTTTGAAAAAGTTTGTCCAAAGCATATCTTTTATACTATTTCACCTGGAGTAACCCGCTTTGGTGTACAAGGACATCTTGGGATGGCTTAGTATAGAGTGCAAGAACTATGTCACTGTGACCTCTGACTTGACCTTTGACCTTTACTTTTGAAAATGTTTGTCTGGGGCATATCTTCTATACTATTTTACCTGGAGAAACCAGATTTGGTTTACAAGGACATCTTGGGATGGCTGAGTACAGAGCGCAAGAATTAGGTCACTGTGACCTATAACTTAACGTTTGACCTTTACTTTTGAAAATGTTAGTCCGGGGCATATCTTCTATACTATTTCACCTGGAGTAACCAGACTTAGTGTAAAAGGACATCTTGGGATGGCAGCGTGCAGAGCTCAAGACTTAAGTCACTGTGACCTATGACTTGACCTTTGAACTTAACTTTTGAAAATGTTTGCCTGGGGCACATCTTCTGTACTGTTTCACCTAGAGTAACCAGATTTGATGTACACGGACATCTTGGGATTAATGAATGCAAGAAGTAGGTCACTATATCCTCTGTGGCCTATTATATGCTTCCTGACATAAGTGTACTGTTTGTTAAATACAGAAATCATTACCGGTGGGGGACTATGATTGCCTTGTAATACTCTGCCTTGTTATTCAATGATTATGCTGACTGTGACTCGGCACCTGTCAAAAGTATTTTGCTATGTTAAACCTCAATCATTGTTCGAGTACATCTGTTCAAGCACATCCATGATTTAACCATGATTTACACTGTAACCCTGTTTTGCTGTCGTTATTGTTAATGAGCCATTTAGACCTAAACAAATAAATAGACATTTTCTTTGGGAAAGTTAACCTACTTGAGTGATATGATTTTGATCAATGAAAAAGACATCTACCTTCAAAAAAAAAAAGAATCACCACATTTTTTTGAGAAAAAATCTTATATTGGGCTACAAAATTGTCCCAGATTAAGGGTAAATTGATACATATAAGCTTATGATCAATATAAATTTTCCTAGTGTTATTATTTTTTCTTAAAACTAAATACTTCTGATGATTTTTATACTTATTATTTTGTACTTTTTATTTAGCCTGTCCGAAATATACTCGATGAATATCAGTCTTCAGAAGATGAGAAAGACATTTGTATGGATGCTGCAGAATCTATGGAGACTGTTCGGGACAATGGTATGTGAAGATTTAATCCACACAATTTTTGCTACTATCTTGTTAATATGTGTGTATTGAAAACTCATGTTTTTTAAAAAAAGGTTTTGTATAAAGGTTTTGTCTTTGTAATATCAATCTGATTACATTGAAACCTGCCCAATCTGACACCTAAATATTCAAACAGCCTTTATAATCTGTCATAATGGTTAAATCTCATTTGTTACGTAAAACAACAAATAGTACCTGTTGGTTCTCACATCGTGTCAGTCTGGGCAATGTTATGTTCACCACAGTGTGTCAGATTACACAGGTTTCACGGTATTATATACACATGAAAATATCAAATACAGACGTGTTGGATTAGATTATCACCACAATGACCTCTGGCTTAATGTGATTACTTTGCCTGTTCCAATGGTAATTTAATATTTAAAATTGATTTGAAATGTAAAAATATTACTGTAAACATATATATATTTATACATATATATATTTAACCAGTACAATTCTTATTTCAGTGTTTTTAGATTAGAACTGTACTAATTGAAGTTTAAATGTATTGTTTTGTATATATTGTGTGTGCACCAATTCTTCAGTGCCCTAATCTGTTAAAATTTGGTAATGCACCAAAATTTTATTGGCAATTTGCACAAAAATAGATAGGTTTACTGGATCTTCTCTGTTTTACTAAATATATTTAAAGGACAGAAATTGCCAGAATTGCTTATTTACAAATAATTTTAAATAAAGTAACTAACTAAAGAGAAAACATGATGACTAAAGAGGAAACAAAATCCATATGTTTTTCATACAGAAGTGTCTTCGTCATCCCTGACATGCGAGTCATGTAAGATGAACCGAAACACGGACATGGTGGTACAGTGCTGTGACGGCCATCTTATCTGTAACTCTTGTGTGGAAAAGGAAGTGAAGGAGATACTCTCCCCGGACAGCCAGGAGGTATGTCCTCTTCTATGTTTCTTTTGTTTTGTCTTTTGATGCCCCCACCATAAAATGGGGGGGGGGGGCATATAGTGTTGCCATGTCCGTCGTGTCGCATCCCTTCCCGTCCCGTTCTGTCCCCCGTTCTGTCCCGTTCCATCCTGATTCAATGTAAACTTGTGTCACATCCCGCCCCAATTCAATGTAAACGCTCAGCAACTTCATTTTTTGACAGATTTTGTTTTTCTCAGAAAACTAAAGATTAGTGAGCTTCGCTAGAGCTGCATATAATAATTGTGATAAGTTTTAATCAATCCCATATGACATGTTATTAATGTAGATTCTATTTATCAAATGTCCAAGATTTCCATCCAAGCCCACAGGACATTAAGTTACCATGTCCATTCCAAACTAAGCACATTAACTGTTGATGTCAGTATACTATTGATGTCAGTATACTATTGATGTCAGATGTCAGTATAGTATTGATGTCAGTATACTATTGTTGTCAGTATACTATTGATGTCAGTATACTGTTGATGTCAGTATAGTATACTATTGATGTCAGTATAGTATTGATGTATACTATTGATGTCAGTATAGTATTGATGTATACTATTGATGTCAGTATAGTATTGATGTATAGTATTGATGTCAGCATACTATTGATGTCAGTATACTTTTGATGTCAGTATACTATTGATGTCAGTATAGTATACTATTGATGTCAGTATAGTATTGATGTCAGTATAGTATTGATGTATAGTATTGATGTCAGCATACTATTGATGTCAGTATACTTTTGATGTCAGTATTGATGTCAGTATACTATTGATGTCAGTATACTTTTGATGTCAGTATACTATTGATGTCAGTATAGTATACTATTGATGTCAGTATACTATTGATGTCAGTATACTTTTGATGTCAGTATACTATTGATGTCAGTATACTAATGTCAGTATACTATTGATGTCAGTATCAAAAGAAAACGTTATTCAAACAATGTTGACATTTAATTTATGTGGAAATGAAACTAAACATGCATTTTCATTATTGTTTGTATATATATATAAGGTTTATAAGCTTCTAGATTCTGCCTTCTTTTAAGTGATGCTTTCACTACAGAATACTTTTAAATTAACAACATCATTTGCAGTTAGATATTTTCTGTATTTTTACCAGACTCAGATCAAATGTCCAAGTGAGAATTGTCAGAGCAAGGTACCAGAGAGTAAGTATACATCCTATTCTCAGTATGTCTTTTTGCCAGAACGATGAGCATGACAATATGGCAGCATACCATTGCAATGCCGGGCCGGGGTTTGATTCCCCTGTCAGACATGATAAAGTATATGGGTCACTAGCTGCCTGACAATGGGGGGTTTTCACCAAATATTCCAGTTTCTTCCAACATTAAGACCCCTATGTGCTACCATCCGGGCCAACAATAGTCAGAGTGATGAATATAAAATATTGTAATTTTTGTAAAACAAATGAAGCTTATTTTTACCATTTCCATTTGTTATCTTTAAGGGATTTGATTGCAAACTCATTATTAACCCTTTCACCGCTGTAGACCATAATGGACTCATCCAGATCAATGCGTGGTCGAGTCTACTAAAGTTACATTGAAGTGAAAGGGTTAATTGTGTAGATACATATAAATATATATAGACCTAAATAGATAACAAATCTACCATCACCTCATCTTAACAGAAAGTCTGCTTTTTGAATGCAGTGAATATTTTCTTTCTCCTAGATATCAATTTTGTCAGATTGATAGAATGCTATTTCTCGCTTCCAAAAACTGTGAAATATAAAGTTAAGTAGATGAAGTGGCCATTAGACAAAAATACTGATGAATCCTTCATTGATATCTGTACATCAGAAACTTATTTTGCTGGCCTCCAATGATAGATTGCTTATTTTCAAAGTGTGAGAGTATAAGGTTGTTGGTTTACAGTACTTTTATTTAGTTGTTTCAGGCTAGGACTGGTTTTCCAGAACCTGATTAGTTGAATATGAAATCCAAAAAAGAAAATTTCAAAATGTTTTTTTTGTTTAATGCTTAGGCCAAATAAAGATATATCTGTGTTTCCTGTTTCACGACAGACCCTATTTTTCCATGCCGACCCTAATACATTTTATTAGTTTTTCAGTCACTGTAATGCATTTATTAGCCGTAGAATTGTTCAAAGTGTACATATAATTTGTTATCCATTTCATTAGTGTGGTCAGTGTCAGAGTTTTATTTGAAGATAGTAGCTAAGTAGCCGTAGATAATTGTGGTTATGATATAGGTTGGGACTGTAGATTAGTGTGACTGTCTGTAGTCTGGGTGGGAGGAGTCCAGTCTGTGATGTCAGTGTTTGTACCTCAAGCTGATGCTGACTACCAGAGTCCAATTTATGACATATTTAAACATATAGTGTAAACATAAATATACTTATTTTGTTGTTCAATTAACTTGAACAGGAGATAGTGGAAATCGAGAACAGAAAGTATCAGTAATACAAAAGAGAACATAACACTGGTGACCATCAGTGGAGTTTGGATTACTAAAAACTAGTGTCCAGCTGTAGGGATAATTTAGAAATGTAACACAGGTGGTAGCTATAGCACTACTGTAAATTACAGTTGGTTATTCCATAATCATTTAGGTGGGTCAAATCACAGATTACTTCAAAATGTTGTTTGAGCCTGCTCAACACAAAAACTGTGAATGCATTTGTATATTTATTTAACATGAATCAAAAAGGATATATTTGGTGCCTTCACCAGAAAATAAAATGAAAAAATAAAATAAAAATGTTTTTCCTACCTGCCCTATTATTTTTGGAGCCGAAACAGGAAACATGCATATATTTTTATTTGGCCTTATATGTTACCTTTATGTTTGTTGTTCACACTAGGTCAAGCAAAGAAGATTCTACCAAAGTTAATCCTAGAACTATTGGAAGAGAAGCTACACAAACAAGCTGTGGAGTCTATCATCAAGATGGAAGATCTAGTAACGTGAGTAATGGCTACCTACTATATTAGAATAGCATATAAAGGATTGCCATCTTTTTGAAACCAGTGAAATTGTTATGAAAATGATGCAAAAATAATGCTTGCATGTTTGGTATGTCCTATGAACACTCTTCTGCCAATCTTTTAATCTACTACAGTATTGCCATGATGATAAGGAAAGTTGTTCATGCCTGATTTATAAAACTCTACAGCAGGGCTAATTTTATTAGATGTAATTATAAATCATGAGGTGTTTTTTTAACTAATGATCTACCATGAAATTTTTGCTGATTCCCGTAATTATTTTCAGGTGTCCAAATTGCAGTTTTCCAGTGGTGATGGATGCGGGTATCAAGAAATTTGAATGCCCTAATTGTAAAAACGTAATTATTCTACCAATATTGCATGAGCTGTTTTCTTACTGTACAGCACTTCATTTTGTTTTAAAACAAATTTCCACGGTTTTAATTTGACGGACAAAATGTTAAAAGTCAATACTTCAAATGTTAAAAGTTCAAAGTAAATCTATACAGGAAATTGGTTGCTGGAAATCCAATTTAAAATTAGCACATTAATTTAATCTTAAATGTAGTATATTCACAAAAATACTTTAAGGGGATTTTAAAATATCTGAAGATGAAAAACTAAAAAAGTGTTTGTAAATGTCCACATATTAATGATAAATTTAAATTTAAAAATATCCATTACTGCACAGTAAAGCTAATAATGCTTTCCACGGCCGAGAATGGCAACTGTGTTTACGTTTCATGCATTTTTTTCAGGTAAGTAATAAAGTAAAACAAATATCCTGAAGTAGGAATTAATACAACATTTCTTAAAAATTCTTTTATGGAAGTATGTTGATGGATATTTAGCAATAATATTTAATATAATCTGTAAAATAATAGACTTTTCTATCTCATTACTGTGGTATTGTTTCTTTCTGTCTCGTGTTTAGTTTGTGATATCATGGAGTTGTAAATTGTGTTACAGTCGAGCTGTAGATACTGTAAAAGGCTGTGGGTAATGACCAGCCATGACGACTGTAACCAGTTCACAACATTCCTGCAAGAAAACCTGGACAGTAAGGACCTGGAACCGCCCTCCTACTGGCACCCAATGCCTGAAGAAGGTGACAAGGTAGATAACTCTGAAAAATATTCGGAATTTTCGGATTGCCAAAACAAAATACTGTTGAGATATACAATATATAAGCATTTGGAAACATGAGTAAAGACTGTAAAAGCCACGTATATATGGCAGGATCAGACTGGAACGAAAATAAATTGAAAACACCTCTGTAAGTGAACTTGTAGATGCCAAAAATCCAAGGAGTCCAATTAGTCACAAACAATTTGAAATCTATTTTTTTGAAACTGTCTAGGAATATATTGGACTATCTATATTCTAAGTAATAAGTAAGTTATAGAGTTATTATTTAATGTTATAGCAAAATTATAGGAACTAAATTGGGCACTAATATGTATTTTGTGGATCATAATCCAGGCACCAGCATAAAATAAGATATAAAGTTCTAGCAAATTCTTTGTGTGTTTAGCACCGACATTGCATTTTTCTGGGATTTTCATTTATGTACACAACTATATGTGTAGCTTCTGTAATAGTGTTCTATTGTAAACGACATCTCTGCCTGTAGGGTGTTACTCATGTCCTCTATATGTTATGTATCTCTGAGATGTCTGCAGTTAGTTAAAGCTAATCGGCTATATGGCACAGGTCAGCAGGCCAGGCATATCTATCCAGGATGCAGAGGTTCTGTTTAGGGAAACAAAATGTGAAAGAAAATGAAAGTATAGGTTAAGATAATTTCAAGGCAGATTGTTCAATATCCTACAAGTACTTGCTCCAACATATATGTTATTCTAATTCATTTGAAATGTAATGCAGCATTTGATTGGTCAATCAAACTAATTTGCAATGGTATAACCATGATATACTGTCCACAATTTGCATATGGAGCTTTGATGGTGATTGTTATTGCGTCAGTGACCCCGACTGACCCTGACACATCATGAAATAGATTATAAATGACCTCTTGAACAACAATGTAACCCTAAAAGGTCAATGTAGTTCTGCCTCACTTTAAAAGTTCCTGACAACATAAATGTACACTAGAGACAATTTTTTTGATGAAAGTGCACAAATCATCTATAAATTGCTGTTTCTTTTGGTGATTTTCGATGAATTGAAATGCAATAGGGATGTTTCTACTGCATTTTGAGATTTGCAGACGTATATTGTGATTATACTGATGCAAATACCCGTTAACTGGCTCCGTCTCGTGTCACTAATAAAACTAAACCTGCAAAAGTATAAACATGATATACCACCGCAAATCTCAAAATAAAGTAGGGTTATCCCCTTAATAAGAGGACTTAACTTACAAAACTAATTACAAGTGATAGTGATTTTTTGTGGCGTTTAGTGCAGTCCTATTGATCCAAGGTCTGCTGGGGTAAATGATCTAGGCCATGTATGGCAAGGACTTTGTGTGATCAGAATCCGTACTAGCCTGTGGACCTATTACAGTGTAACACTGGGGGATCCTTGTTCTCAATAAATGAGGCTTATTGTCAACTAAATCGTCTGGGTGTTACTCCCTCGCATCACTGTAACCACCTCTACGATGTAACTGTCTCTCTCTATATATTATGTGTGTGTTTGTAACTTTGGCTAGGAATGGATTAATATAGGTAGAGCCTGTTGTCCAATCCTTTTGATTTTTCAATGAAATTTACTGAAATAATGTATCCTCTATATACAGGACTAAGTGATAGGGACTTTAGTAAGAATTCATGAAGTTTAGTAATCTTAACTTACATGACTAATTGATATATATTTCAAATAAGTTAAGTGCAGTTTACTGGCCTTTTTTTACAGTACTAGGTAATAGCAACTTTAGTGAAGTTTTATGAAGTTTAGTAGCTTTAACTTATATGACTTAGTGATAGTAACTTTAATGCCATTTAGTGCCGTTTGATGACATTTATTTACAGGCCTAATGAAAGAGACTTTTTACATGTAATTTAATCTGCAAATGTCTTTCATGTAGTTTAAGTGTGTTTTTCTGTGATATCTGTAAATATATTGATGCAGGTCCATATTGTTAATTAGACTTGTCTAAATATGTATCCCTGGATAAATAAAAGATATTATTATTATTATTATTTACTTTTGTGAAGTTTAGTGCAGTAATTGGTTGCTTTTATTTACAGGACTATGCGATTGTTACCCTGGATGAGAAGTGTGTGGAGTTCCAACACATCAAGACTTTGTTCTCTCTCAGTATGTCAGCCAGCCAGATCACAGCGGTCAGAAGGATACAGAATCCACGCTTGTGGCAGAAGTTCTGTCTGTGGGTACCATAACCATGGCATGATCTTGTGTTTTAATGTACTGTAATTCAATTTTTGCTTGTGTTTTAATGTACTGTAATTTAATTTTTGCTTGTGTTTTAATTAATCTTGAATTATTGTGTGAAATGATGTTTTTTTTATTTAGTTTTAAAAGTTAATGCTGCTGAGTTTCTTTTAAAATGTATAATTATTGATTAATTAACAAGAAAAAATTACCATTTATTTCATAAATTTAATACTGCTTTTGAATGAAAATGCATTCCTTCATATTGATGAAATTTAGATAAAAAGTTTTTGCAAAATAGCTTATATAAAACAGTTACTTAAGTTACATTGACTGGCATTCATGACTTCCATTTGTGCAAAGAATTTTGTAACAAAACCCAAGCAACATCGAAGAATCATGAAACATTTGAATATAGTTGTGGTATCTTAGTTTAAAAAAAAAAAAATGAATACCTTTCAAACTGTCTTTAAACATACATTTATGTTTGTTTGTTAGAATCACATTTGCAATGTATTAATGTGAATTATCGGGTATTGTTATCTTGGTTTTTTATAGATCAAGAAAGCATATGGTGGAAGATTTTGGGCAAAACCAGCTCAATGAAAAGCAACTTTTTCATGGCACAAGTACAAAAGCGTTTGATGCAATTTGTAGAGAAGGACTGGACTGGAGGATGTGTGGAGAAAACGGAACAGCCTTCGGTCAAGGTACATCGTGATACATTTTAGTGTGTGGTAGGGGTGATTGAAGATACAGTCATCATTCGTCAAGATCATTGAGCAGTCTTCGTTCAAGCATCCTCAAAATTCCAGAGGTTATATCCACTTACGTTCTCTGCACCCCTGAAATATGTCATGAAAACATTGAAGGCATGCAGTTAGTTCTGGTTTAAATGATATAACTGATCAATCACTAGGCTGATACATAGAGACCACAAAGAAGGAACAGCCAACTCAAAACTGGTCAATTTTACCATTACACGCTGCATGGTTCTGATGATGTACATAAAAGGATCGAACTAGTCAGCTTGTACCATCCACAAGGTGGTTATACTGAGCCTTCAATTCCAACATGACTTATTCCAGGGGTGCAGAGACCCTATGGTCAAGGCAATAGTCATCAAATCATGATAAGTTGTGGACGAGAATAATTAAATCAAACAGCCTTCATTCAAAGGGAATGTGGCTGTGGTTGGATAATGGAATATCCTTTGTTTCATGCAGGTCAGTAAATCATGACTGTGTCATATGAAATTGGGTATGAATGGAACAATCTTCAGTTGATAGAGGTCTCAAAGTAATAGAGAAGTATCACAAGATTTGGTTGTGATGTGTTATGAAGGCATAATAAGGTCTGTGGGTGGGGTTTAATAGCCCTTGAAGTACATTACATATAATTAAAACAGAAAAATCAGATGTGAGGTGGAAGAATGAAACCACCTGCTGTCTAGGTAGTCTTTTTAAATACTACAGCATTACGTTGGAAAGGAGAGAGAAGGATCTTCAAAAACAATTTATTCACCTGATTTATATTCAATATATGAAGATTTATACTGGAATGATATCTGGGGATTTGGTAAAATGATTAACATCAGATACCAGGGTTTTATGTTTTAGTGAAAGAAAGTGGCCTTCTTGTTGTTGTAGGTACCTACTTTGCAAAGCAAGCTTCATACTCAGACAGGTACAACCAAATGACTCCTGGGTATATGGGTGTCCGGTCCTTACCGCCAGGAAACAGCAGTGCAGCTTTTGCCCAGGCTTTCAATCTGCCATCGTCATTTAACACTCCACCGAACAATGCTCCAAATCCTTTCCTGGCTTCATTCAATTTCAGTAACATGCATAAGCCACAGCCACAGCAGCAGCAGCAACAAAATGTTTTTAAAACAACCTCACATGCATTTCCCTATGTACCCCTAAGTGGTACCAGTAATAGCAATGCTGCAGGCACATTCAGCAATAATTTCTTCCCGTCTTCCAGTAACAATGGAGCAGCAATGTTTGGGCCATTTGGACCATCTAACAACAGCGGCCAGCCTGTGTTTGCACCAGCAAACATTGGACAATCAAACACCAACAATTCTCTGGCAATATTCCAAGGTCACAGCCAAGGTCAAATCATGCCAGCCAATGTGAGTAACCCTGATGTGAGTAGCACAACTGATAAAATCATCTTCACCAATGTTGAGGATACGATCGGCCCTAACAAGAAATACATGTTTGTGGCCCGTGCATTAGTTGGACGATGTTGTTCTGGCAACTCTGGTATACGCAAGCCTCCATCAGACCCAGGCGATCCAAAGCGACGTCCGTTCAACTCTTGCGTTGACAATGTGTTGACGCCATCAATATTTGTCATTTTTGACTGTGCTCAGTGCTATCCAGAGTACATAGTTGAGTACACCCATCGATGAACAGAGCAATGAATTGTTTTTTTGGACAATTTATCCATGTTGATCTTATCGATTGTGTGTATGCATGAATTTTTCTGTGATAGAAATTGTTGCCTCAAAATTTTAGGTAAACAATAGAACCCATCAGATGAACTGTTTCACTTTCGCCGTAGTTTTGGATGGAAATCCAAACTTTTGATGAGTAGAAAAATGATTCCAATCTGAGATTTATTTATTTGGGTGTTATTGATACAGATATGTTACATATTTTTATTCAAATCCATTATTTACTTCAAGGAAAGGATTTTTTCATATTACGGTTCTGCAAATATTAACATAAGTTTTTCATGAACATCAGTGGGAATAGGTACATGTAATCTTTTACATTCAGAAATTTACAGTGTAATGCCCTGCCTTTGAACCTTTGAATCTTTCCATCATCTTAACTCCTTAATTACAAACGAAAAAAGTTGTAAACAAATTTAAATACATGTGTAAGATTTCCATGGGGTCTGTAGGTTCCCTGGATTGTGACACCATGCCCAGGCAACATCACGATCAGATTCCCTCAATATGTATCTAACACTTTATAATCTGGTATCAATATTTATACCTCATACATGTGTGGTTTCAATCATATTTTTCACTTTTATTTGGAAAATTTCCTACAGAGTTGGTTGTCTGTTTTGTAATTGTTATGTTTGCATCATTTGTTGACTAGAAATATTCACTTAAACATGGAAGTGGTGAAACAGTATCCCTTACATGTCTGAACATACAGAATTTGTAGGATGTCATTATGTTTCATTTTCGCACAGTCCTTTTGAAAAAATTAAACCTCTGCTTGATATAAAAGCTCTAATTAATCAAATCAACATTTTAATATCACTCATAAAAGATATTTTTCTAGGTTGTTAGTGTGAAAAATTCTTCTGAAATGAGTTGCATTTCACAATAATAAGATACCTTATTATATGTGAGGTACCCCCATCAGTAATTGGTAAATATAGACGTGGGAATTGTGGAGCCTATCCATGTTCAACATTTAGATACATGTAACCGAAGTGGAATGTGGTCGTGTATTATGCTCTTTTGACAGCTACTCATTTAAGGAAGCCCAGCAGTTTAGTTCTTGTAAGTTTTCCTGTAGAAGCCCAATGCTCGAGTGAAACAAATAGACAACTAGTAACACACACTTACTTATCCCCAGCTACAACTAGTAACACACGCTAACTTATCCCCAGCTACAACTATTAACACACGCTAACTTATCCCCAGCTACAACTAGTAACACACACTAACTTATCCCCAGCTACAACTAGTAACACACACTAACTTATCCCCAGCTACAACTAGTAACACACACTAACTTATCCCCAGCTACAACTAGTAACACACACTAACTTATCCCCAGCTACAACTAGTAACACACACTAACTTATCCCCAGCTACAACTAGTAACACACGCTATCTTATCCCCAGCTACAACTAGTGACACACACTTACTTATCCCCAGCTACAACTAGTGACACACACTAACTTATCCCCAGCTACATCTAGTAACACACACTAACTTATCCCCAGCTACAACTAGAAACACACGCTAACTTATCTCCAGCTACAACTAGTAACACACGCTAACTAATCCCCAGCTACAACTAGTAACACACACTAACTTATCCCCAGCTACACCTAGGGACACACACTAATTTATCCCGAGATACATCTAGTAACACACACTAACTTATCCCCAGCTAGAACTAGTGACACACACTAACTTATCCCCAGCTACATCTAGTAACACACACTAACTTATCCCCAGCTAGAACTAGTGACACACACTAACTTATCCCCAGCTACAACTAGTAACACACACTAACTTATCCCCAGCCTGTTGTGATTGAATTATCTTTTTAATATATATTTAAAAATAGGTAGCACCCTTAAACAGCATCAGCAATTGTACTTGAATTGAGATTTGGGTTGAAAAGGGATAGAAACCACACGGTGAAATTAACTTTTGATTTGATAGATAGATAATAAGTATGGTTTAAGAAGTAATATAACAGGTTATTTATGCGGGGTAATTTTTTGGAGGATTTGGAAGCAAAATTAGATAATAAGATTTACACAGATTATAATTTTTGCAATCTAGACATGTGGAGGAACTCAATTTTTCGCGGAGACTGAGTCTAATGTAGACTGGAGACATCACAAGTTGACTTTCGTATAAAACGCAAATATTTACAAATACATGTTAACTCCTGCAACACATGTTCACCAAGACAATCATAAAGGTTGTTCCCCTTGTCTATTTTAGCACATTGACAGGACATATTTTGGCGACCACATTAATGACACGCAAAATCGTGAAAATATTCTGCTATATGGTACTTAAGGCTTTTGAATTAATTGAGCCAATATTATTTTGCTGTTTCAGTTTGTGAACCAGTTTTGTTATGACATCTAGTTTACAATATTCCATAAGGATATTTTAGTAATTGTTACGACAATAATATTTTGTTAAAGAGCTGAAATAACATTTACTTGGTAGATACATATATTAACATTGTATTTCTGTTAACACAGAGTCACAACTATTTATAATTTTGATGTACTTTGTGTGAAGATTTTGAAATAAAATGAAATCATACCAGTTTTTTATTGCTTCAGTCATCATTTGAAATAAAAACATATGGAGAAAGATGTAAAATACAACTAGAACGTTAACACTGACAGGTCAGTAATAGCCCTGCTAGCATCCTCGATATCCAGGGGTTATGCTCATTTTCGCTCTCTACACCCCTGGAATATGTCGTAGCAAAATCGAAGGCTCAGTGGACAGCACCTTGTGGATGAAACGAGAAGACCAGTTTGATCCTTTGATGTACATCAAAAGAATTTCGCGGTCGCGTAACAGTAAATCGCTCCTCTGTAATCTTCAAAGGACAAGTATCAGCCTAGTGATTGGTCAGGTGTTTTTACCTGACACCAATCAAATAGCTAACCGTGTGCCTTCAATTTTGTTGTGACATATTCCAGAGTTTCAGAGAGCGAAAGTGAGTGTAACCCCTGGATATCGAGGGTGCCCCGCTAGGTGCCTGACTGTAATTTATGCCCTTCCCCTACCCCGGATCCTTTTTAGCAACCGTAACCTTGACCATGACCTTAAAAACTATATTAACCCTTTTTGCCGTCTATATATCATAGTAAATCACTATGTCAAATTAATAAAAAATAATCCTTTGTATTCCAAGATAATATACGGAAATAAAAGTGTAGACTGTGAGCCAGACACACAGGCAGACAACGTGATTACTGTAGGGCATACACATCTCCCTAATAAGAGGTACTCAATAGAAGAAGGACCAATTGATTTGAAGGGAGTAGGGGGTTGGGGCTTGCAGAGTTTTAAAATACTAATCAGATAATGACCATAATGCAAATGAATGATCAACGTTTATCAAAAAAATATTTCTGTCTGCATCAATATGTAATTTATATCAAAATCGTTTTATGTGATATTATCATTTCCATTTCAGGGCAACAATTACATTATAAAAGCATGTCATCTTTTTTGAAATATGAAAGAAATTTGCAACTGTATAGTTAATGACCAATTAATAAGCAGCAGTCCTGGTAAAGTGATATATTGGCAAAATCAGATATAAGATCTGCATCATTTTAATTATGTTTCCCCTTTGAATGAAGAAAGACATATTGTGTTAGTACTCGTTATTCTGATATGATCTCGTCCGGGCCGTAACTTTTTAAACCGTTAAAGATAATCTTGATGAAACTTGAAGTATACCTGCATCACCCATAGACGATGTGCATTGCACTGTCATTAGGTCATTGTGAACTTGACTCCAAGGTCAAAGGTCACATTTTTCAGGAACATCTTGTCCAGGCTGTAACTTTTAATAAAGATATATTGATTAAACTTGCAGTATAACTGCATCACCTACAGATGATGTGCAATACAGTGTCATTAGGTCACTGTGGCCTTTACCTCAAGGTCAGAGGTGAAAAAGTCTGATTGTTTTAAACATTTAAAGGTGTACGCCAAGGTGATGCCAACGGTCCCCCACTGTTTCTAATTTTGCTTGAACTTAGTATGAAAGCAAATGTTTGCATCATAAAATCTATACTGGTATCATTTGCGACTATGGGATCAGTTTTGGGGACTTATGGTCCCGTCTACAATTAGAACTTGCTGATATATGATTTAACAGTAGGTATAGCTCAAACGGTTGTCGATTACCCACATCCCCTACCGACATTATACATCCTTTCCACACACGATTTATCAAAGGGTTAATTAAATATGTTGCTTTAGACAAACTAAGAATATCAACACTGTTTTATTCCTTTCAATAATAATATTATTAGTTATTAGTAATAAACAATGCATCATGTACAGTCGTTCATCACATTGATATCAAGCTGCGTGAGATTTTCAGATTTTCTCAGGAGTGTGGGTCAACATATTGTATCAAATGGACAAAACACCGATCAGTGTCAAAAATGATGTAACGCAATTAATCATCGTTAAAGGGCACATGGGTAGCTCACTGCATATGTAGTCCGTCAAATCCATGTGTATGTTATGACACTCTCCACCACCCAAATCCAAGTCTTCATCCAACCAAGTTCTGCACAAGAACATTCAATTGTGACATTTTGAAACTTTGAATACTATTTGTCTCGTTAAATGCGTCCATGGATATATATATATATGCCAAAGGACCATGACTCAGTTTAAGTTCCTGTAATTTCTGAAGTCCTGCTAGGTCAGCAGGTCCAATATTTGACACTTTGGTATAGTTCATTGGTAACCGATTCAGACTTCTAATATGGCACAAAGTGGCCGGAATGTGATCAAAATCCGTGTTAGTTAGACTATTGGCTGTTCTGGTAATATAGTTGAATCCTAAGTTGAAACTGGTGAATTAGTCAAAATAAGAGAGGAAAGTGCTGGGATATAGGACACGTTCGGAACCCTGGAAACACTACTGTTACTTATGTAAATATCTGTAAGTGATTCCATGCCAAGGAATGCGTCATCAGTTATTCCTTCAGATGTTAATTCAACATTATCCATAAAAGACAAGCCTGTCATTGTTCGGAGTCTCTTCAGTGCTTTCAGAATACCGTTGAATTTTGTTGCAGTAAACCGGGGTCACATCGACTGAATTGGGTCCTCTAAACCTTCGAATGCATCAAGAGGTTATTCGGTCATCGGCAACTTATATATTGTCAAGCTATATACATTTTTTAAAGTTCCAGTTGATTACGGCCATACTGCCATTGCTAGTGATCCGATGTCGAGAAATTCGAGGGTTGAGGCAATTGCCATGGTCCGTGGAAGATAAATTATTTAGTTGTCATGGATATTAAGCGTTGTAAGGTTTGGCATTCGCGCAATTTCTTTCGGAAGTTCCTTTAAGTTATTGAACTGCATAAAAACAGAGAAAAAGTATGGTGCCGATCCAGTCAGCGCCCTATCTTCTATTGTTTCAAAGCCACTATGACCAATTTGAAGGGAACAAAGAGGACTCATGGTGAGTTTCCAGCAGTTTCAAGTGACATTGACCTTGGTGAAGGTCGGGAGCTCTGCAAGGTTGAGATTATTACATAGCACTTAATTCATCACACAACTACACGGAGCCTTCACAGTACATCTTTGAGGGTTTGCATCACGTCACGGCACTGTGTTGTATCTTTGAACAAGATACTTTCCTCCGCTTGTTCTAGTCTACTCAGCTGTAAATGAGTACATGGTTGGGCAGTGCTTGGATTGTTGAATGTTATCTGTGAGCGCCTAAATGGCAGCACCGGCTGTATGCTCCCAAGGGATTTGAGAAAGATATTGACTTGTTGCAAAGGCCCTATAACCACGGATAATAACTTGTGAACCGCTTTGAGACGACCTACGAACTAGGTGGTGCTAAAGCGGTATATAAGAACCTTGAATTATTATTATTATCATATTGGTCAATTGATACATACAAAATGACATAGAGTTTAGCTTCAATACACAATGAAAAACAAATGACATGAACTGAAACAGAAGAAGTACACGACAATCTGGAGAAGAACCCAGCTGCTCTGTTCATCCGTCATTGTGTTTTCTTTTCATACTGTAAAACATATGTAAATCATTACCTTACCATAATTATTAAGGGTAATCAGATGTTTTGGAAGTGTAAGCGTTTCCCAAATCACATGCGACACCGTCATAATGTATTTTTTTCAAAGTATCAAAAAGTTTGTAGTTCACCATCTTACCTTAATTATGCAGACAAATATTTCATCCGTAGCCATCTTTACAAGGAGCTTACAATGAACGTTATGACTTCTATGATCTCCAATATATTATCCTTAATCTAGACGTTTGAGTTTGCTTTGTCGGATACAGTATAGCAACTTTATCAACGATTGCTCTATTTTGATAATTTGATTTAGAAGTACAAAGACTCGTTGTGACATCGTATTAACTGCTTAATTATATTTCTAGTGTGTGAGTACAGCTTTATTACTCATGGTATCTCCCTTGGTAGACATACCCCGCACAAATTAGTAACATATTGTGACTATTCTGGTTTTCAGGTTTACTCAAATGAACAAACCTTTTCCCACCTTCAAGTTAACGAAGGTAAAATTTGTTAAAAGGTGTACGACGTCTTCTGAATAACCAAGAAGCTTAGGGTAAAGATATTTGGCCAGCACCAAGAATTGATGAAGGACTAGTTTTTTTCACATCAATAACATTATCCCACGCTCAAGGTGACAAGGGTCAAACTAAGAAAGGTTAAAGATTGTCTAGGAATAACTAGGAGGCCTAGGGTGAGGTTTAGGAATAACTAGGAGGCCTAGGGTGAGGATTAGGAATAACTAGGAGGCCTAGGGTGAGGATATTTGACCAATAGCAATGTTGGATGAATGATTTAGACTTATTTTCAAGGTTAGAGGTGTCAACTTTGCCATTCCATTAACACAACTTCCCTTGAATTTGGGATGTACGTGTAATTTTATGATGTAAAGTTTTATGAAATATTGGATTTTGCATGTCAGATGAGTAAAATAACTTCAAAAATCAAACAAAACCAACAACTTGTAATGGAATGATATTTTGCCATTTTAAATTATTTTGGTCTTGACCATTTTTAAGGTCACTCATTTCACAAGGTCACTGATGTGAAATTAGTGACAGTGAAGTGGTGTAGGCTCATTGGGTGTCGTGTTTCTTGTGGCTTATGTCTTTACTTAATACGTGATATCATTGATATTAATTTTCACATATCTTTCAGATTCCATTTATAACTGCTTACATCGATGCTATTCCATCAAATGAAGAAAACAAACGATGACTATTTCAAACCCGATGTTTATTGATTGAGGAACAACAACAGTAGCACTATTTTTCAACGACACTTTGGTACCTCAGTGCGTTAATAGTCCGTCAAATACATGTGCTTGTTATGACACTGCCCGCCACCATCCATCAATTGTTTAATGCCGATCCAAGTCTTCATCCAGCCAAGTTCTACACAGGAGCATTCAATTGTGACATTTTGTAAACTCGCGGCCCTCAGAGCAGGGAGTCGTTCACTGGCTCTAGGAAATCCTGAGAGTTTTCTGAAATCTACATGCAGAACTAGAAGACACTGCCTTGTTAAACGCGTCCATAGATATGTTGGTCAATTGAGTTTGACTCAGACAAAGTTCCTGTAACCTTTGAAGCCCTGTCAGGTCTCCTAGTTCAATATGAGACACTGGTATTTTCTAGTGATAACTGATACAGACTTCTGATACGACGCACAGCGGCCGGAATGTGATCGAAATTAGTGTTGCTGAGACTTACTGATTGCAGGAGTGTCTGTTCTGGCAATGTAGTTGAATCCCAAGTTGAAACTGGTGAATTTGTCAAGGAGAGAAAGGAAAGAACCGGGATATAGGACACATTCGGTACCCTTGATATACTACTGTCACTTAGGATAATTTCTGTAAGAGAATCCATGCCAATGTATGCGTCATCAAGTATTCCTTTAGATGTTAATTTTACCTTGTCCATTATAGACAGGCTTGTCATTTTTCGGAGTCTCTTTCGATATACCTTTGAATTTCGTTGTAGAAAACCACACCGACTGAATTGAGTCCTCTAAACCTTCGGATGCATCAAGAGGTAAATTGGACATTTGCAAATTATCAATTGACAAGTTCCAAACATATTTTAGAGCACTAATCAAATACGGCCATGTGTTCATTGCTGGTAATCTAAGATCGAGAAATTGAAGGGTTGAAGCGAATGCCATGGTCTCTGGGAGGTTGTTTATCGGGTAAGCATGGATACTTAGCATGGTGATCTTCGGCATTCGTATGTATGGTTCCGATCCAGTCAGTGCCCCACCCTCAATAATTTCAAAGCCATTATGACCAATACGGAGGGAACAGAAAGGGAGGTTACTGAAAGCTCCAGACGGAATCGTTTTAATATTGTTATTGTTATTCATGTTGAGATTCCAGCATTTCCATGAGGTGTTGACCTTGGTGAAGGTAGGAATCTTTGCCAGAGTGAGATTATTACATACTACTGTACTGAAGCCACAACTATACGGAGCCTTCACCGGACATGGATGGGGATAATCTGATACAGAGACAAAGAAACCCTGTATGTCATTGGTCAGCATCAGCTTCAAAGAAGATGTTACTTTGTTACAACTTTATGCTTAAACTTATCGTGTAATCATGTAGAGAACTAAGTTCCTATTTTCTTGTTTGGTTAACAAATGCTGTTTATGTGTGTCTGAGAATCGGTATACACCAACTCCCTTTATCAAATCAATATTTTAGTGACATTATAAGTAAAATGAGGAGTTTGTTAGACATAAATTAATATGCAATAAACACCAATTCATTTATGTGATAATATATTCATAAAAAGTCAGTAAAACGGCATAAGGGCTACAGGAAATCTCTCTGCCTGCCAAATTTCTGTCTCACTTTTTGCCGCCACATACATGCACTGACGAACACGTGTTTCTCATATCAACTGCTGCAGGTTTTCTCCATTTAGAGGCATTCACTGTGGATATGTGGGTGACAGATATTGGTTATACGCCAAACAAATAGTTATATATCCCGAAATTAAAGTGAATGGTCCTACAGGTTTATCGTTAACACGTATCCTATGTACTGCATGTGTAAGCAGTAGTTAAACTATCTTTATTAATACTTACTAATAAATACGGGTTTTTGTACATGCGATACGACACAATTGCTCTTCCCCATATCAGCCCCCGCCGTATCACACCCCAAAACCCGTATCAGCCCCCAAAACCCGTATCACACCCCTTTTGGATTTTTTTCTTTTTTCAATATTTCAAAAGAAAAATAGATCATAAGATAGTAGCTTTTATTAGTACGTATGTAATAAACAGAATAAAACATGCCTTTTTTCCATATCACACCCAGTATCAACCCTCGACCAATATCAGCCCTTCGGCTGATATTGCAGTCTTGGGACGATACTGGGTGTGATATGGAAAAAGGCATGTATTATTCTCTATTTATATTAAATGTCCTTTTATATGAAATATGTATTCGCCCCTGAAGGAACTACGCTTTTCCTCAAGCTTTAAGGGCACTTTTGAGAAACAAAACCTGACCGCCCTACCTTTGCACCACTTGAAAATATACCAGTGTCTTGCTATGCATCTGTCTTATTTTGAACTTGTCTTTTGTAAGGGCGGTAAACCAACAAATTTGACTTTAACAGACAAAAATACTGCTGTTTTTTACGCTATGTCTGTGCGCTATCGACCTTACTGGCAGGACAAAGTGGAATAAATATAGTTATTTATATGATTAAAGGATTACGCACCTCTTCTGTTTCAAAGGTAGTTCGGTAGCATCACCAATAAATCCTAGATTGACAAACAGCTGTACGGTGCAGTGTAAATCGTTTTTGGTATACTGTCTCCATTACCAAATTTAAAGGTGCTATCACATTCATCTTTTAACAAACAAATTAACATACAACAACATATTAAAAAACAAAAGGAACACACAACAATCTAATGCAACCACCAGATACTTTTGTTGAAGTGTATGCGTTTTTCTATTCAAAGTGTAAAACATATGTAGATCACCACCTTACCGTAATTATGAACTGAGCTGTATGTTAACTGCGACGTGAAACTAACAACAACTTTATTATCGATTGAACTATTTTAATCAGTCTATTAAGAATTACGAATGCTATTTGTAGCATTTTTAAAATTGCATTTCAAGTTTCTGTCCATGTGTCTGTCTCTGTCCCGCTTTCTGACTTTCTGTCTGTCTTTCTTTCTATTTCAATTTTTTTAGACACACAGTTTATAATCAAAGATAAATGATCACTTTAACGATATCATTTCAATACAATCATCATCTTGATAAACTGTCACCGACAAACAAGAAGTACACGCTGTTGTTTCATTCATTTCAGTATAATTCATTATTTTGGCTTCTTATAAATGTATCATGTACACCATTGAAATCAATCTTTCCCTCGAAACCTCAAATCAACATAATGGCATTATATTAAGAAAACATCTATGTCTTGTTTAATAAAACGTTGTGAAATCAGCTTTCAAGGACATTTGGGTACCTCATTGTGTACATATTCTATAAACTCCATGCGTATGTTGTGGCACTGCCCATCACCACCCAGGAATTGCTTAATACCGATCCAAGTCTTCATCCAGCCAAGCTCTGCGCATGAACATTCAATGGTGACATTCTGTAAACTCACAAACCTCAGAGCTGGAAGTCGTTCTATAGCTCTAGGAAATCCTGAGAGTTTTGTGTTATCTAGATAAAGACCTTGGAGACTTGATGTATCGTTAAAAGCGTCCATTGATATACTAACCAAAGGAGTTTGACTCAGACTAAGGTACTGTAACTTCTGAAGACCTGCTAGGTCACCCGGTCCAATATGGGATACTTTAGTATTTTGAAGTGTTAATTGAAAAATACTTCTGATGCGTCGCACAACGGCCGGAATGTGATCTAAATCCGTGTTAGTGAGACTTACTGATTGTATGATTGGTTGTTCAGGCAATGTATTGGAATCCCAAGATGCAATTGGTGAGTTAGTAAGGGATAGAGAGGAAATTGCAGGGATTTTGGACAGATTCGGAACTCTTGAAAGGCTACTGTTTTTTATGTCAATATCTCTTAGTGAGTCCATGCCAATGAATGCGTCATCAGTGATTCCTTCGGAAGTCAATTCAACATTATCTTCGAAAGCCAGATCAGTAACCTTTCGGAGTCTCCTCAATGCTTTCGGAATACCCTTGAATTTTGTTGCAGTAAACCACAGCAACTGAATAGAGTCCTCTAAACCTTCAAATGCATTTACAGGTAGATCAGACATCGTTAATTTATATATTGTCAAGCTCGAAACAGATTTCAGAGTTCCAATTGAATTCGGCCATGTTGTCATTGCTGATGAGCCAATATCGAGAAACTCAAGAGTTGAAGCGAATGCCATGGTCTGCGGAAGGGAATTTATTGGGTTGTCATGGATACTAAGCATGGTGATGTTTGGCATTCGCGCAATTTCATTCGGAAGATCCTTAAAATTATTGTACTGCATAAAAACGGAATCAAGATACGGTTCCGATCCGGCCAGTGCCCCATCTTTTATAGTTTCAAAGCCATTATGACCAATTTGAAGGGAACAAAAGGGGATGTTATCGAAAGCTCCAGACGGAATCGTTTTAATATTATAATTGTAGTTCATGTTGAGCTCCCAGCACTTCCAAGTAGCGTTGACCTTGGTGAAGGTCGGGATCTCTGTCTGAGTTAGATTATTACAAAACACTTTATTGAAATTGCAACTACACGGAGCTCTCACCGGGCAAGGGCTGGGATCTTCTGGTACAGGGAGAGAGGTACCCTGTATGCCATTGGTTAGCAGCAGCTGCAACATATAATGTCAAATTACAATGTAAGTAAATTATGAGGTATTATTTTCCTATTTTTAAGCAATTCTTTCCATGTTTCATTTGGTAATTCACTTAATTAAGCCATTTTATCTCTAGAAAGGCGTCCATATTGTTTTGCTAAAAAAATCTCTAATTTGCAATATAAATCAAATCTTTGTGTTGAACACATTTACAGTGGTAAAACAGTAAGTATTTACAAAAGTGTATTGGGGCTTCAAGTAATCTCTCATTCAGTCATTTTTTCCCTTTTGCACTCTCCTCCCAAATAGTCTGCTCACATCTGAATTTCATTTTTCCTCTTAATATTAATTCAATATTTCTTCTTAAATGAGCAGTAATGTTTAACTGTCATGCAACAAAGATGTAGTGAATAACATGTGTTTCTACATTAACTGCTACAGATTTCACCTATTATCGATAGTTCCATTTTAATCAGCTGTTGTCGAATGACATAGACTATTTGCAGTATTTTTAAAACTACCTATTAATTTAAAAAAAAAATATTCTCAATATTCATTTTATTACTAGAAATTCAAGATAATCTCTTGACACCATATCTGAACGCCATTGACTTTCTTACTCGCACAATACATTTTTTACAAAAGATATTTTGTATTTATGGTTATATAACGTTGCCATAGTCTATTACTTGGAACTTTAGGCATTTCATTGGAAGCAAATCTTATTCACAATGCGACCGAGCTGTTTTTATTATCTCTTTGTGCGTATATAATCATACTCTAGATGCAAAACTGTGCAGTTGGCGTTGTGTATCCCAAACAACATGCGACACCCGTCATAATGTTTTCTATTTAAAACGTAAAAATATTTTGAGAACCACCTTACCATAATTATGTAGACGTATATTCCGTCCATATCCATCTTTACAAGGAGCTTATCAACGAGGTTGTGACTCCTATGAACTCCAATATCTTATCTCTTGAACTGTATGTTTACTTCGAGGAAAATAGTGTAACAAGAATATTATCGATAGTTCCATTTTAATCAGCTGTTGTCGAATGACATAGACTATTTGCAGTATTTTTAAAACTACCTATTGTATTTCATGTTTGATACAACAACTCTATTCTTTATAGTATCTCTGTTGGCACGACCTTGTCACTTCTGCAGTCTCTCCTGGTGTAGTATATTTGGACATAATATGTCGAGCGCTCGAGATAATTGATGTAGAAAATAATATTGTGTATGTCCTAAATGTACCACAGTGAAACGAAACACCATTTGCAGTGAGACCACAGCGTAATTACCATTCTCAAGCCTCTACTTCTTAGTGTCAGGACATTTGGAAGCATTGTTTGCATTTCTTAATTGTATTCCTCGGGATTAATAGAATCATTCACCCTCTTGGGGATGAGACAGGGTTATCTCAACCCGAGGGGTAAGATTCTTAAGTTGCCAAACACGAGGCTTGCCGAGTGTTTGACAGCTTAAGAATCTTACCCCGAGGGTTGAGATCGCCCTGTCTCACTCCCAAGGGGGTGAATGATTATTTTTCTCTTACACTGTTTATCCTTGTATTTTACATAGACGTTACATCAATGCAAGACAATGTTGATGTGATGCGGCTGAATTGTCGACGTGACGTCATTGTATTGTTGCCGTGACGTCATGGTATTGTTGCCGTGACGTCATGGTATTGTTGCTATGACGTCATACAATTGTTCAATATAACGTCCTGCGCACTGTAGCTTGTCTAAACCCTTGGGCGAGATAAGAAAATCTCACACCGGTTAAATGGTGGATATCCCTGTCCAGGGTAAGAGAAAGAATATTCTTATACCTACTGAATGATTGATTCCCTTTGTATAATTCTAAAACAAGAGATTGATATTTCCAATACAAATAGAACGTTATACCGGCAGAACTGGATCTTATTGGTAACGAAAGGAATGTACATTGTACATAGTGTCTAAGTCTTCATACTAGCCTCATCTAAAGGAAATGTTCTTTTAGGACAGAACTAGACCGCCCAACTACGATGTCTGGGATCGCAGGTTCGAGTCCCAGCGAACACCCGTATTCTCTTCCTTACCTCCTTTCGATCACAAGTAGTTCTGGTTATTTTTGCAATATCGTTTTAACCAATATCGACTACTAGTCAATATTGGAATTTATTTTTATTATAGTTTCATTGTATTGAAATAAGTATACAGTAACTAGGCATTATATACACAAGAAAAACTATTTAAATGCAGATATAAGGGTACACAAATCTTTTATATTTCTGTGCCAGATTCTCTTTTTGTGTTTGTCTTTCTGTCCGTCAGTTTCTCTCTTTCTTTCTCTCTATTTTATCTTGCTTTTGTAATGTCACAAAATCTATTTTCAATAGGAATTATTTTTATTTTCATTAGATAGGTCTTTTATTCATCTTATCAAATTGTCATAGACAAAGTAGACATAACACACTGTTTTAAACAATTCAATAATGTTGTAATACTTAAATTTATCGGCCAATGCGCAATGAATCATATGCAATGGTTCTTCATTTTTCTTGTGGATTTATCCTTGGAAGTTTAATTGAATACTATTATATCAAATTGACAAAACTCTTAATACTTTTTCAAAAACGATGTTTTATTGAATGATAAATAGCAAGAGCACAATCTTTCAGGGACACTTTGGTACCTCAGTGCGTATATAATCCGTCAAATACATGTGCTTGTTATGACACTGCCCGCCACCATCCATCAATTGTTTAATGCCGATCCAAGTCTTCATCCAGCCAAGTTCTGCGCATGAACATTCAATTGTGACGTTTTGTAAACTCACAAACCTCAGAGCCGGAAGTCGTTCAATGGCTCTAGGGAATCCTGAGAGTTTTGTGTAATCCAAATTCAGACCTTGCAGAGTGTATGTCTCGTTAAAGGCGTCCATAGATATATTGACCAACGGCGTTTGAATCAGACTAAGGAATTGTAGTTTCTGAAGACCTGCCAGGTCACCTGGTCCAATATGGGATACTTTGGTATTGTCTAGTGTTAACTGATACAGACTTTTAATACGGCGTACAACGGTCGGAATGTGATCGAAATCTGTGTTAGCGAGACTTACTGATTGTAGGAGTGGCTGATCTGGCAATGTAGTTGGATCCCATGTTGTAACTGGGGAATTAGTCAAGTATAAATGGGAAAGTGTTGGGATATCCGACAAATTCGGAACGCTTGATATGCTGCTGTTGCTTATGTAAATATCTGTAAGTGAGTCCATGCCACGGAACGCGTCATCAGGTATTCCTTCGCATGCTAATTCAACATCATCCATAAAAGATAGGTCAGTCATTTTCCGAAGCGTTTTTAGTGCTTTCGGAATACTCTTAAATTTTGTTGCAGAAAACGACACAGACTGAATTGAGTCTTCCAAACCTTCAAATGCATCTAGAGGTAGACCAGACATCGGCAACTTATACATTGATAAGCTCCAAACAGATTTCAGATATCTAATAGAATACGGCCATGTTATCATTGCTGGTGAGCCAATATCCAGAAATTGAAGAGTTGAGGCGAATGCCATGGTTTCTGGGAGATTGTTTATCGGGTTGTCATGGATACTTAGCATTGTGATGTTCGGCATTCGTGCAATTTCATTCGGAAGTTCCTTGAAATTATTGAACTGCATAAAAACGGAATCAAGATAAGATTCCGACCCAGTCAGTGCCCCATCTTCTATTATTTCAAAGCCATTATGACCAATTTGAAGGGAACAGAAGGGAATGTTACTGAAAGCTCCAGACGGAATCGTTTTAATATTGTAATTGTAATTCATGTTGAGTGTCCAGCATTTCCATGTCGCGTTGACCTTTGTGAACGTTGGAATCTCTGTCACAGTGAGATTATTACACATTATTGTACTGAAGTCACAGCGGCAGGGAGCATTTACCGGGCAAGGACGGGGGTCGTCTGGTACAGAGACAGAGGTACCCTGTCTGCCACTGGTCAGCAACAGCTGCAGAGAACATTACAAAATGTAACAACACTGGGCAAAATAGTTCGATGTTATAACGTAAAAGTAGATGTATCACCCCCTCCCCCCCCCNCCATATATCAACTCTACCAGAGATTGGGAACGACAACCACAATTTACCCGAAAAGCTGAAATTGACGAACGGATGGTTACCGTAAGTTTCTATATACAATGAAACAGTCAACAGGCTAGGATCGACAACAAACGGAACACAGAACAACCTGAAGGGATAAACAGATGTTTTCAAATTGTAAGCGTTTCCTAAACCATATCAGACACCCGTCATAATGCTTTCTTTTCAAAGTATAAAATGTATGTAGATCACCATCTTACCGTTATTATGTAGACATATGTTCCATTCATAGCCATCTTTACAAGGAGCTTATCAACTAAGTTGTGACTCCTATGAACTCCAATATCTTATCTCTTGAACTGTATGTTTACATTAACGGAAAGCGTATTACAGATTTAACTATTTTAATTAGTCAATTTAGAAATAAAATGCGGTGGTACATTGAGGACATGCTCAATAGTATATTATACATTAATTATCTGTAACGCTCGACGTATTATTTCGACCAATAAACTTCTTATCTCGAGCGCTCAATATAACGTCCTGCGCACCCGACATAATATCTCGAGCTCTCAAATGATACTTCACGTATACATCGCTTTATAATAGTACTGTTTTGTAATTATCAAGCAATTCATACGTCAAGTCAAAGTCGAACTCGAGATGTTATGTCGAGCACTCGAGCTAATAAGTCGAGCGTTGAAGATAATAACTAAAGTGATCAACATAATATATCACGCACTCGAGATAAAGTTGATATAGAAAATAACGCTGTACTTTTCCTGAATGTACCTCCGTAGTTCCATGACTTGATGTAGCATTTCGAAAAAGTATTTCTTTTATTTGATAACTTGTTCCTTGTGGTGTAGCCATTTGCAGAGAGACAACAACGTAATACTAGTTCTGAAGTGTCTCCTTTTGTACTATTTCGAGTCAGGACATTGGCAGCCTAGTTTGGATTTCTTTATTGTATACCTCGGGATAGACTTTTCCTGTACCCTTCTACTGATTGATCGACTCCATTTGTGTCTTTCTCAAACACAAATTTTATATCTGGTGCAAGAGTATAGGAGCTTCAAGAATTATTCCAGTCTGCCAATATCCTTCTTTCGTTTTTTGCCCATTCCATCTCATCCCGAATTTTTTGTTTCCGCCCCTGAATTATCATTCGTTTTCTTGATAAAAAAATGCTGTTTTTCTTACATGGGGAATTATTGCTGGTAATCCTACCATAGCGATAATGTAATTATCAATTGATTATCTCTTACCTACTGCAGGTTTTTCTAATTTTGGAGATGTTTTTTGCTAATATTCAATATGTATTTTGCCACTACATATCAGCGAAGATCTCCTGGCACTGTGTCCGTACGCATCTGGCCTTCTTTCCTGCGCGACAAATTGTATACATATGAAATAGTATATATATATAAATGAAACGGCTGTTTATAACATTAATGGTGCACTCCCTGAAATGAAATGAGCAAAGTATTGGTCGTTTGGTAGTTTTTATGACGAAATAGTGTTTAAATTATCATATCTTCAATTACAAATTGTGCATTCAGGAACCAACGTTCGTCATAATGTCTGGTGATGGTGTAACTTTATATCATAACGTGACGTAGTGGTAACTCTTTATCAAAATGTTACGTCAAAACATTAACATACCGTAATGTTGAATTTTCTATTTAAGACAGGAAAACATAGAAAAATATAGCATAAAATAGAACTATCATCTGTACATTTTGGTACCTCGGCTCTGTAGCTGGCATCTATACTGACATACTGCAAAATATCACATACACCAACTGGGAAGAGGTAACCTCCCGATGCTTTAGCCAACCCAAACTAGAACATTAACAAATAATCCAAAGAATACAAACAAGGCAGCAGCCTTCCGAGTCGACATAACGGCGATTTTGAGTCCATTGATTGCCTTGGATATCGTCGTCAAGTTTGTGTAACGCAGAAAGAGGCCCTGAAGGTTGCACGTATCTCTTAAAGCGTCCTCAGAAAAGGAATTCAGGGGTGCGTTAATAATTCCAATACTAGTTATCATGGTCAGACCTTTCAAGTCTGATCCGGACACTGACGTTATGCTAATGTTATCAATAATCAGATATTGTATTTTTTCATTTTGGCAATAGCAGGGGGAATCATATCTGATGACGTATCCGAGAGACGTATGTTTTGTAAATCATCATTAACCGGGATTATGGAAGCGTCAATATGAGTGATGGGCGTTCATGTTGTTTCCATGGTACGAACTGCCAATGCGTCATGAAAAATGTCCACTAAAGATTTAATGCCAATGAAAGCCTGTCGTCCAGGCATACCAGGTTCGGGGTGCTGATGTGGGACAGCTCTTGAAGACCATCTAGTACTCAGCGACAGCGGCACACAATAATGATGCTTTAATGACATTGATTTTATTTTGAAATATTATCAAATTGCATTTTAACACATTAAATGGGATCCTATCTTTCACAACTATGACGTGCGAGGTAGTATTCATCACTTTGTCAATTATATTAGGGATAGTGATACTTACCCGTACATCCTATCCTAATTATGTATACAAAATGTTAACCCGATAATGTAAACTGATAACCGCAATGTTTGGTTCTAGATTCTGCTTTCAAAGGTTACCCCCAATATAGAATACAGATAAAGGTTACCCCCAATATAGAATACAGATAAGATAAAGGTAACCCCCAATATAGAATACAGATAAAATAAAGGTAACCCCCAATATAGAATACAGATAAAGGTTACCCCCAACATAGATTACAGATAAAGGTTACCCCAATATAGAATACAGATAAAGGTTACTCCCCATTATAGAATACAGATAAAGGTTACCCCCAATATAGATTACAGATAAAGGTTACCCCCAATATAGAATACAGATAAAGGTTACCCCAATATAGAATACAGATAAAGGTTACCCCCAATATATAATTCAGATAAAGGTTACCCCCAATATAGAATACAGATAAAGGTTACCCCCAATATAGAATACAGATAGAGGTTACCCCTAATATAGAATACTGATAAAGGTTACCCCAATATAGAATACAGATAAAGGTTACCCCCAATATAGAATACAGATAAAGATTACCCCCAATATAAATTACAGATAAGAGGGTTTACCGACATAACCTGCACCTATACACCGCCGACAGGGGCGCTATGATACACCTTTTGATATTAATTTTGAATACCTTTTCGTTGTAATAAAACATGCCAATGATACCATCGATATTCCCTAGTAAAATTAAGCATACCTTTTATTTCATACTATCCTGATATATCTTTGTATCACTAAAATATTGTAACATTTTGTGATATTAATTAACAAATAATAAATGCAACAGTAGCACGAGAAAAAATGACACTGACTGTTAATTTGCAAGATAAATGAAGCATGCTTCATCTTAATTTGTCAAATATATCTTAAGCTGTTGGAAACTTAATTCAAAACTTATTCAGTACCGACATGAAATTGTTTATATGAAAGCGTGATACAAATTTTGAAACAGGATTTCTGTTCTACTTATACCAATATTAACGCGAGTAATTGGGCAGACATCCATGTTGTAAGGTGTTTGGTTTTATCAAGATGTCACATTCCTACCAAACCAAAACACTTAAGGCCGTTTTCAGTTATCGCGTTCAAACCAGTTTGACCGGTCGGACAATATTTTTGTTTACAAAAGAGGGACCGACCCAGGGATGTTTTCTGGATAGTCTTGACATGATTTTAATGTCTGCACAAACATTTCGATGTCGCCAAAGCCTTATCGCTAATATTCTTTATATTCAAAAGTAGACAAACCGGTCTGCCCGTAAAAATGAATGAGTTCCTTCTATTGCGTTTCCACATACTCTCGACTGTAGTTGGTTGTTTGTCTGAAAGTCAAGGTCACGTAAATCTCTGATAAAACTGCATTGGCGATGATTCTGCGAAATTCTGATTTTTGCATTTTTCAAATTTTAGAAATATTCGCCTTCGATATACGTCAGCTAAATAATACATTAGTGAATAGCGTAACGTAGAACCGGTAGTCACTCTAGATTGAAAAAGAAAAATAATAACTTCTAACATCATTGGGACCCTTTGTCTTCAAATGTCTCAGGACTACAAAATTAATAAAGTAAGACTTTAAACTTTGGAACATCATAGGCGGACACACAAAGTTATTAATCAATGAGATGCATACATTTTCATATCTATATTAAACATTAAATGAAACATCGCATGTCGAATCATACTGTACCAAACAAAGCCAAGTGTGCTTGTCAAGGCAATACATCACAATGTATACTGATGCAAGTATTGTAGGTACCATTTTATATATCAGTACATACATGTTTAAATAAATTAGATATCACAAAAAATGGAAAAAGCTAAATCGTGCTGTTTTATTTTTACCAAATAATAATAATGATAATAATAGACTTTATTTAAATTCGATAACACATTGAGTCCATGACTCGTCTCACATGTGGTCGACATAAAATGTACAATATTTACAACATGGATATGACATACACGTACAAAAATAAGAAATTAAGTTACATATCACAGGTAATAAAACATTGTATTATCTTTAAAACCAAAAACAAAAAGAAAAAAAACACTCTTGCATCCTGTATCCAATAACAAAACTACGTAATACATATCACAGATATATTGGTATGTGATATCACACAGGCTTACAATAAAATATGTCACACGTGTATTGGAAAATAAAAAGTTGGCTAAATATCATGCAATGCATAAATTCTCATGCTGCATTTTAGAAGATTTAAGAAACGCATAATGCGTCTAATATACATACATGTCATTGTGACAAAGGGTAAAAAATTACAGAATATACGCTAATGTAGCGTGAGTTAATACCAAAGTGTTGATTAGGGCATTAGGAATAGTAATTAAGATAAATTCTAAAACTTCATTTAGATACACGTGTGTCATATTCCAGGTACTACAGCAGATAGATATTTCAGGAGGGAAAGGGGGTGCAGATTTTTAATTTTCTTTACACTTGTCTTTATAGATTACATTGAGATGTTTTTTGCACTCGAACTTAAAACTGTTTAGTGATTGGCATTTAGAGACAGTGGTTGGCAAATTGTTCCAGAGTGTCGGTCCATTATATTTAAAAGAGCTTTTGAATTTTTCCGTTTTGTGTTTGGGTACAACATATCTACCTGCCGCAGCTGACCTGGTTTGGATAGTATGGACATTGCTCACAAGAGTATTGCAGTCTAGGTAATTTGGACATAGCTTGTTTATTACTTTAAACATCAGAACACATTCGTTATATTCAACTCTGTACGTAAAAGGCAGCCATTTTAGTTTTACAAACAGCTGAGAACTGGGAACAGTATAGTCGGCATCTAGTATAATCCGCAGTGCTCGTTTTTGAATTCTTTCAAGTTTGTGTACCAGTTTTTGAGAGCAATGTCCCCAAACGTTCGAGCAAAAGTCAATATATGGTAGTATAAAACAGTTGTGGAAAGTGATTCTTGCCGATACTGGTAAGAATTTCTTTATTCTACATAGTTGATAAATTTTATAATTAAGTTTCTTTAGGACGTCTTGTACATGTTTTTCCCAAGTTAGGGTGTCATCGATACGAACGCCTAACAGTTATTCATTTTGCACAACTTCCAAGTTTGAATTTTCAGCTATAATATTTAGATTTTTCTTTAATCTATGTTTTTTTTTGCTTACTTCCAATTAACATTACTTTGGTTTTATCAGTATTTATGACCATTTTGTTAACATCACACCATTTCTTTACATGATTAAAATCCGTTTGTAGACATGATTCGATAACATCCAAATTTGTGTCTGCTTTTTGCATTGAAGTAACATCTTCATACATAAAAAGTTCACAATGTTTTGAGCAGAGTGGCAGATCATTGACATGTAATAAAAACATCAAAGGCCCAATTATGGAACCTTGAGGTACACCAGTTGTAATTTCACAGGCATCACTTCAAGTACTTTTGAAAGATACTTTCTGAAATGTGTTTGAAAGGTATGAGGTAAAAAACATAATGGAATTTTCAGAGCAGCCATATATTTTCATTTTCTGGAGTAATATCTTATGGCCAACAAGGTCAAAAGGCTTACGAAAATCAATATACATTACACCGATGAGGTTTCCCTTGTCCAATTCTTCATACCATCTATTTGTAAGTGCAGTAAGAGCAGTTTGACATGAATGCAAATTTCGAAATCCTGATTGATTCTCAATGATTAGATTATGTTGGTTTAAAAACTTATTAAAGGTAGTCTGCACATGTTTTTCTAAGAGTTTGGATAAAATTGGAAGAATAGATATGGGTCTGTAATTACTTACAGAGCTCTTTTCGCCTTTCTTAAAAATTGGATTGACTTTAGCATGCTTAAATTGGTCTGGGAAAACATTCTTTGCAATACATATGTTTAATAATTTGGTAATTGACTCAGACACAACCTCTGCGGACATCCTAAGGTATTTTGCAGAAATTCCATCAAGGCAAATAAATGTTGCAACACAGTAGAAATGTGAAGTGCACGCGGCATTATAATCTATTTTAAAATTTTGAAGCTGAGTAACGTTTTGTGATCCGTTAATGTACTGTAGGGAATTGTATGTTATTTGTCTCATGGTGACTTGTTTGTTGTAAAAATGGAACTTGCTAAAATGAAAACAATATTGCATTTGATAAAATGAGTGGCTCAGAGGAGAGAATGAATTTTTAAGGTAAGTCTAAGAATAATAAAATCTACTAATGGATTGTCAGATATACCAATTTTTAGAAAACAAGTGGACCATCTTGTTCGTATAAAGGATATTATAAATAATATATTATAATTGATTATTTGTCGAAGTATTACACCAAAATAATTGTCCGTAATAGGGTCATATTAATTGTAAAGCGTTTTATTAAATATAAACACGCGACCTTTTCAATTCGCGACGAGCTTGACTCGCTAATTTACTTGAAGATACATATGGGAGGTTAAACCAAACATATATGTTGTTCAATACTGCAGTTAAACGGGCAAAAGCATGGCACGATTTTGATAAATCGTTTCATATGTTTCATGTTGACAACATATAAAGTTCACGGGTTTTGGGTATTGTGCATTTCTGAAACGTTAAGCCCCCTTGGTCTGAGTATGCTATCGACCAAATCTTCAGCATCCCTGTCCGCAAGAGTGTTTGATGAAAGGAGTGGGCTGGTTTTTGTGTGGGTATGTTGGGTTATGTTTTGGGCACACCCTCGGATTATACAAAGTCCATTAGGTCCTTTTGATAAAATACCTTTACTGATACTGTGTATTAAGTATTAATAAAAAAACTATTTCGCAATTTGATCTAGCCAAACTGCCCTCACTTCTTGGAGGCTACATAATCCTTTCACAATAACCCAAAAATTCTTAGGACCAAGATTTGTCACAATTGCTGAGCCGTTCTGGGCTAGAAGAGTTTCAACGGAACAGGTTCGGACGGACGCAGCGCCATGGCATATAGGTAACTTGATTTTCGGGCAAGTTATCAAAAACAAACAAAACACTAAGTATGCAATCTCCTCTTTTAATTTGTTTGAAACCACATAACTGTTTGAAAAGCACGACCATTGGCGCTTTTCTGGTAGGTATTTTCAAGGACATTCGGGAACTTTCTGTCTGACATAAACACCAACCTGCATGCTATCGAGATTATTACACTGACCGTTGATGCCAACCCTGCTGGCGTCGGGCCAATTCTTCATCCAACCCATTGACTGGCAAGTACAGATCAGCTTGTTTCCGAGCAGGCTCAAGTAATCAAACTTGACTCCCTCCACAGCCCGTGGAATGGTTGTCAAGGCCGTGTTATCTAGTGCTATATAAGACAGGGATGTCAGTGTCCTGAACGCATCCAGAGACACGCTCTCAAGTGGGGCGTTTGAGATCGATATGTATTCTAATTCGGAAAGTCCAGAAAGGTCGGCGGATCGAAGTGTTGTTATATTGTTATAGTTCAAACTCAATACAGATAACTTCTTCATTTTGGAGAAAGCAGTCGGAACCTCGTTGAACAATGTGCCGTTAAAGTTAGCTATAGTGATATTGGAATCCTCTGGCATCATGTTACCCGGAAAATCAGATACGGGTACAGAGTTTATTTCGAGCTGAAACAATCCTGTTACGTAGTGGAATATGTCCGGAAGAGCTGTGAGCTTAACGTTAATAATCTGTAGCCAATTAAGTCCTTTGAAACGTTCAAAGAGAGTGCTCGGAATTCCGTCCAATGTTAGATCTTCGTCAGTGTTCAAGGATAGCGTAAATAGATTCTCGAGTCCTTTGAAACTGGACGGAAGTCTTAGCAACTTCATAGAGTTAAGGGATAACCAACTTAGCGATAGATTTGCAAACGCTGTTTCTGGCAATTCCTCTAAAGTTAAGTTGAAAATACCCAACTCAAACAAATTTAGAAGCTGTACTGTCTTTGGCCAAATGGTCACTGCTTCAGAACCGAAATGAAAGGTATACAATGAACTCGCAAGGGAATTTATGACTTTTTCGTCAAAGTATGAGATTGGATTTTGCTGGATTTTCAAGGAAGATAATTTCATCAAATTCATGAGTGCATTTGGAATGCCTGTCAAACTATTCGACTCAATGTGTAATGTTTGGAGGGAACTTTCCAAACCAATGCATTGTCAGAAACAGTTGCCAAAGAATTATTTGATAGATCTAAGAACTGTATCTTGATGTTTTGAAAGTCGTCATCTTTCAAATTGTGTATGTGGTTATTTGGTATGTACAAGTCCCATATGGCGTTACTTTTACTAAATTTTGGAACAGTAGTCAGTCCTCTACCGGAGCAGTCAATGACATTGTTAACATCACTACAACTACACACAGCTGGGGCCGGGCAGTCGTCGTTGTGTTGTAACATGCGGGGGGTGACTGAAGACTCGATGTTAGTATTTTTGAACGGAATTGGCATGACCTCTGATCGAGAAGCGTATATATCGACTTAAAGACTCCATCTTCAGACTGTTTCCAGTGCCTTGCCCGGGAGGGTAGTGATGCATGTTTACCCTATGTCACAAACAAATTAACAAATTAATATGTACCACTTTACTTATAGATCTTAATCTTTGAGCAAGTGTTTCAACCATGTAAATGAAGTTTTTAATACTTTAAATGTATTCGTCGGATAGCAGCATGATTTATTTATTCATAATTGTTTTATCATTTATTTGGTTGCTATAAATGGAGAAACAACAGACATACATATATATGTATGCATCTTCAGACATTATGAAAACTGCTGTAAACAAAACATCGTTCGGTATCTTTAACTGCAAGGTTTCCATTTTATCGTGATTAATCCATGTGCAAGAAATGGCACAGCACATGATAGAATAATAGGATAGCATTCCATTTTGCTTGGTTGTCATAGGGATGAGTGTTGATGCGTAAAACACGATGCGCACTTAGCAGGGTAAACAAAATATTCAGGAACACCCCTAATACGGATTCATGAAACCGACTAACAGCTTATCATATGTGAAAATACAATGTGCCAAGTTTAATATATTTATTGTTAACATAATTAAATCATCAGAACGAAGAGCATTTTATCGATCCCTGTTATATCAGGGATTTACCAATGTTCCATAAAGACATATGACAAGTGCATAATGGCGCCTTGGCGACAATTATGATTATAGCTCTATCCACTTTGCGACAGATTTGATTTTATATGTCCACCTCATATCTGTACTTGTATTTCTATTAATTATCTTTATCCTTTGTTGAGCAATCATTGGCACCACCTAACGTTTGGTTATAATTATTGTGGAACATTCTCAGTATGCAGAAGGCAAAGGTTTCTGGTTGACCTGTTGTACTGTGATAGGTGCCTTCGGTAGTATATTTCAGTGAGGTAGCCAAGCCGATATATAGCCACAGGTTTATGTAGTGGTACAGGGATCCTTAAGAGGAATATCTTTGATCCGTGCATACAAAGATAAAGCAATTACAACGATATCTAAAATATCTGTCGTGAATATTTCGATTCCTATATCATTGAAATATGGGGAATGTAGATCATATTTCAGGAAACATGTTAAACGAAAATCTGCAATAAATTGTTAAATGGCGTTACACAGCAGTAACGGTATTAACTCTCGTAATACCTCTGAGAAAAGACAAGCAATTCCTCTGGTAGAATATCTTATGTAAACATATCGACTGCAAACATTAGATATGAGCGGAAAAGATCAGCTTTGCTTTGCATTATGTATTATAAAACAAACGATTAACACTCACCAGTAAACAAAGCAAGCACGTAAAGGCCAAGGTTTTCATGGTCAACATTCACGGTGGATATTTGTCAGAGAAACTAAGGTGTGTTCAGGATTGTAAAAGCTACTAAGTTGTTATCTATAGCAGATTTGTGACCGATTTCTTCGAACAAGGTGACTTTCAAGTCAGTGACATTAGATTAAAGCATATGGAAGTAAACATTGCCTTAGAGAAGTGTCATGCGTATTTGATAATTTTGATAGTATTCCTTTTTTTCTGACAATAAACATAAAATATGTACGGGATTGTCAGTCCTTTGACAAGTTAGCTCGTTATATAAAGGGCCGGTTTCCAAAACGGCCCCTTCTCTGATTCAAATTTCCTGTCCTGTGGTGCATTGCCCATGCCGTTGTGGTCACAAATCTATAAAGTATAAAGATTTAGGTCACTTGGTTTGTTTTTTATGGCTCCTCAAAGTTGTACCTTTCAGAAGCTGTCTAAGTGTTGATAAAATGTGCATGTTATGTAAAATATTAATGAAAATCTAATCAAATGATGGTCACCGTAAAGAATACATTCATGGCATGATTGTGACAAAAAATCATGTTTCCATCGCGCCATTTGGCTGTTTTATGGAAGAAACAATCTCAAAAATGCCATTTTCGATGATAACATTTTAGACACAAAAACTGTGTTTTTTAGAGAATACACCCTTTTATGGGCGTTGGATGCAAACCAATTTTTATCCTATTAAACAGTACGTAATATGCTATTGATGAGAGGAAAAATCATCAAAATGTAAGTGGTGGAACATTTTCAAATGTTGGGTTGAATTAGCCTATGGTTGAATTGCCGATTTTCGACTTTCTTTAGATAATTAACAAAAAAACGAGAGTATTTGCTCGGTATGTTGAGAATATGTACACAGATATGAAAAAAAGTGAGAGAAACACTTTTTCATAAAAAAAATCCAAGATGGCTACTTCACAAGTCCCCGTGGTTGAAGACATTGGCTGACAAATAGACAGAACAACAAACAAAACGTGTTCCTTATGATTTTGGTTGGTTTTCGCATTTACGGGAGTGTTCATAGCTACGGGCGATTGTATAATACCTATATTTATAAGTTTGGTTAGTCACATGGTAACGGGGATCTTTCATATCGAGCCCCAAACATACTTTCGACATATGCACTCCGTTGCCGCATGGAAAACTATTTCAAGTTTTGTCGGAATTTCTTTACCTGTGGTTGTAATGGTCGAGGGTTTTCCAGCGTCCTGTAATACCCAAGGTAGTACAAGATACTGGAGATGTGCGCACACATTCCCATCGTTCTCTCTCCAACTGGGCACTGGCAGTAGTAGTCCTTTATTGGGGCCTCAACATCGGGTGAAACGGTGAACCGTATCCAAACGTTATATTTCGTTTGGCTTTTGTGTCGAGAATGTATTTGACATCGGAGAAGGTCTGGGGAGTGCTGGTAAAGCCACACCTCATAGTCTCCGTCATCACTTAAATGTTCGGCGATGTAACCAGGAGCCAGAGATATCTGATACGTTCCACACGTAATGGTTCTCAAGTAATCAAGATCGAGACGGGGAAACAGTACGGAAGATGCATCCATCTTGACAAACTCGGACCTTGCCCGTCTAGATAGATCCGGATCTGTCTTGACTCTCTGAGCTAAACCATTCGGTGTTGTCAAACGGTCCTTCATACGTTCAGCCATTAGCCTATCTTTGGCATCTCTCTCTGGAGATCTCTGGTAGATCGGTCCTCTAATACCATTCAGACAGGCTGTGACGGTTCGAAGCAAAGCCTCGATGACATTGATAAAGCTGTTAGACACCAATTGCGTTCGGAAGAACGTCCAGTGTTTCAGACGACCATGATAGGATTCCACAATCCACCTCGATTTGGTGATAGTTCTGTCAAGATTTGCTTGGACGTCAGAATGTTGACTTTGACCGGGTTTCAGGTATGACGGCATGCTAGCATTGAGGCCAGAGGCTTCGAGAACTGGTAGGACATCTCTAAAACCTCGGTCAACGACAACGTTGTCGTCTGGTTGTAGCCAAGTAACTAGCTTGTCCATGACTTTTTTTGTAATTGTAGCATCATTTTCGCTGCCAGTGAATGGTCCTACTGTGTCCAGAATGTAGCCATCTGGTAAGGCGATGCTCATGAATTTGAGATAGTTTCTCTTCTTCTGGCCACAGTAGGACATTCTCTGGAGCTTGTGGTCGGAGCTTTTCTGGATATAAATATAGGTGCCATCTAATATGGCAGTGGCTTTATCTCCAAAAAATGCTTCTGAAAAGACAGTATTGTGCCCGAGCAACTGTTCTCTTGTCAAGTGATCCGGACCTAGAAATTGTGGGACTATCGATGTGTCTAATGCCTGTACTATGGAGTGGAAAGTTTTGGACACACTTGACTTGGAAATTCCAAAAAGAGAAGAACACTGACTCCAGGAAATGTCGGTTTTCAGTTTTACCCAGAACAGTAATAGAGCATCGTGTGTAGTCTTGGTATATATACCAGATGAAAGATATGGGGAACAGTGCGAGTGGATTTCGAGGAACTGATCTTTGGACCAACCTGTCCAGGCCATGCATGCCGAGTCATCAAGAGAAGAAAAGCTTATTGTAAACGCAGACTGGTTCTGTGAAAGGACGTGCGACACCTCTAGGAGGTCATTAATGATTTCGGACGATTTTGATGGTAACTGAGATTCCAAGGAACCTCTACCATCAAGGACAACCTCTGTAGACGGATCTAAGTCGTTACCAATAAGGTGAATGGAGCAGACGCGGGATGAGGTGGGACACCACAGTTTGTGTGAATAGATCAGGTGATGTCTTGCACGTTTTGGTAAGACTGATGATTTTGTTCCATTTCTTGCAAAGGTAACAAGACAGAGACAGCATTTTTTGTGTGAAGATGATCCATTCAAAAGATCATGAAGGGTCAGCAACGGCAGGATATGGGACGGGGAGTCGTCTTCTTCCTCTATTTCCTGGTTCTGCTCGGGTTCAGGTTCAGGCTGATTTTTGTTCCGAAGATACTTCATGTAGCACTTCTGGCAAATAAGTGCTTGTTCCTTTGCTGACATCAATCCTTGTTGCACCAGCGTATCTAGGAGCCATTTATATTGTGGACTATTTACATTGCGTGCACTTCTGTTCTTATTGCCACTACGTTTCTTGAAGTATACTTGACACCCTTCTCCAACACATTTACCCTCCATCTTGAAACAATAACGATTGGTTTATGAAGCGTCGATAAAGTAACAAAATAGCAAGCCACCGATGATTGCTGTAAACAGCTAATACTTAGTAGTTTGGTACAATTATGCGAAAATGTGTGATAAATAACGAACAACTAATTACACAAAATAACAAGACAATATAATAAATCACATTCAATACCTCCAAGAAGCGCAGAATTGATTGATTACTTAGAACAAAATAAAGTATTTCATATGGATAATCTATCTATTCGATGTGGCGTGGTCGGCAGGCACAAAGAAAGTGAGACAAGTCAGGGTCCCAACCCTGACAGAGCCACAACGCTTTGGAGATGGGACAATAAAACAAGGAAAGTGAGACAAGAATAGCTAGCGTCGAGTCAATGATTCCGTAAACGTATAGACAAAGACAAGAAGATACGGATAAATGTACAAGGCCACACGATCAGAAAATTCAGAAGAGGACAACTTGAGATAGAACAGTATTCATGTATCAGGGTGTCCTCAGTGTAAATCTTTATATCGATACTGTTTATTTAGTCGTTACACATCATAAAACTGTCATGAAAATATCCGCTCTGATATTCAATATAAAAGTTTGTATATAATAAGCTATATAATAGGGTTTCAGACAAGGTTGTTACTCATTTCCCCTTTTCTTTCAATTTACAACCACATTCAGGCGGCGATATGAGAACGTTCCACCACATGGAATTAGCTGATTTTTGGTACACATATGAAACAAGTAAAGCTCTATCCGATTTTCTGATGGAAATTTGCATCCAAAACTATATAACGGGAGAAAATTGCAATTTTATGGCATTTTTCTTCATAATTGTGTCTCTGCAAGTGCATTTTCATCCGAGAATTTTTTTTTTTATGTTTTATGAATAAACACGATGTTTTGGAAATATTTATCAAAAGAAATTTATACTATGTTGCGAATTACAATTTCGAGATAACCTTCTTTTATTTACGAACTTATGTCTTTGATGCTGAAATTGACAACTTTATAAAAATACATTTTCACTGAAATTATGAAATCTGGGTGTCGGAAAGGTGTAAAATTATACTTTGGAAAAGAAAAAAACAGTAGTTGAGCTAGATAAGAAATTATACGGGGGCAGGCTCCTATGGAGAATTAACATTACTGGAAACAGGCCCTTTACATAATTATAATTGTAATTTTGTATTTCACCGTTCTACTCTTTCTTTAAAACAATATTTTTTGTGGTTGATTTTTCCATTCTTCATCTATTTAATGCTAAATTGTTTAACTGTCATTGCGTCCATTTTGTGGGAGGTTTGTTCCACATGTCAACAGTTTTTTGTGTCAACGAATATTTTCATATATTTAACCGCAAATACTTACATTTCAAAGGTATGACCTTGTATGTTAGAACGTATATATTTCGTTAATAAGTACGTGTCTTTTAGACAATTAAACATCGATTACTATATCCCCCTAATCAAGTTCAATATACTGAAACATTATCAAATTTTAACATCGGTGACCACACCCTCTATCGAAGTTGACCCTTTCACCAGTTTAACATCCAATCACTGACCCCAACTTCAATTACAAGATTTAAACCCTCCGGTATTTTGTACAGGTAGTGATGTCTTTTGTTTTGTTTATGTTTACTCGGGGGTTCAGTGGTAAGTAGTATTCTCGGAATTCTGTAGCTAGTTGTCTTTTAGGAGTTCTGTGTTAAGGCATCTACTTGGATGGTTCTATGGTAGTCTAGTGGTAGGACACCGGGCTTTTGACCGAAGGGTTGCGGGTTCGAGTCACGGCACGGCACTGTAATGTATCTTTGAGCAAGATGCTTTTCTCCGCTTGTCCAGTCTACTGAGCTGTAA